CCGACCAGGGGCATATCCATAGTAGGTGACGGGGTATGCATCACACATTGGTCTCCCAACAGAGTTTATAGCTCGATGTTGCCCGTAATCTCAAATGCTGGAATTAATTGGATGATTTGGATCGGTTCAAACGCCTGATAACGAGAAGAGAAAAAGGCGCGCTCTTCTAGACATTGATTGCTCCTCTTCGTTAGTCCGAGGATTGAGGGTGGAAGTATATAATCTGTTCCAATGCATAGTTGTGCCTTTCTCAGCGGTGGAGTTTGACTATTTAATTCGACAGAAGGTATCGTAGCCACACAACCCTTCTCGTGTACTCAACCATGACTGGTCTAGTCTTCAGACATTGTCGACTTCAAATCGAGATCTATAATTGTCAATTGGGAGCATGAAGTCATTACTGCGATACTCCGTACAGAGGCTCAAAATCGGTGTACCTGGCAGCTTCTCACCGCCGGGCCCATCATTGGACCGCGGGACTCGCTTATTGGCTCGCCGCCTGGAAACACACCCGACCTCAATAAGTCCACGTTACCGCCATCGTTAGGTGTCCAGACTATCCGTCCCCATAGTCCAGACTTTCTCGCTTTACCCCTACCCATTCACCCTGTGACAGTGCATGAGGTGATCACATCTGTGATCTTCTTTATATCAGTGTGCGGAGCTTGCTACTGAATGGTGCGGCTCCGGCCAGCTTTCCAAGATGCAGTCCTCCCCAAACATGCTTACCAAGGTACGTTGCTTCCCCTCTGTTACCCCTTATCCCCGCGCAAACCAAGCCACTCTACTAAACAATTGCTTTTCGAATAGTTCGAGTCGAAGTCGTCTCGTGCGAAGGGAATTGCTTTTCATCCTAAACGGTCAGTCCTGGATGGACTGCTTAACGCGTTGCAATCGAGAGAAGCTGACCCTGGGACAGACCATGGATCCTTGTTTCACTCCACTCGTCGACAATTCAACTATGGGATTATCGCATGGGAACGTTGATTGATCGCTTTGAAGAGCACGATGGACCTGTTCGCGGCATCGATTTCCACCCAACACAACCCCTCTTCGTCTCTGGAGGTGACGACTACAAGATTAAGGTCTGGAGTCTTCAAACCCGGAGATGTCTTTTCACCTTGAACGGGCATCTCGACTACGTGCGCACGGTATTCTTCCACCGCGAACTTCCTTGGATTCTCTCTGCCTCCGACGATCAAACAATAAGAATATGGAATTGGCAGAACAGATCGTTGAGTAAGTGGGCTCCGGCCACTTGTCCCGACAACCGAGGCTGACTTGAGTCGCAGTCTGCACCATGACGGGCCACAACCATTATGTGATGTGTGCACAGTTCCATCCGACAGAGGACCTAATCGCTTCCGCGTCTCTCGACCAGTCTGTTCGCATTTGGGATATTTCCGGACTGCGGAAGAAGCATTCGGCACCGACATCCATGACATTCGAAGACCAAATGGCTCGAGCCAACCCCAGCCAAGCCGACATGTTTGGAAACACCGACGCTGTCGTGAAATTTGTCCTGGAGGGCCACGACCGAGGTGTGAACTGGGTGTCTTTCCACCCAACTCTACCTCTGATTGTCTCCGCGGGAGACGATCGCCTGGTCAAGCTGTGGAGAATGAGTGGTACGTGGCAAAGATGCTGTTGTTCTTTGTTCAAATGATTGCTGACACTACAGTGTAGACACGAAAGCCTGGGAAGTCGATACATGCCGGGGTCATTTCCAGAACGCCTCCGCTTGTCTATTCCACCCCCACCAGGATTTGATCCTCTCCGTCGGTGAAGACAAGACCATTCGAGTGTGGGATTTGAACAAGAGAACCTCAGTGCAGTCTTTCAAACGTGACGCGGATCGGTTCTGGGTCATTGCTGCCCACCCCGAAATCAACCTCTTTGCAGCTGGTCACGACACCGGTGTCATGGTCTTCAAGCTGGAGAGAGAAAGACCCGCGTCTGCTGTTTACCAAAACCAATTATTTTACATCACGAAGGAGAAGCACGTCAAATCATACGACTTTGCCAAGAATGTTGAGTCGCCGCCGATGCTTTCATTACGAAAGTTGGGTTCACCCTGGGTGCCGCCAAGAACTCTTTCTTACAACCCTGCTGAGCGCGCCATTCTCGTCACATCTCCCACTGATGGTGGTGCGTACGAGCTGATCCACCTTCCGAGGGATGCAACTGGCGCTGTCGAGCCGACAGACGTCAAGCGTGGCCAGGCTTCTTCCGCCGTCTTCGTCGCCCGCAATCGATTTGCTGTCTTCAGCCAGGCCAATCAACAGGTGGACATCAAGGATCTGAGCAACTCTACGACGAAAACTATTAAGCCGCCTTCTGGAACAACTGATATCTACTTTGGTGGAACCGGAGCTCTACTCTTCATTACACCCACCTCCGTGGTTCTCTTTGACATCCAACAGAAGAAGCAGCTGGCAGAGCTTGCAGTGAGCGGTGTCAAGTATGTTGTTTGGTCCAATGATGGACTCTATGCTGCTTTGCTCAGCAAGCATAATGTTACCATTGTTACCAAGACTCTCGAGCAAGTGAGCAGCCTGCACGAGACCATCCGCATCAAGAGCGCAGCCTGGGATGACTCAGGCGTCCTTCTTTACTCGACCTTGAACCACGTCAAATACTCTCTTCTAAATGGGTATGTGTACATATTTCCCCCTTCATTAGCTGGTGCCGATGCTAACAACCTCGTAGGGACAACGGCATAATTCGCACTTTGGACCACACCGTGTACCTCGTCAAGGTGAAGGGCAGAAGCGTTTACTGTCTGGATCGTAATGCCAAGCCCAGGGTTCTCGAAATCGATCCTACCGAGTACCGCTTCAAGCTCGCCCTGGTTAAGCGCAACTACGACGAGATGCTGCAGATTATCAAGACCTCCAGCTTGGTCGGGCAAAGCATCATTTCGTATCTGCAAAAGAAGGGCTACCCTGAGATTGCCCTGCAGTTCGTGCAGGACCCTCAGACTCGTTTTGAGCTTGCTCTCGAGTGTGGTAACCTGGAAGTTGCCATCGACATGGCGCGAGAGCTGGACCGCCCGAAGCTGTGGAGCAGACTGGGAATGGAAGCTCTGGCTCACGGCAACCATCAAACCGTGGAGATGACGTATCAGAAGCAAAGGAACTTCGACAAGCTTTCATTCCTCTACTTGTCCACCGGTGATTCTGAAAAACTGGCCAGGATGGCCAAGATCGCAGAGCATCGCGGGGACTTCACATCTCGGTTCCAGAATGCTATCTACCGTGGCGATGTTGAAGATAGGATTCAGATGTTCAAGGAAGTCGATTTGTGTAAGTGATTTTGTGATCAACATGACTATACTCAACTAACTCTCAAGTAGACCCTCTCGCCTATCTTACCGCCAAGTCTCACGGCTTGACTGAAGAGGCTGAATCCATTCTCGAAGCCTGTGGGTTGACCGAAGACCAGATCACGCTTCCCACAACTGAGGAGCCTCTGCGGGTGCCTCAGCCCATTGTTCCTACTTTCAAGTCGAATTGGCCCGTTAAGGCTGCAGCTCATTCGTCGTTTGAGAAGGCGTTGCTTGGAGAAGTGGGTGTGGAAGATGAGGAGGCTGCCGCCCTTGGCCTCGAGCCCGAGGAAGAAGGCGAGGAGGCCGTTCTGGCCCGTGAGACTCTTGAAGATGAAGAGGAAGATGTTGCCGGCTGGGACATGGGTGAAGAGATCAACGTGGAGGAGGATGTCGACTTCGTTAACGTTGACAGCGCAGAGGCTGGCGCAGGTAGCTCCGAAGCCGACCTTTGGGCTCGCAACTCTCCCCTGGCGGCTGATCATGTTGCTGCTGGTTCTTTCGATACCGCCATGCAGCTTCTCAATCGCCAAGTTGGTGCTGTCAACTTCGCTCCTCTCAAGAGTCGCTTCCTCGAAATATATAAGGCATCGAGGACTTACCTGCCCGCTACCGCCGGGCTTCCTCCTTTGATTAATTACGTGCGACGCACTGTTGAGGAGACTGACAGCCGCAAAGTCCTGCCCATCATTCCCAAGGATCTAGAGACGATCGCCAACGTTGACCTCCAGGAGGGTTACGCTGCAATGAGGGCGAACAAACTGGAGGAAGGTGTGAAGATTTTCAAGGGAATTCTGCATTCTGTTCTTGTCAACACCGTGTCTTCCGAAGCCGAGGTTGAGCAGGCGAAGAAGATCATCGAAACCGCTCGGGAATACATTCTTGCCATGTCTATCGAACTTGAGCGCCGCTCTCTGTCAGCAGATACCCCGGAGAACCTCAAGAGGAGTCTCGAGCTCTCTGCCTACTTCACCATCCCCAAGCTGGAGGTCGCTCATCGTCAGCTTGCACTGATGGCTGCAATGAAGTTTGCCTTTGCCAACAAGAACTTCTCGTCTGCCCTGAGCTTTGCCAACCGTATGTTGGCCAACGGAGGCTCGGCTAAGCTTCTTGATCAGGTAAGCCATCTGGTTTTTTTTTTTTTTTTCAAATCGCTGCGTTCTATGCGATACTAATGCAATCTTTAGGCCAAGAAAATCAAGGCACAGTGCGAGCGTAGCCCGCAAGACAAGATTGATATCGAGTTCGACCAGTTCGCCGAATTTGACATCTGCGCCGCCTCATTCACTCCCATCTACGGGGGTTCTCCTAGCGTGTCGGATCCTTTCACTGGTGCCAAGTATCATGAACAGTACAAGGGTACCGTGTGTCGGATATCTGAAGTGACGGAAATTGGAGCACCAGCTAGCGGGCTACGTCTGTTCGTTCCTGGTCAGTAGTAAAGATAATGTATTGATGGGCTTTTCGCAATTGTATTATCTCCCTGCTTTTGATGATTTCCACCCATAAAATATATTCTCCATATTCGGGAAGTGGTTTGTGGCGGGGACGTCAGGGAACAAGGGACGCCTTCTGCATTCTAGATGTGTGGCTCCGTTGTGCCTTTTTCATTCAGCGACTTCCTATTTATATTTCGACTTTGCGATATCTTCAAATCGAGATGATACAGACTTAACCGCTTTGCATGACGTTGATAGAGGAAAGTGTGCCTGTTCGCTCAAACGAGCTAGTCTTCCCTTGCTCGAATTCTGAGTAGAGATACATCCTTCTGTTAGTCGAGTCGTCTATAAGTACAATATGCCAAATATACAGTCAAGGAATATATCCATCTATTGCAGTCCGTAGGGAGCCGATCAATCGCATCTCCCATCCTTCCACCCAGTCCTCCACCTCTCCTCCCAGAACCGACAATCAAACTCCTTCTTCCCCAGCTTCCGATTCACCTCGTTATGCGCCTCGCACATCCACGTCCCGAAGTCCGCTCGTCCAGATAACCGCGGCGCATTCCGACCACTCGGCTCCGCCATCCACGTCCGGAAGTCCTCCGCACACACCCAGCAGGGATACAGTCGCGAGAAAAGGCCCAGGAACGAGCGCATCTCGCTCTGCTGCTCTGGCGAGGCCTTGGCGGGGTATGCGGCTGTCAGGGAGTGCAGGAACGTCCAGGTCGAGCGGCCCAGTTCCTCGACGTCTGGGGGGCATTGTGTTTGCATTGGTGAGGGGGCAGGAGCGGATGCGGAGGCGTTGGAGGGGGTTGCTGCTGGGGCGGTCCCAGCTGCAGTCTGGCTTTTGGCTTGCTTTGTCAATGCGCGCCAGGATGCGGCGGAGGTGCAGAGGCGGCAGCTGTTCGGGTGGTTAGATTTCCTGGCGCGGGTTCGAGGGCGTAGAGGTAACGTACGGTTTCCCATCCTTGTCTAGGATTACCCCATTGGGCAGTTTGGTCATGCCTGCGGGCACATCGTCGTCTCTTGGGGCTGTGGAGGAACTTGCGGCGGCGGGGGTTTGGTGGGGGAAGAGCGATTTGGGAAGTTTCGGTTGTGTTTCTGATTCCCGTGGGCGAGGATCTGACATAGTGATAGGCGTATACTGCTGTCTTAATCTCGGTTTAGGTGAGGTATATGGTATGGTCTCGGTGCTGCACTGGAGATTGCGGAGGATGGCGGAGGAGCAAAATTGATACTTCGAATGAGTGGTACGCTCCGGGGCACCCTGCTAAAACATATGGACAATAAGTAAAGCGCTAAGGAAAGATGCGGGATATCTGCAGATTAGCGTTAAAGCAAAGGCAAAAAGTAACGATAGAAAGCAGCTGCAATGCTGGATGGAAGCTCGGGGATATTTCTATATCGGCTTTGTCAGCACAGTCGCGCCGATAGTCTAATCTAGATAGAGCTCGGCGCGACGATAACATCCGGCAGGGATACTCTGACGTATACACTAGTGCTTGATTAGTGCTGTGCCATAGATGGCTATTGATCTTTAAGTGCGCTCAAAGCTTCAACGCCGTTCAATTAATCCGGTCTCCTAACAGAGATCCTTATACGTCCATACTGGTTCGCGCTCCCGATTCTTTTTCATCGTCGCGTTGAAATCGCGTCGCACCGCCGCTGGCTATCCGCTATCATCTGTCCCGGTGAAGTTGTGACGAACTCGTTCAAAACAAAAATAAAAGGGACTCGGGAAGCCAAACAGAATGGCACCTCGGTATGCCGTGTCGGACTCGGACGACGATTCCGACTCGAGTCAATCAGCGGCGATTTCAAAGCCCTCCGATGGAGCTCTCGAAAAAGCCCTACGCGACGCGGTCGCGCAGATCTACCGGTCAGGGAAAATGGAGGAATTGACTGTCAAGAGAGTGCGATTGGCGGCAGAGAGAGCACTTGGATTAGAGGAAGGGTTCTTCAAGGGGGATAGCGCGTGGAAAGCGAAGAGTGATCAGATTATCAAGGACGAAGTGGTATGTCGTTGTTATCCTGCATGACTGTTCTAGAGGGCCAATGCTCATGCAGGCGACTTATACTCAACAGAAGGTGCAAGACAGGCTCGCGCAAGAACCAGCACAGGAGGAAGGAGAACAAGGAGAACAAGAAGAACAAGAAGAAGAAGAAGAAGAAGAAGAAGATATTCACTTGTCTCCCCAAAAGACCGCGAAACCTACCAAACGCGCAAAACCTACAAGTACCCCTACATCAAGGAAACGCAGAAAGACAGAAACCCCAGAGCCCGAGGCCTCAGACGACAAGGAAACCGGTGCGCTCAGCGACAGCGAGGATGAGGACGAGGTCAAGAACCCTAGCGGAAGACGGTCAAAAACTGAATCAGAACGCGCCGACTCGGCCGATGCAGCCGAGGAAGCCGCCGATACTGAGAAGGTCGATTCGGAGAGTGAAATGTCGGTTGTCCTCGATGAGGAACCCAAACCCAGCCGCAAACGAGGGAAAAGCTCAGAGAGCACGTCGGCGAAAGGTAAAAAGAAGGCCCCGCCAAATCAAAGGACGCTGGACTTGATCCCAACGAAGCTGAAATCAAGCGGTTGCAAGGATGGCTGGTCAAATGTGGTATTCGCAAGGTGTGGTCTCGAGAGCTGGCTCCGTATGATACACCGAAAGCGAAGGTGAAGCATCTGAAGGACATGTTGAAGGATGCGGGAATGGACGGGCGCTACTCACTAGAGAAGGCCAAACAGATCAAAGAGAAACGGGAGTTTGAAGCCGATCTTGCCATGATCAAGGAGGGTGAAAAGCATTGGGGCCGCGGAAGTGTGGAGGAGGAGAGTGACAGCTCTCGACCTCGACGGAGACTCAATCGGGGTCGACAGACTCTGGCCTTCTTAGAAAGCGATGGGGAAGAGACTGATTGATGGGTCTGAGTGAAGTAATGATAATTATGTCTAGCTATACATTTCGGCATGCCCCTTTTAATGGGATGTAGGGAAGTATGTACTATGCTGGTCATGTGCACTGAACTGGGCAAAGAAACTTATTTGTGGCTAATCAGAAAGGATATATACACATGACTGACCCTTGTATAAATTATACCCAGTAAAGCTCCAGTGTTGTTAAAACAAGAGGTTCTATGTTGAAACCCCCGAGGTTGAGCGTTTCTGTTGAATATCTGTTCTATTGATATTTAAAGCGCTTCCTCGTCCAGAAAGCAGATATGAATGTTAAAAGCGTTACCAGCTATCTACTACTTCAACCTGCAGGAGGAATGGGTGCCGACAGCTGCCGACAGCCTTAATCGTAGAAACATGCATATTGACTTTCATGTTTCGGTTCCTTCTATTAATAATTAACAAGTTGGATATCGTACTTATTGCTATTTCTACAGGCAGCAGTACACAACTAGAACCTCACTCTGAAAACCAGAGCCTGGCTGTCGAGGTTGTAGCCAGATTCATCAGCGTACTTGAACCGGCCAAAATTCATGCGTCCTGTACGAGCGGTAGTCAGCATATTTGTGCTCGAGGAAGAACATATAGACCACCTACCATCCTGTGTGATAAAATCATTATCACTGAAGCTGAAGAGGAAATATTCCCTCGTCTTCTTGGAATGCTTATCCTCGTGCCCGTGCGGGTCAACCGGCACAAGAGCCAGACTCTCCCACTTCTCATTCAAAAGACCAGCGTCCTGCGCACCACCGTTGTGAAGGCCGAATTTGGCTAGTTCTGAATTCACGTTGAAGTCCAGGAAAGGGCAGTACTCCGCCGGGGTGATACCCGAGTCCAAGACACCCTTCGAGCTGGCGATGGATCCATCCGCGGCGTCATACGTACCCTTCAGATCTGTTGTAGACTCGGAAATGGAGACGACGTCCGCATGCCGGTAGACGGAGAGGGACTCGGACTGCCCATGTCCGAAGCCGGAATCGCGCGAGAGAACAAGGAAGTCGCCGGTGGGAAGCTGATGGATCTCCGACTGTGAGGCCACCTTTGCCGCGTCCGATGGATCCTTCTCCGTGTAATCATTGTACTTGGGTAGGAGTACGGCATACTCGTGCTTGTACTTCGGTGTGCCGGAGGAGATGTCATACTCCAGCAGCCGCGCGGGTTGGCGGTTCTTCTTCTTTGGGCCGCCTTCCTGGTTCAGCGCCGATTGGATCATGGTGTACAGCGTCTTGCCGTCCGGGGAGATAGTAAGCGCTTCGAAGCCCTGATTGTTGTTGCGGCCTGTCTTGGGATCCTCGGGGACGGGCATCTGGTCGGGGCATAGAGGGGCGGACTGGCGGCGCTGAAGCTGACGGTGCCGTTGCGACGGGGGAGGTAGGCCTGCGGCGGTTGCAGGGCTAGCACCATCTTGCCGTGCTTGTTGAACTTATACACGTAGGGACCGTACTCGTCAGAGATCCAGAAGAAGCCGTCCTTGTCAAGTACGAGCCCCTCGGCGTCGATCGTGATCCTCTTTCCTCCCTTGCCTGTGCCGTCGAAGCCATCACCGATGTATGTGGCTGCGGGGAGAGGGGAAAGCCGCGGTACGAGGCAGAGCCCGTGACGTCTGCATCGAGACCTGTGGTGGGCTCGCCATCAGGACCGGTCAGAAGAATCGTGTCGAGGTACTTCAGCTGCAAGTTCGGCTTCGATGGATTCTCAGCAGATGCACCTGGTGCCAGCTTGAAAGTGATGGCCAGCTTGTGGATACGCGACTGGAAGTTGAGCGTTCCGTTGGTGTTCCTGAAGCAGAAGCATATCAGGTCAATTTGAAGCTTCAATGGCCATGGTATAAGCGTAACTTACCAGCCACGATCAGGCAAGCAGTAGATGATGCCAGTGTACGAGTCAGGGCCCGTCTTGCGCCAGGAGTCTTGATCGATAGCAATAGCGCTGCCAATGCCTCCTAGTGTATCACCATACTTATCAACCGCATTGGACGGGATGAATCCGTATCCCGCAAGCCCGGTATACTCGTAGCTTGTGCCGCCACAGGTTGTTTGATTCACGACATTGCACGAGTCGTGCCGAGTAAGAGCGCCAGCTGTGGCGGCGGCTGTCAATGGCAGCACACTCACCAATGGATTCAACCTCATGATGCCGTCTGCAACTTAAGATTGCCTCCTGGCATCCTCGACTGAGGAGGAGAAAGCAGGCGATTTTATACGCCTCATGGTTGACCTTGGCACCTGAGGAGCGCCCCAATCAGAGCAGACGCTGCGGAAGGTGCCTTGCATTATGAATCGCCGTCAAATGAACGATGATAATCCTCATGGAATCGCTTAGCGGTATCTATCTAGACATCCCGTTCCTCGTGGTGTTAGCAGGGAAATGACTCGCGAGAAGATCGAGATCCTGGCAGCTTGAGTTGAACGTGGTTAAGATCGTCAATCCCATTCGCTCTCTGATTCGGAGTATCAAGCCCGATCTTCTTGGCTGCAGGAAACCCGGCCCCCACCCGGCATCAGCTAGACAATAGTCTACTCCTTTAAGGAACTGAGTAGATATCAGGGTAAATTTCGGGAATGGATGGCTGGATTCGAATCCCCTTCATCTAGATGCTACTTGACATCCTGGTATAAGCAAGATAAGACATATTACCTTCAAGGGGTCTGTCTGATTGCTGTGACGGAGGACTATCCTCACATAGTTGCTCCAGTTTTGGACTCTTTTCTGCTAGCAATTCTGTTTGTGAAATACACCGCATAGAGTCACTGGACACTAGGAGTCGAGGTCTGTACATTGGACAGATCGAATCCGTGTATTCGAGGCGCAGGAAGAGCGGTTTGATTGCTACCTCTGAAGCCCGATGACGCCATGTGCTTAGATCAGTCGATGGAAGCTCATTTCCACTATTGAACATCTTCAATGCAGAACTAACATTGAAAAAAACAAATGACATCAAGTTCAGCATTACTACATTGAATGTTTCTTCTCTGTTATGTCCGGAATCATAGTCCGAAGCTTCATCTCGAAGCACCTATTGTACACTCAGTTGCCGGTTCTACGCGTTCCAGGTAGTTGGCACCTTGGGATAGTCCTTCGCATCCAGTCCTAGGTCTTCATAAACGGTTTCGTCGCCTGTGCACGGGTCAGCGACGTAGCGAAGCAGAGCATCGGAAGAACTGACCTTTCAGAGATTCGATTCTCTCCTCATTTTCTTGCTCCAGCTTTTCCAACTCCTCGCCTGGTTGCTCTTCATGTGCCTCCTTCTGATCAGGCTCTGCTGTGGCTGCCTTTCCAAGCTCATCGGTCGCCTCCCCGATCATGAGGAACTGCGCATTGGGATAGTCGATGAACTCAGGCTCCAAGGGAACCCATCTATAGTCTCCGAACTTTTGGCGGACGCTGCGATGAAGCAGTTAGTTTCCATGCCATCATGGCACGATCATCGACTCACCTCTCAGGATACTCAGGGTCTTTGGGAAGCTGTGCGAAGGACGGGCCAGGATATTTGGGGTTCTTCGACTGGACAATGAAACTGCCTTGGCTATGAAGGCCAAAGTCCTCTTGAATGGAGCCCATTTCTTGCGGAATAGTCAGAATGTAGGCTAGGTGAGAGGCACGCTTTCCAGAGGTTATGGCGTAGACTCCTTCCGCATAGGGTCGCGCTTCCTGAACGGCGCGTTCTCCTCGAGTCGATGTTTCATATTTCTCACCCACCATAAAGCTGTCGTGGAGATCCTTCATAGATATTCCTGCTTTCTCCACGAATCCCATGTCTCTTTCCTTACCCGAAGTAGGGAACTTCTTCTTCGGCAGAATCATCAAGCGACAGCGTGCGTCGGCTGCAACTGTGCCTTGGTTGGCGTCCAGCACTGCACCCAGAGGAGTCGGACGTAGAACAAAGAAACTTCGAGCAACATCCTTCACACTGCGTGGATCCTCAACATTGACTCGAGGACGGAAGAAGAAGTATATGATTCCCTTTTCGAGAATGTTGGAAGGTACAATGTTTTCTCGTTCTTGCGACTTTCTGACTCCGGCCTCAACCCCTTCCTTTGCCGGCGCTTCAGCAGGCTTTTCTTCTGGTTCTGCAGGTAGTTACTGTTAGCATTGGCCAAATATCTCCGCATATTTTATTACCTTTGGCGGCCTTCTCTTCCTCACGAGGTTCTGGGGCAGCCTCTTCCTTTGCGCCTTCTTTGGGCTCTTGTTCTGGTTTCTCTGATTTCTCTTCAGGCTGTTCACTGAGCCCTAGTTGCTGTTAGCATGACGCGGCGTAAGAAATCCCAAAATGTAATCATACGTCTTGTGGCTTTTTCCTGTTCCTCTTTTTCGTCCTTTTCACCAGGTCCAGGGACTGCTTCTTCCTTCACCTGCTCTTTTTGTTCTGGCCGGTCCTCCTCTTCGCGCTTCTGCTGCTGCTGTTCCTTCTCTTCTTTCTCGTGGTCTGGCTCGCGATCGACTTTCTTTCCCCTCTTTGGTTCAGGTCCTTTTTCGGTAGTATCCTTGCGCTTTGCACCAGCAGTCTTCTTTGGTTTGATATCACTGGTGCTAGTGATGGCCTCTTTCGCTTTCTGAGCGGCCTGGCGCGACGATGTTCTAGTGGCCATTGTCAGAGAATTGTGTTTGCTCGCAGTGGAAAATTGGGCCAATTGCGCGGATCCGAGATGTCTCGATTAATGCGACAGATTTGCAAGTGATCAGAGCGTACGACAGGCAGAGGAAAGGTGAGAAGCGACTACGACATCAGTCGCCCCAGTCGGAGTGAGTGACCGCAATGAGAACTGCCTGACGTCATAGAATGTTCCTCAACCTCTTCCGGATTAGGGTGCGATTTAGAACGGCGTATCGCCACGTGATTGATGGAATGACTGGATGACCAGCACCACTTTAGAATAGTATGCTATTTATGAGTAAATCAATCTATGTCCATTTCATCACTAACGTTAGGTTTATTGCTCGGGCTTGCCCCGCTTGCATCCGTGGACTGAGGACTCAGACTAAGGCTTGCAGGGGAACCGGTTTCAGTCGAGCTGCGCGGTGAGAGAGGAGTTCTTTGGCCTTCTTTGGGGCGCATGCTTCGTCGCCGTAATCTCTTTGGGCTCGCACTAGGTCCCTCGTACTGGATATCGGGGGCTACCTCATAGAGTTGTCGTCGACCAGGCGCGGAATTTCCTGCGCCGAAGGTGGGCGTTTTCCTCTTCCTTCCTCTCTTGTGGCTCGAACGGCAGCGCCAGTCAGGATGATCCGAGTCGCAGTGCAGATCTTGCATTGAATCCACTAATTCCCCTTGCCACGATTCGGAATCGTTTGGAGCGGGCGAAATGGCTAATCTAGGGACGTGCCTAAGAGCTTCATCCTCTGGTTCCTCAATAGCGTACGGTTTCACCACCTCAATATCGCCGTCATATCCAGAATCGCGAGAAAAGATATCCTCGAAATACACATCCTCCGAAGCTGCAGAGTTGCTTGGTTTGGTAGTCGAGCTTGAATGGCTGAACTCGTCATGACTCTCCGGACTTCTTTGTTCGTTGGCGGGCATCTTGAATTAAGCCGACCTTAGGATGAGAACGTCCTTCATGTCCCAACATATAGACATTGACATTGATTTCAAGCCACAATCCATAGAACTCCAGGTATAAATGGGCAGAATACGGGTTAACCAGAACCCTCAGAGGATGATCGTGACATAATTGAGGTCGTGAGATACCCGCAAGCTTCGACCAGTTGTTGATAGTAGCTAAGTAGCCAACTTGAATTGCGGAGCGCAACTCCACTCATATCAGATTTCCACCTTCACTCCTGGCGCTGATTGGCTGGCAGCGGGCAGTCATCTCCATCTCGCATTTACGGAGTATATGGCCGAGATATCTTGAATGCCTTGAAAATCAGGCGCAAATATGCCGTTCTCTACCAGTCATCGAATAGCAGGGAATAATAGCTATACAGGAATAGCCGTTTATTAATCCTAAGATGAACCATACGTTTTATCTCCAGTCAAGCAAAGTTGCGAGATACATTCAATCCTTGTTGGGTGGGAGGCACAATCAGCATGCTTAGGCCATGTCATGCCTGAGGATGTTGCTACTTTCGAGAAAGAGACAGATTGAACGAGCGTTGCATAGAATGATTCATCAAATTGACTGCTAACTGCGAGTGACATATACTACTCAAAGTAAATAACGCCTTTTCTCCATTGCGAAGTATGTCAAACTTGGAAGCACCATAGTCCACGAAGAACCCAAGGCACGGCTTCGAAGCAGAATTGGGTTGATACACTGAACAATGGCGATTGCTCTCCACGAAATGCTTTCCATGATTAACCGTGCATCGTAGAGGAAAACAAATTTAATCTTTCACAATATTGATTGCGCGTAGTATGTCTTCGAGTGACCATCCAGGGCCACCGGGCACAATCTCAGCCCACACTTCTTCTGGAATCGACTCCTCAGGACTTAGCAAGCTCCAGTTCGGGCTTGGTTCCGGCTTAATCCATTTGAAGTCCTCAACTTGGCTCCAGCGGTCTTCGTTATCCGGACGGTCATGGTCCAGAGCCTGAGATTATGAGCACATGCACTGAAATGGTCTTCAGCAGAGAGGGATGACTTACATATGCCCTTGGGATTCTGCCAAACCGGACGTCGGTGCAATCTTCAATGATTGGATTGCTGGAGCTGCTCAGGTACACGTCCACGCCAGTACAGTTGTGCATGCGGAATTGGCGACACGACACCACAATCACACTATTTTTAACATCGGTTATATGTGCTGGCCCGTCAATTTGGCCACAGATCAATAAGCTCTCGTTGACATCCTTGACAGTGAGACTGGCATAGGGCTTGCCGTTTGCAGTCGGTATGGACATATCAACGACGCAATGGTTCAAAGATGTGATAGATGCAGGTACAGCCGCTGTCGAGCCTGATGCAGGAAGCATAATATGGAGACCATAATGATCGTTTACGGAGACAGAGGACACAGCTGTGGCCGCGAAAGCCTTACCCTTATTGGAGTCTCCTTTGGATTTCGATTCAGTTTCACTAATGCCAGAGGAAAAGGCGGGAACCGACGTCGGTGCGATTTCTGGCCGATGTGACTGAAGGAGATCTGGTTCGTACAAAGGTGTAGATGGGTAATTCGGCGTCTGCACAGCGGAGGAATCTACCGAAGATGCTCCTGGGGAGCGGTAGCCGGGTAGACCCCGTGGCCTTGGGCAACTAGTTCGGCCGCATCTGACAGCGAGACAGCCGATGCATTCTTCTTTGTCTTGAAGGTAAATTTGGGGCGAGGCTCAAACGCCGAGCGTGTCTCGGCAAGCTTGTCCTGAAGCGCTTTGATGGCCTGACAAGACAACAACTATCAACCAGGTACACACCAAGGCTATGACGGTCATTGACCTACCTCTGCATACACACGTTGATCATAGGTGGGGATATAGCTTGCTGCATCCTTAACCTCATTAGACAATCTTGCAATCCCAGCCAGGCAATGGTCGGTTGCATCCGTCCGTTCCCCTCCTATGAGGGACGTGTCTGCCAGACGGTCCATCTCTTCTTGAAGAGCTACAGGATGGTACTTCGATGTCAGATTACTCTGCTAACAGACACAAAACGACAATATCACGGAGACATACCGGTAATCTCATGTTGGAAGTAACGGAAGAATCGTTCCTTCAACGGGATCTCGGATTTCAGTATGGTCTGGTTCTCGGCCTGCGACGGCCGCCGTGATGGATCGAACGCGAAGGCAGGCTGCGACATTGTTGATAGAGTGATGAAGACAATTGAGAGCAAGAGTGATGTGGCGAAGATATCATGTGTCGTCGGTTTCTCGGGAATCTAAAGATCGTGTGCGAGTGCCGGGATGTAGTGATGACGTCGACGCCGAGATGCCCAACGTAAAGTCAGTTTACGTGCACACGGCTGGGCAACTTTAATAAATGCTCCAGGTAGGATTTGGCGGCCGTTAAGAATGCAATGGACAGGATATGAGATTGCAATACCATCTGCCTATATGCCTCAGGAACAAGGACAAGTCAAGTATTAGTCCAAAGGCCCAGTTACACCAATGAAGAGGGAGGGGCAATTGAGTGTCGCATGCTCTAATCTAGAGAAGTATGGTCTGATGCTAAGCTGATAACTCGATGGCCAGACTTGCAGGTAATCCCTGTCACATGTTTACTCACCTAGAATGACAAGCTAAAATTTCAGCTCTAGACTCTCCGACATTACGTGCTGAGTGCTCTGTCGTCCAGAAGCAACCCTCCACAGCTAAGGTAGCTCATCATATGCTAGTGGTGACGTCGATCACCACTCAGCAATCTACGGAATTCGGAGAATTTCGCACTCCGGGAGAGGTACCCCCTTATAGCCATTTGTGGTATAGTCTAGGTCTGTTGTTCTGTGTGTCACCGCCCGACTTTCCTCTTTGAGCGACTGTCAACATCTCCTTCTCTATACATACAGCATGAGTTATTCGACGGCTCTATCACTAAATAACTGCAAGAGCATGGAGTCTGATACTGTGGGGCGCCAACTTCTGCGACGTTTTTGGAGCATCAATATATGTTCTTATGAAGCTATGGGGCTAATTCCAGACTACCACCACTTTGCGTTGACTGCGCCGCCCAACTTACATACTGTTATATCCCTGGCAGTTCCGCCATGTCAGGTCTTTGAATAGGTGCCATTGCATGCATCTCCACTGCTGACTGATTTGAAAGCGATGAGTTCTGTCTTCGCTGTGCTGGAAAATTCCCAGCTGGGACCCGTTCCACAACTAGACGGTCAAAGTCCGGGCGCAGGTCAAAATCATTAATTACCTCGGCACCCTCAATGTACCTGATTGCTCTGAGGGATAATTTACCATCCTTGGCCCAAAAGGCAAGGATCTCATTTTCCTGTGGGAAGGACAGTGTCAAATTCCCAGGTTTGAAAGCAGCGCTGCTTATCTTGCTCGACGCTTTCTTTAGTTGATATGGAGTGAGGACAGTATTGGCCTTGCACTCGCACATATAGATCTCACCGGCACCATTTGCCATGGCGAACCGTGTTCCTGAAGGCGATTGTGCTGCATGAACGATCCTGACGCTGAGCGGATCGCTGACGATGTTCGGGTCAGCAAGAGAGACTAGCATCGGAGACTCTCTTCCCAAGAATGCTGTCATTATGACAGCAAAATGGAAGCTGTCGTAGAAAACACACGTGAGGTCTCCATCGTTCGCCACCCACTTTAGAAATTAGCACCAACCAGCGACTTCGCTCAATTGATATTACTTACTGATGGAAGTTTGAACGATCTTGACTTGTCAGGTGTGATTATCCATTGTCCAGCATTCCAGCCCCAGACATCAACATAAGCGCAATGGTCACCCATGTGCGTTGCTACAACAAAGTGCTTTCCGTCGACGGAGAATTGAATCTTTCGCTCAATAACTGCCTTTGGTCTGGTTTGGTTGTTGGCGTATTGTCCATCCCTTGAAGGAGTTGCCGCTCCGGATGGTGGCTCTTCTCCCAGCAACGGGTATCGATCAAAGTGCTCGCCCAAGGGAACTCTCCGTATAGCTCCCGCACCGATCTCATACACTCGGGCCTCTTCCCTGATAGTGAAGGCGACAAACCTGTCGTTACGTGACATAGTCATACATATAGAGGGGATGGACTGATTCTGGAGTCCAGACTCAATCGTCAGGTACGCATCAGCGACAGTACCAGTGCTGTTGAATATTAGCAGCTCGAGGTGCTAGAAACATGTTAGCAACCCGAAAAGGAGTCAACAGAATCAACAGGCGAAATTGAGATGTGAATACCTCTCCAACAGCGGCGATCACAGCGCAACGTCTGTCTCCCGCTGCAGCATATTGAACCCCAGACACGTCGTATCTGTGACCCTTGCTCCTCTGCCCTTCCATGGTTGAAAGCTCAAACCGCATGACCCAGCTGGTACCCGCTCCCCATAGGAGCAGAGTTCGTCCTGTCGCGGAAAAGCAGGACCGTGGCTGCCGCGGTAACTTCTGCTTGGTGGAGGCTTTTCTGAATAGTGACGCCCCGCTTGGGAAAGGTATCTTCACGCTTTTGAGCTCCCTAGAAAGACTCCTGGTGCCCTGTCTTTCGCGCAATTGATCAGAAGAAGCATGCGATGAAAGGGGACTAATCAGCTCCGTGACAGACGTATTTGAATGCTTTGTCATAAGATCAGAGAAGCCGAGGGTGCGTGTTATAGGCGAAATAGGACTTCTGGGAAATTCACTAGGGTCTAAACTGGTAGTGTGGCTTGTCGAGCTTGACTGCGATGTCGTATCTCTGGAAGCGGAATCTGCTATAGAATACTGTCTATTGCGGTTTGACTCGGATACATCTTCCAATCCAGTTTGCCCTAGCGGTTTGATCATGCGAGCGTGTTGAATTCGGATATCTCCAGGGCATAACGGGCAGGAAATGTTCAGCGTGAGAAACTCTGGGCTCTCCTGCAACTGCTGGTGAAAAGGTTAATTGGGAAGGAAATGGTAAACTCATTTAGCGAGTCCACACTCGCATAGCCTGGTGTAAATGCGTCTGAGAAACGTGAAATATCATACCTCATAGAGTGTGTTGTGGCTGGTCAACTGCTCTTCGAGGAGTGCTTTGGGAACCATGTGAACTGCAGGACAGTCAACAGCGTATAGAACGCTGCTCCGCTTGTCCCGGCTCTCAGGCTGAGCCGCAGGATCCGGCAACGAAGCATTCTGAAGCCACTGTGTCAAATGACGTTGGTAATCCTGGGAGATCGACTCCAGCTCCCCATTGCAGTCCCACATCTGAACTCGGCGATTGATGAGCCATCTCACGAGAAGCCCCAGAGAGTCTTCCAGAACGCCTCTAATGCGTAAAAGGCGCGTCCAGCTGTCCCTGATGCGCCGGGTTTGTAGCGGCGGTTGTCCCTCAGCGTTGTGGCTCAATATGAGAGTTGCGAGGACCTGAAGAGGTGGCGCCGAAAATTCATCGTCGAATGCTGCCATTACAGTCCTCACCAGCTTTTTTCGCGTCTCTTGAGCTTGCGCAAAGGCATCTTCCACCTTGCTTGCCGCGGCATTGGAATATCCTTGTTCTTGTGAGATACGGCGACGATCAACATGACACTGGATAAGCGCAAATTCGGCGGCGCTTATGATATCGAACAGAGTACAAAACGAGGTTAGATAATCCGTCTTGTTTGCGACAATACCCGTCAACAGATCTGTCATAAGGGTTTCCGGGGCTATTGAAAAGGGATACTGTCATCAAATCAGCCTAGTATCACCAGCAATGAGAATGGCGACACTAACGAGTCCTGACGCGAAAGATGGAAGCGATGTATTATTGGAGATCAGCAAAGTGCTCTGCTTCTTTGCAAGCTCTGGAGAACCAATCTGATCGATCGCTCGTGGTAATAAGTCCATGATCAGATAGCTTTCTGCACTGGATAAATCGGGATGGTGCCATGCTGCCCTCATCGCCCGCTCCAGGTTGAATCTCAGATCGGGTGGAATGGCGTCACCACGCAACAGGAGCAGTCGGACCCCACCAAGCAGAACTTGCGCAATGAAATGACGATGCCGAGCAAAGTCGGGAGGCGCCGGGGTATTAGACGGGAATAAGTCTGACTTGACCCGGATCAGGTACATAAGTGTTGAGAAAATCGTTTCCGAAGGCAAGAGGTACGGTAAAAAGTAAGGATGACAATCGTGCACATTGGTCAAGCCTTGCAGATAAGCTCGCTGTAAGTCGAAGATGGCCTTGATCCAGAGCACAGGTCGTATAAGCGGTTCGATTCGAGAGGCATCATCTTGCATCTGAAATACAGCCAGCTCTGCCGCATGTTCGCCGATGATCTCCCTTAGAATGTTGCCTACATCACGACGACCGAGTTGTTCCCACACAGCTGCCACGAGCGGATGCGACATGGAGAAGGCGGGGTTGACAGCCCTGCGGGACTTGAATGCAAGAGGGATTTATCGCATCTAAAGCGCTTTCATCAACGGTCTTCTCACTTGGGATGAAGGATAATAACCCTATTGTTGGTGGAGAGCTCCGATGAAATTTATCGAGTAAATGGAGATGGAGAAATGCCCATTGCTATCATCTTGACAGGCGATGACAGCAAACAGAGGCCAATGTCATCCTGTGCAAGGTCTGGAGGGGCGTTTGCTGAAGCGTTTTGTTTCCCGCTGATGCGAGGCTGCGTTGGTGTCTTACACGGCCGATATTGCCTGGCCAGTCAGAATCCCTGTTGTTTGCGCTGGGGAATCTTTTGCATCGCGAATCACAACCAACCAGAAGTATTCGCTTCAATTGCCGGATGATCATCGGCGCCCTTTCCGAATGAGTGGCTAATCTCCAGTCGCTCAGTTTGACGTGGCACAAATGGCAGGGAAGGACGAAGTTATCCGCTGTCTGCAGAGATGCAGATAAGAAACTAGACGGTTGCATTATTGACAGATAAAGGTATTCCTGATCCGAATTGAAGAACTTTACGAAAAATGGAGCACGCTTGTAGAGTTCATAATCTCAGCCCAACGAGGTGAAGTCGCTCAGCAAATGAGGGGTTGAGAAAGGCTTGATGTTGTTGAAGACGCCTAAGAGTACGCCACGAATTCTTACAGGACCACCCAAGTATCAATCAATCGGCTTGGGAACCCAGATTGCACTCCTGCAAGTATTCTCATCCTGCCGAAAATATATATACGTATTCTTCGAAGCCCTGCATATCATGAGTATTACAGTAGACATCCGTCTTAACAATTTGAAGAGCTGTGCCGTACTCTAACACCTACTCAATAGGGTCTAGCATCACCCTCCCAGCAACAGAATCAACCCTCTTCACTCGATTCTCTCTATGCGTTATAGCCACCGAGATCGCGCTGCACCACCCGTCCATTGTTCTATATCAAGGTTAAGCTTTGGTTGGATCATCCAGACGGGAAATATGCTTACATTCTGCTTGAGATAATGACCTGCATTCCTCTCGGCCTTGATTTACCTGAATTCTCCCTAGTCTCTGACCAAGTAAGTGATTTCTGCTACGCTTGAGTGAACGTGCACCATATCGCCATGACAGATGTTAGGCATCAGATCATTGGCGGTGTCACTGTTTATTCACCTGGTATACGTAAGTAGACATCCAACTATTTTGCCAAAGACTATTGCTCCGGCCTATATCCAGCCTCGTGCCTCTACATAAACCTTGCTGACAGGTGTAGGCCGTAGGGTAATGAGAAGTAAGATCTTTTGTGCCCACTGCCAATGAACCGATGACCAAAATAGCGACTTCCTGTCACTTCACCATCTCTCCGAGGAGATCATTTGAAGTTCAGGGAGGCTGGTTTCTCAGATACCTTTGAATCAGGTATCTACATAGTTGCTGGTGGTACATTTTGATAGGCTGGCGATCATCTGCCAAGTTGAGCCTAGCGGGATAAACAGGTCCACTTAGTCGTGGAACAAGAAAAGCATAACTATTCTAATCCATTTAAACCGCGGCTCAGTCATCCTTTTGATGGCCTATGACTGGCTAGAACCTGGCCATCCCTTGCTTCCCAATTGCCCAATTTGGCCATCGATAGAAAGCTCCATAGGGATGAGAATGAGAAGCTTGTGCCGCTACCCGGCATCGATACACTGCCCTGAACTTAACGGCGTCAACTGTCAGGCCCTAAAACGCCCGAGCTCTGACGATGGCGTTCTCAGCTCCAGGCTAAGTAAGTCCTTCAAGCTTTCTACTCTTATGTCTCTGGTTATCTGGACAAGGAAATCAGTCACCGCATCCCACTAAGTCACAGAATAGCGCAGGGTCTTCTCCAGGTAAGGCACAAACTACATAATCGCGCTTCGGCAGTTAGTCTGCTCCTGCAAATACTGGCTAACAAGTAGTTACATTCCCTGCCTTGGTGACATGATGGCTGGGCCTTGGCATGCGCCTTTTCCCTTGGGACCCCGAAATGAGCGATTGGCCGTGGGCAGACCATCAAGTCGTACAGTATAAGTATGTACTGTGTACACAAATGAGTTCGCGCCTCGCGTGTATAAAACAAGGCTCGCTGTTTGCCTATTTCCGTGTGTCTCATCGCTGTATTGCCATCTAGATACGCGATTCCAGTGTCGCAAGCTCACATGGCACCATTCACGCTTGTGATGGGGATCCTATCCCTCTGTATTTCCTGCATTGATATCGGTGCAGCTGCACAATCCGGGTACACTGTCGTGGAGCAGCTCAGAAATGTGCCCGACGGCTGGATAAAGCGCGATGCAGCACCGGCGTCCGAATTGGTCAGATTTCGGCTGGCTATGAACCAGGAAAGAGCCGCTGAGTTCGAGCGAAGGGTCATTGACATGTCGACACCGAGTCACTCGAGCTATGGACAACATATGAAGCGTGATGATGTCAGGGAATTCCTGCGTCCTTCCGAGGAGGTCTCAGACAAGGTCCTTTCCTGGCTGAGATCAGAGAATGTTCCTGCTGGCTCGATTGAAAGTCATGGCAGCTGGATCACTTTCACTGTCCCGGTATCACAGGCGGAACGTATGCTAAGAACGCGCTTCTATGCCTTCCACCACGTGGAGACAAGTACGACGCAAGTCAGAACGCTTGCGTATTCCGTTCCCGATGACGTCCACCGTTATATTCAGATGATCCAACCAACGACCCGCTTTGGACAACCTGTCCGGCATGAACGACAACCACTTTTCCAGGGAACTGTTGCTAGCCTGGAAGAGCTGGCGGCGAATTGCTCCGCAACCATAACGCCGAACTGCCTTCGCGAATTGTACGGGATCTATGATACCAGAGCCGGACCCGACCCGCGCAACAGATTGGGAGTTTCCGGATTCCTAGATCAGTACGCACGCTATGACGACTTTGAGAATTTCATGAGGTTGTACGCACCCAATAGGACAGACGTCAACTTCACCGTAGTCTCGATAAATGACGGTCTCAATCTGCAGGACTCGTCCCTGAGCAGTACCGAAGCCAGCCTAGACGTCCAATATGCCTACTCTTTGGCGTATAAAGCGCTTGGAACCTACTATACAACGGGAGGCCGAGGACCAGTTGTGCCTGAGGACGGTCAGGATACGAACGTGTCGACCAATGAGCCTTACTTGGATCAACTTCATTACTTTCTTGATCTTCCAGATGAAGAACTTCCCGCCGTTCTTTCAACCTCGTATGGCGAAGATGAGCAAAGCGTCCCTGAATCATACTCAAACGCAACTTGCAATCTCTTCGCACAGCTTGGCGCACGCGGTGTGTCGATCATCTTCAGCAGCGGTGACTCAGGCGTTGGTTCAACATGCATCACAAACGATGGAACCAACAGAACCCGATTCTTGCCTGTCTTCCCAGCGTCCTGTCCATTTGTTACTGCTGTTGGCGGTACCTACGATGTCCAACCCGAGAAAGCAATCAGCTTCTCTAGCGGAGGCTTCTCAGATCGCTTCCCACGTCCCTCGTATCAGGAGTCAAGCGTTCAAGGCTACCTAGAGCAGCTTGGAAGCAGATGGAACGGGTTATACAACCCCAGCGGGAGAGGTTTCCCTGACGTCGCCGCTCAGGCCACTAACTTTGTCGTCATTGATCACGGGCAAACGCTGAGAGTAGGCGGCACAAGGTCCGTCGTTAAAATGAGTGTCGCTCTTAGAAACTTCGCGCTAACCATTGTTGTAGTGCATCTGCGCCTGTATTTGCAGCCATCGTCTCCCGGTTAAATGCTGCCCGACTGGAGGATGGTCTGCCAAAACTGGGATTCCTAAATCCATGGCTCTATTCCCTCAACCAGACAGGATTCACAGATATTGTTGATGGTGGCTCATCGGGTTGCTATATTGGCAGTAGCAACGAACAACTGGTTCCCAATGCAAGCTGGAACGCAACGCCAGGATGGGATCCGGTTACCGGGCTTGGAACGCCCTTTTATAATACTCTGGTGAAACTAGCCACGAGCGTTTCAAGTACCCCATGAGATCAAGAAGGAGAAATAGAAGGCAATCTAATATTCTAATAAGTTAGTATAGCATTTTTCCTTACACCCAACAGCCCTTGTAGGCACCTTGAGGACCTCTTTGCCTAGCCAACCAGGCTGTCTAGGGGCTCTCAGACAATATCTGCAGCAACCAGATAAAAAATTACAATGATTCAAAAGGATAACTAGTATTGCGCACTGGCAGTAGTGGTTTACCGTAGGCACGTCGACGTGTTACGAAGATGCCCTTCAACAATGCTAAACTGTCCAGAGAAGATACGTCAGATCACGTGCCGTTGTTGACCGCCCGCCAAGACAATACCGTCGCCGGAGAAGCTCTTGGGAGCTGACAGCACCATCAACCAAACTCCGTCTACACCATCAAACTGCTTCTGTAATCTTTCTTTCTCTTTCCACCAGTCTCTGATCAACCTCGAATAGAATCTTCACCGACTGACACAGAGAATTTCAAAAAAGAAGTTACTATCATGGCACAAAGCGCCGACCTCCGGTCCCTCGTTTCAGAGCTCCATAATGCTCTCAAGCGCAAGCAGCTCGAAGCTGCCAACAAGCTCCTCAGCCAAGCAAAGCGAACCCTTCTCCTTCAGAATGCGCTGATCCCTACACCTTCCACACCATCTGACCTCATCCCGCTCGCTCGTGAAGTTCTGGAACTAGGAGCCCTTGCCTCCATTCGCCAGACCGACGCACAAGGCTTCACGAGATATTATCAGCAGCTGCAGCCCTTTTACGACCTTGAGAGGGATAGCACGGGCTCAGCAAAGGTGGATACTAAGTCTAGCCAACGCAGCAAGATTACAGGTCTGTATCTGATGCTTTTGCTGAGCATGGGTGATAGCACTAGTTTCCACACAGTGTTGGAAGGCTTGGTTGAGGAAGCGAGTCTACAGGGCAAGCGCGTGGAGGACGACCTGTACATCAAATATCCCGTTGATCTGGAGCGGAGCTTGATGGAGGGAAGTTATGACAAGGTGTGGAGGGAGACCAACTCGGAGAGAGTGCCTTCGGAGGACTTTGCTCTGTTTTCCAACGTGAGTCTATCTTTTTCCGTAGTAATCTGTTCATACGGTCTGTTGTTGGAAACTTGCTGATGATTTTGTATCAATAGGTCCTTGTTGGAACCATCCGAAGCGAAATCGCGGACTGCTTCGAGAAAGCGTATCCTTCGCTTCCCATCTCCAACGCCAAGAATCTTTTGTTCCTCGACTCCGAGGGAGCTGTTATTGAGTTTGCCCAGCAGCGAGGGTGGGTTCTCCGCGACGGACGGATATACTTCCCAGTCGAGCCCGAGGCCGCGGCCCGGTCTGAGAAGGACATCCTGGTGGCGAGCAGCACGGTCATCGAGAACACGATAGGCTACGCTCGCGAGTTGGAGACGATTGTCTAGCTGATCAACACGCCTATGCGACGACTTCCATTTGCCTTTTTGAGTCTTTTCCGGGTTCCGGATGGGGTTGTATTAGTATACCTCTCGCTTTGCATGATGAATTTTGTTCGAGCGTTATCTTATCATGACAAATAAACTCCATTATTTTTACCCCTCTGACTGAATTGGAGGTTGTTCCGTCTGTAGATCTACTCTCCATATACAGACTCTTCGGTCGTAGAAACTGCTGGAAACACAAACCAGCTCCGATATATCCTTGCCTTCCAAGTCGTATCCTCCCTCCGGTTTCCACACATCAGACGCATAATTCATGCTCTCATGCTCCGTAAACTGGGCCAGGACATTGATACTCCACTCGGACTCCGAGTCTTCTGCCCTCTGCGGCTTCCACGTCACCGCTACCACCCTTGTTCCAGCATGCATACAGCTAGCTAAGATCAGAAACCTCCACCCTTCGCCCTCCCTTTCCGCGGCAGGCGTTTTCTCCGTCTTCAACAGCTGCAGTCGCCAGACACCACCCCCAAGGCATTCTTCAGCGAGCACCTGGCCCCTACGCCCGGCATGGTAGACACGCAGATACTCATCATAGCTACCGGTAAGAAGCAAGGGTGCGCCTTCACGGAGCGGAAGGGGCAGAGGGAGGATACTCGTTACTCCGGCCGTATGGTGACGTGCACGATCGTCATAGTCGAGGACGAGGGGAGCCAAAGGCTCTTCGCCTTCTGCTGCTTGAGCGCTGAATTGGCGTGTATGCAGCGAGCCGAAGTCGTTCCCTGTGAAGAGGTGGGGAATACTGCGTTCCTCGGGTGATGAGGGATCACAAAGTGCTGCCAAAGCCACGAACCATACTTCGATGGGCTGGGTGGCTTCGAATGTCCCCTGTTCGATAATGTTGGATTGCTCTGTTAGCGCTGCCTCTGCCTTGTCCTTGTCGGCGGAGACGGTGCCGTAGACGCTCGTCCGGCCGTCGGAGAAGGTGACGGCGAACCCGTCTTGCTCGGGCCGTGGAAACCAGTTCCGAGGGGCCCAGGCTAGGAACAAAGCTGGGATTGACGGATTCTGGTGGACGGGTAAGGTCCATAGACGGCTGATGGTGGGTTCGGGGTCGGTTGAGACTTTGAAAAGGGCCACGGATGCGGCGCTTGTGGCGATGGCGAGGATGCTAGGATCTCTCGGATGGAAATGAAGATCAAATACGGCATATGGCAGTGCTAGTCTCTGAATGAGAGAGCTGAGTGTTGTATAGACTATCGGTCAGCCTGGGACTCGGGAGGAAGACGGTATAGGTCTCACAGTTCATTGTTCAGCGGATTGAGGTTCCATAACTGGAGGCCTCCAGTCTTCGTCTGCTGCACGTTTCCATCGCTGTCTTTGTTCTCGGATAGCAGATAGGTGCCTATGATAAAGTTGTTTGGTGCTGCAGGGCAAAATTGAAGACAGCTTGGTGGTTGGTCCAGGAAGATGGTCGCTGCAGACGCGGGATGCTGAGGAATTGATAACATCCTCTTGAGTGACTATATGCTTCACTTTTACTCAGTTTTGCTTCTTCAGAAAGCCCATACAGTTTTTTCCAGCTTTCCCGGCAGAAGATGTTTACAGGTCGTCGATGAGGGCATAAATGTGGGCGGTGAAATATAAAGAATCGTGGATTCGTCGTAGCATACTGCCTAATTTGTCTCTAATCCAACGTTTTAGGACACAGCTTCGGATCTGGACCCATTCTTGCTAACGAGGAAACTATACAGCTTCGGCCATGACGGATACGAGGTGGTCACTTGTTGCAATCATTGATATCCATATTTCTTGGTTGACTTACCCCGCATTGCAGCCTGGTTTCACATCCTCTATGTATTATTAATCCTGGTGGGGGCCTTCTGCCTGAAGAGGTCCGCGGGTATACAATATTGTCACCGTAGTGTAGAGTCTCTGATGAAGCATATCTACCTTTCCTACATCAACAACTATCACCATGTCTGTCCCATTCAGCCAGTTTCCTTCAACAGCAACCATTGTCCCGACTCGCTTTCGAGTAGCCTTTCCAGATGGACAGATAACCGAGTTGAAGACCCTGGTGAAGCTCGCTAAGATAGCTCCACCTACACTCGAGAACCAGCAACAGGACCGTCGATATGGTGTCACATCCGACTGGCTGACGACCATGCGAGAGAAATGGTTGAACGACTACGACTGGAGAGCCACTGAGGCCCGTATCAACAGCTTCCCTCAGTTCACAACCAAGATCGAGGACATATCGCTGCACTTCGCAGCTTTGTTCTCGGAAAAGGAAGACGCAGTTCCTGTGATACTCCTTCATGGATGGCCTGGTAAAGCTTACTGCCCTCGCTTATTTCGCCCGTGCTTATAGAAAAACCATAGGTAGCTTTCTGGAGTTCCTCCCCTTGCTTCAACTGTTCAAGGAGGAATACACTCCGACCACATTGCCGTATCACTTGATTGTGCCTTCGCTTCCCGGCTATGGGTTCTCATCTGGCCCACCCTTGGACAGGGAGTATAAGAGCCATGACGTGGCACGAGTGTTGGACCAGTTAATGAAAGGACTCGGTTTCGGAGGCGGCTATATTGCTCAGGGAGGAGATATCGGAAGCCGCATCTCGAGGGTGCTGGCAGTGGACTTCGAAAGCTGTAAAGGTCGGTGCAAATTTCATGCCTTCAATTGTAATGCATACTGACGATCTGTAGCGGCTCACCGTGAGTTTATTTCTTCTGTGTCTGTCTGAGGTGGTGCCAACAAGAAACAGTGAACTTCTGTACTGTCCCACGCCCAGAGGGCTGTTCAGATGACAGCCTGTCTGCCTCTGAGAAACGCGGAGTGGAGAGGCTGAATGCCTTCGTTACGACAGGGATAGCATATGCAATTGAACAAGGCACAAGGCCAAGCACCATAGGTCTTGTCCTGTCTACCAACCCCATGGCTCTGCTGGCGTGGTAAGCATGCCGATGCTCAAAGTCGCAAAACACCCCATTAATTCGCATGACTAGGGTGGGTGAGAAATTCCTCGATTGGGTGGACGAACCTCTTCCTTTAGAGACCATCCTAGATTTTGTCTCTCTGTACTGGTTTACCGAGACATATCCGCGGGCCATCTACTTCTACCGCGAGGTTTGGGTCCCGATTTCATGAAGTTGCAGGGATGCTGATAAAGAGGTCAAACAGGACTATCCTCATAGAAAATTCGCCTCCCAACTGAGTACACGGTGGTTCATCCAGAAACCATTTGGTTTTTCCTATTTTCCCAGGGAACTTTATCCGGCTCCTAGATCCTGGGTGGCCACGACAGGAAATTTGATCTTCTTCAAGGATCACCAGAAGGTATGAACCCTGGTTTCCATTCAAATCCATACCCGCTTAACTCTCTCATTCAGGGCGGTCATTTTGCGGCGCTTGAGCGACCCCAAGACCTGAAAGCGGACTTGACGGGTTTCATTGAGCAGATTTGGCCAAGCATTGCGGCGGCGAAGTGATAGCCAGAGCTCATTCATGTTGAGAACAAAAGCAAGCCTCCAGCGATTTGCTTCAATAGACGTTACTGATCAAGCGGTAGCATACTGTCACCTGTTTCCACTTTATATCAATGAACACACAACATCCTGTGAGCTGACCAAGTAGGCAGACATAGTAGATAGGGACACCCGCTGCTTCCAACATGGTGCCGCTTAGCCTCGTATGCCCTGGCTGAAAGTGACAGAAGAATGCAGACAAAGGCAGGTGACCAAGTCCACCAAGTCACCTTGTCTTTCGGGAGCATAATAATGAATGCTTGATTATCGGATAAATCCCTTGACATTTTGATGGCCACTCTTGTGAGTGCCAACTTCGCGTCTGCTCTCGATGTTGGCATTGTCTGCCTATTGAGCCCTCTGGTATTGGCAGGGAGTAGAATGCGCCACTCTCAGATTGACGAAGTGATAGCAGTAAAGCGTCATTGCGTTCATCATCTTCCCGATTTCGAGCCACTCATCCGTTGTGCTACTAGACTGAAGACGGCGACCGAGGAGATAAAGAGGACGAGGTTGTAGAACTGCAATTATCTTCAGCATGGAATCTTGCACTAAATACGGTAGACGAGAGCATACAGCCGTCCTTGAGTACTCATTCTCTTCAGCCTCTGTTCTTGCCTCGACGAACAGCCGTCGCAGATTAGGGAGGTTCGCCTGGTAATGAAAATGAATAACTGACATTCATCATGACAAGCCAGGACCTACCATGACATCGAATCCCAACTCAACAAATGTGCTGGTTATAACGGCGTCAATAACCAGAGAATCCTGGTAGAGTTAGGTGGACCAGACGGAGGGGGATAGATTGGTGGGTGGCTCCGGTTTGGGGAAATCATGAGCCGCGTTTTGTGGACAACTTTTGGGCCCGTGACAATTGACCTAGACCAGACCAGACCATTTGCTTTCCTTAACCCCATCAGCACCCTTGAGGGAGACGGATTGCTCACTACTTTCCGCCCTTTTCTAGTTTCTCTATCAACCTGAGTCCAATTTGGGAATCGGGAATCCCGGTCTCGTTTCAAGTGTTGCACCGTCACGTCCCTCGAGTCGAACTGGTCCCTGAAGCTTCGCCGCCGAATTCCCCGCAGTGGTCCGCAACGAAGCACTACTTCTCACCTACGATAAAAATATTGTTTGCGGAGGCGCGACCTAGTCGTCGCTGAAGCTTTCGTGCCCTCAAAATGGCGATGAGCAGGATCCGCGGCGCTTTTGCAGTGCCTAGAAAAGGAGAAACGTTTGAATTGCGAGCTGGTCTTGTGTACGGAGTTCCTCCACCCTACGTAAGTTTCATTGAGTGGACTGTGTCGCTGACGGGAAGAATAGATCTCAGTATGCGTACGAACGGTATGTGGAATATTTTTGTTTTTTCTCGGAGCTCTTTTGACGACTTACTACTTGCGCCGCTGAATGTGAGTGCATTCTAACTCTGTTCCAGGAAGGAAGCCATTCAGAAGACCATCATGGCCATGACACTGGGAAAGGATGTCTCTGCTCTTTTCCCTGACGTCCTCAAGAATATTGCGACGAGTGATCTTGAACAGAAGAAGCTTGTATATCTATATCTCATGTGAGTGTTCCTGAATCTGCTCGGTGGCGGCTTCGTTCGCTGATCCCCCATGCTTCAAAAAGGAATTACGCCAAATCTCACCCGGATCTTTGCATTCTCGCCGTGAATACATTTGTACAAGACTCCGAAGACCCCAATCCGTTGATTAGGGCACTGGCTATCAGAACAATGGGATGTATTCGGGTGGATAAAATGGTCGACTACATGGAGGAACCACTTCGCAAGACTCTCCGGGACGAATCACCGTATGTCCGAAAGACTGCTGCGATCTGCGTGGCAAAGCTATTCGACTTGAACCCTTCACTGTGTTTGGAGAATGGTTTCCTTGAGATGCTGCAGGAAATGATTGGCGATCCAAATCCTATGGTGGTTGCGAACTCGGTGACCGCGCTTTCGGAAATCCATCATGCCGCCCCCGAGACCCGAGCCCTCCAAGTCACATCTAACGTACTGCGGAAGATGCTGATGGCGTTGAATGAATGTACGGAGTGGGGCCGGGTCACAATCCTGACAACTCTGGCAGAATACAAGACCAGTGATGTGACGGAATCGGAGCACATTTGCGAGCGAGTCGCGCCACAATTTCAACACGCAAATCCAGGTGTAGTACTGGCAGCGGTCAAGGTCGTTTTCCTGCACATGAAGAACATCAAGCAGGAGTTGTCGAGCAACTACTTGAAGAAGATGGCGCCCCCTCTAGGTATTCCTCTTAAGCCGACTGGTTATCCCGAAGGCATGGCACGCTGATATCTATATAGTGACTCTGGTGTCCTCCGCTCCGGAAGTACAATATGTCGCATTGCGAAACATCGATCTGTTGTTGCAGAAGCAGCCTGATATTCTGAACAAAGAGCTGCGGGTTTTCTTCTGCAAGTACAATGACCCTCCTTATGTCAAGTTCCAGAAACTGGAAATTATGGTCCGCATAGCCAACGACCGCAACGTCGATCAGCTCCTCGCAGAACTGCGGGAGTACGCATTGGAAGTCGATATGGATTTCGTGCGGCGCGCCGTGAGAGCCATTGGCCAGGTTGCCATCAAGATCGAGAGTTCATGCGAGAAGTGTGTAAACACATTGTTGGATTTGATCAACACCAAAGTGAACTACCTTGTACAGGAGGCTATTGTTGTCATAAAAGACATTTTCCGAAAATACCCTGGATACGAAGGCATCATCCCTACTCTCTGCAAATGCATTGACGAGTTGGATGAACCAAACGCCCGCGCCGCGCTCATCTGGATAGTGGGAGAATATGCGGAGAAGATTAGCAATGCTGGCGACATTCTGGCCGGGTTTGTGGAAGGGTTCAATGAGGAATTCTCACAGGTCTGGTTGCTGCGCTTGACTGGTGGATGCCAAAGCTAATTCTTTAATCAGACCCAGCTTCAGATTCTTACTGCCGTCGTAAAGCTATTCTTGAAGCGGCCTGAGAAGGCTCAAGGACTGGTTCAGAAAGTTCTCCAGGCGGCAACGGCTGAGAACGATAACCCCGATGTCCGTGACCGAGCCTACGTTTACTGGCGTCTTCTCTCCAACACAAGTGATCCCAACGCTACGAAGAACATCGTTCTTTCCCAGAAGCCTCCTATTGTTACGACGATCCACTCTCTACCCCCGCTCTTCTTGAACAGCTGATCGGTGAACTCTCTACTCTTGCATCCGTCTACCACAAACCACCAGAGCAATTTGTCGGTCAGGGCAGATTTGGCGCAGATGCCGTGCAACGCGCTGCTATCGAGTTCGTTACCTTGCTTCTCAATCCATTCTTGAGCGGTCAGCTAATATGATGGAACAGGGAACAAATCCAAAACGCCCGTGAAAACCCCTTGGCTGCAGCCGCCGCGGCTGCCGCAGTCACGGGTGCTACACCCCCGCCACAGGCTCAAAACAACATTGAGAACCTCCTGGATATCGATTTCGATGGCGCAGCTCCCGCTTCGACCCAGAAAGAACCTGCTAGTGGAATGTCTGGTCTCGAGGGTCTTGCTGGTACTCCCGTTCGAGTAGAGTCTCCTGTTGTTGGCGCGCCCGCTCCTGCCTCAAGCAACAACCTGGACGACCTCCTTGGTGTGTTCGGCGATAGCGGCAGTGCCGCCGCACCAGCCAGCATCGCTGTTCCCAACGGCGGTGGTGCCGCTGCGGATCTCATGAACGGCTTCTCTGGCCTTGATCTCTCCGCCAACACCACGTCGCCACCCCCAGGGGGCAATCAGCAAAGAAAGACCAACGAGGATATTCTATCACTGTTCTAACGCGGGGAAGCTCTGGTTATTTGATGATTCGGCGTGACCATCTCAAGGTCAGGAGTAGTATTTACAGTTGTTGATATAGATCCCATACCATTGTCCGATTCGCACCGGGCTGGATATTAATTGACCTACATAGTTAACCAAATTTATTTTCTGTGTTCTTTGTCGCTCGTTCGTTTGATTGATGCTTGGATCCAGTTCGAGTACTAGATACTCTTGTATCATGATGCCAAGATATCAGATCACCAACCATTTATGCACGTGATCTCGGTGTGCCGTTGTCGGCGGCGCTAAACCCCAAACAGGCATGGTCCTCCCCCGCGACGTTTTGAGAAGAATAGTTCTGAGGTGGGATGAATCATCGCCAGACTCGCCTTCGTCCATTCTCTTACAATTGAGTCTCAGATTGCAATTGTCTTGTACAGGGAGCCGTCATCTCAATTGAGACAGCTGGTATACTCACGACATCAAATTTTACTTCCTAGCCATGTCTCATACACTTTCGCAAAAATATCTCAGCACGCGGGGTGCCTCCTACGGGGTCGGTCGAGAATAATTTAACCTTATCCCAAAAGATCATTCTGCTGACCTGCTGGATGTATAGCTGTCCTTCGAAGATGTCGTCCTTAAAGGATTGGCGTCCGATGGTGGCCTGTTCATCCCCGAAGAGGTTCCCTCACTTCCTGCGGGATGGGAGACGGAGTGGCGCGACCTGAGTTTCGAAGATCTCGCATATCGTATCATGTCATTATATATCTCGCCGAACGAAATCCCCTCGGAAGACCTCAAAGATATCATTAGACGCTCATACGCTACGTTCCGGCACCCTGAGCGGACGCCTCTGGTTGAATTGGACGGAAAACGCAACCTCTACCTGCTCGAATTGTTCCACGGACCAACATTCGCCTTCAAGGATGTAGCGCTACAGTTCCTCGGAAACCTCTTCGAATATTTCTTGGTACGCAAGAACGAGGGCAAGGAGGGCAAGGACAGACACCACTTGACCGTTATTGGCGCCACCAGTGGGGATACTGGATCTGCAGCCATCTACGGTCTCCGGGGCAAGAAGGATGTCTCCATCTTCATCCTCTTCCCCACAGGACGGGTGTCACCTATCCAGCAGGCTCAGATGACGACAGTCTTGGATGCCAACGTCCACAACCTGACAGTCGAGGGCTCTTTCGATGATTGCCAGGACATTGTCAAGGCCTTGTTTGCCGATCCTGATCTCAACTCAACTCACAACATTGCCGCTGTCAATTCCATCAACTGGGCTCGTATTCTGGCTCAGATCACGTACTACTTCTACTCCTACTTCTCTCTCACCAAGACTCCCGGCTTCTCCAAAGACACGAAGATGCGCTTCGTTGTGCCTTCAGGAAATTTCGGTGACATCCTCGCCGGATGGTTCGCTAAGCGCATGGGCCTTCCCGCTGAGAAGCTTGTCATCGCAACCAACGAGAACGACATCCTGGACCGCTTCTTCCGTAGTGGTGGCCAGTACACAAAGAACACCACACAGACCGAAGGCGTCAAGGAGACTCACAGCCCCGCCATGGACATCCTCGTCAGCAGCAATTTTGAGCGTCTCCTCTGGTTCCTTGCGTTCCAGACGGACGGCGCCAGCTCTGCAGACGAAAGACGCAAGCACGCCTGCAAGAGCGTCAGCAATTGGCTCAATCAGCTCAAGACTCAGGGTGGCTTCACTGTCCCCCAGGCCGTCCTCGAGGGCGCCAAGGCCGAGTTCGAGAGTGAGCGGGTGAGCAACGACGAGACCATTGACCAGATTAAGTCCACCTACACTTCTTCCTTCCCCTCCAACCTCAGCCCAGGCAGCGCCAAGAGCTCCAAGACTGGGGGCTACATTCTCGACCCTCACTCTGCCGTCGGTGTGCGGGCAGCGCTGCGCTCTATCGAGCGTAATCCTGGAGTCAAGCACATCTCACTCTCCACGGCCCACCCGGCCAAGTTCGCAAGCGCCGTCGACCTGGCCCTGCGCGCCGAAGACGGCTATGATTTCACTGAAGTCCTTCCCCAGGAATTCATTGGGCTCGAGCAGCGCGAAAGCAGAGTCACTCCTATCCGGGCCGGCGCCGGATGGGTGGGTGTCCGAGAAGTGGTCAAAGCCGAAGTCGAGCAGGAGCTCCAGGGCTTGAGGTAGTGAAATATTTCGACAAAGCTTTTTACTTTCTTCCGAATGTATTTACCTTCTATATATCCTCTATTTTGCTCCTTTTCAATCTTTGACAGAGGGTTAGGCTGGTGGAATGGATGCGTCTGCGTCATGTCTGTTTGGGACCCTACTGTAATCTGCCTTGCATAGAGTAAACCTGACCATAGAATCAACGCCAAATACATGGCTCGTGGATTGAAATTTTCTGCCGGCTTGACATTTCCAGTTATGCATCCGAGGAGTGTCCATGAGAGTGCGAGTCACAGTCCTCGATCACGGTTACATAAGTCCACGAGTCTTGCGTCGGAAGTACGAGGTCTTACCGGGCATGATCCCAATGTGGTGGGAAACTAGCTGACTACCTAGATAGGCTCGAAATTTATCATTCATCTAAAACCGTGATTAGAAAGATAGTAGGATGGGATTGACTCTATAACGCATGCAATGTATTTGCTACGCCCGTATTATATTATTATTACTTCGTTATTTGACAAACAATAACTCCGTCCATAAACCATGAGCGAAGGAACAACTTTTTCAAAGTAGATGGCCGAAATCTGCATGTCAAATGACAAACAGAGACCAAGTCAAAACCGTGCGAGAAGAGAAAATCCAGGTTTATCGAAAATGTACCTTTCCCGCCCGTATGACAGCCAGTCACCTTGAATACGGAAGGCCATAGATGGATGCTTTAAAGCATGAGCATGACAGCCCAGATACCAGCCAGGAGACCGGCGGCAGGCTCGAACTGGGAAGCAGAGCCAGTGAGAGAAGTCTCGGCTGGCGGCGGCGAGACAACAGTGGGCTGGCCAGGAACAGAGGGCTGCTGAGGAACAGAGGGCTGGCTGGGAACAGAAGGCTGACCAGGGACAGAGGGCTGGCTGGGAACAGAAGGCTGGCCAGGAACAGAGGGCTGGCTGGGAACAGAAGGCTGGCCAGGAACAGAGGGCTGGCCAGGGACAGAAGGCTGGCTAGGAGCCGAGGGCTGTCCAGGGGCAACAGGAACTGGCTGCACAGGGGTAGGAACAGTGCTGTTGGTGAAAGGAGCGGGCGTGGGGTCGGGACAGTGCTGTTGGTGAAAGGAGCGGGCCTGGGGGGTGGGACAACAGTAGTGTTCTGGCCGGGGACTCCTGTTGGGACGATCTTTGGAGGAGGCGGCACAATAGTAGTCGCGTTGCGAGTCGGGACAGAAGTCGGAACCAGAGGACGGGTAGACGCAGTTCCAGTGGGCACGACCACTGGAGTCTTGATGTTTTTGTCAAAGACGGTAGTGGTAGTCACGGTGATTGTCTTAGTCAGAGTGATAGGCACAGTCAAAGTCTTGGTTCCAGAAGTGACTTTCGTGTGGGAAACTGCGATAAGAGTATTAGACACATGCGCTTGAAAGGTCAGGAGGAGCATCATACTTGGGCAGGAAGTGGTCAAGTAAGTTGTCGTCCTGGTGACCCAGTGAGGCTCACTAGTCCACTTGCTGGGAGCAGTTAGACCAGAGTAACCAGGATGACCCTATTACCGCAATATCTTAGTGTCTGCCACGCAGAAGGTAAGAGAGGCTGGGGTGGTCTACGCGTACCTCGTCATTGCCCTTGTTCGGCATAATACCAGCAAAGGCTGGCCCGGCCAGAGCCAGAAGTGCAATGCCAGAGTTGACCATTTTGAAAATTAATTTCTTGCTTTTGAGACAGAAGTTTCTGGATAGCAATAAATGACAATTCCCGAAGGAAGCAAGAAAACGAACGAAGAGTCTGAGAGCGAGCGACTTTCTTTAACGAAAAGGTGAAAGAAAGAATTGAAAGGAAAAGGAGTTAGGATCGCAGGAGGAACTCTACTTTATATCTCGAGGGTGGAGTTGCTTGCCGTTTTCATGAGATTACTGATAATGGTAGTGGTACCATGTCGTATCCACGCTCAACGAGGATGACGACCAATATCTGGTCCCAGGTAACTCGAACATTGATTGGCCTCCGGCCTGAGTAGCTTGATAATACCCCATCGAACCATGGATAATAGAGGTACCGATGTAATGCTACCAAGAGAAAACTCTTATGTGGGAGCCTGTCGTGTGGCAAGACCAGGAGATCGATGTGACATCTCGGAGTTTCATTCGGATGAAAGGCCGAGGATACCCTTCTCAGCCTCCCAAGAAACGGAGCAACAAGGGGAGGCACGGAAGTCTAGGGACCATGAAGTGATGGCGTCACCCACATCAACTAGTGAGACAAAGGTAACATGAACCAGCATTACCGAATGGAGTCCTCACGGATACTGAGATCTTGTCACGAAAAAGGCACCTCACGCGAAAATAGACACAAGCCGCTCACAGCTCGGCGCCAACATGGAGCCTCACTCTGAGATGGTCGAACCACACTGCAGAAAGGCGACTGAAGCAACACTGGAAAGTGGAGTTTGAAATGGATACGCCCATTCAATGCTACCTGCCGAAGCTTAAAGAAGGAGCAAAAGGTACTGGAGTCAATCCAGCAGGCTTAGCCGATCTCCATAGTTTGAGGCCCATGTAAGTGGAGGCTAGAGCACTGCTCAGCTCGTTGCGAGGGAAGAGCCTCCATGCCCAAATGCTGGCTACTGCCTGAAGCCCTTGTTGTCAAATGCTTTCATAAGATATTTGATCGATGATGACGCATATCAGATCCATGTCGAAATCTCTGGTATGCTCACTGCTACCATTTTCAGCCAATGAAGTCTTCTAAACTCAAGTATGATGGGAAAAGAACCCCAGGGAACATTTGAAGCCGAAGGTGGTGGAGCCTTTCTGAATGTAACGAGGATCTCTCTTGATTGGATATCTCCACGAGAATCAGGGCACATGTAGGCATCATACCACTCGAAATGAGCCAGAGAGAGGAGGAAATCTCTGACGACAAGTTGAACGACCTTACAATAATACCGCAAGCGGAAGCTGAAAGGGGAAAGAGATCGTTCCTGGTGAGGTTGTGGTTGCATGAGACTTCGAGGGAAACTGACCGTTTGCGGTCGTAGGTCTTATCAGGGCAGTCAGTGTCACGTGAACCGTAAATATCACGTGATACTCTTATCGATAAGGATAAGGGCTAGGGCTGATAAGGGTCACTCCGGTGTCCCGTTCAATTAGAGGCACGCGTTCGGGACGCGTCTCGTGTTGATGGATGTGGATTACATGAAGGATAGTGTAGGACAGAGAGTTCCGTAAGCTCATCCCACTGCTCATCATCAACCAGACACATAATGCCTCACTCAGTCTCCTCTGCCGAATCGCCCGCTCACGATCATGATGATGAGATCCTCCCAGATGCCCCTGCGACAGATGCGCATTCTAGCACAACGGAAGATAAAGCTCCAACCGCGCCAGAAAACCAGGCAACAGGCGTGAGGCTAGAAGATATGTTCAGCGATGAGGACAACGACGAGGAATTTCCAGCTTCGAATGCCCCTGAAGCGCAAAATGAGGCGACAGCACCCAAAGCTGCTTCTGAGTAAGCGCAGTTTGTTCTTGCATTCGAGCATGGCGCTGACATTAAATGTACATTCAGGCCCGCTCCTCAATCGACACAAGTCGACACAGATGTAATGCTCGCGTTCTATCAGCGTCTATTTCCATTCCGCTATCTCTTCCAATGGCTGAACCATGGAATTATCCCCTCGCCTGATTTTGGGAACCGTGAATTTGCTCTTACGCTTCAGAATGACGCATATCTTCGTTATCAATCATACGCGACTGCAGATCTGTGAGTGATAGAAGCTTCCACCTATAATTCATTGTTTCCTGACAAGTGCTTCCCTCAGATTCCGTAAGGACATCTTGAAAATGAACCCTTCGCGATTTGAGATCGGTCCCGTGTATAACACAAACCCGCGGGACCGGAAAACACTACGAGGCGGTCAGATGAAACCAATCTCCAAAGAGCTAGTATTCGATATCGATTTGACGGATTATGACGATATTCGGTCTTGCTGTACCAAGGCAAATATCTGTCGGAAATGCTGGACTTTCGTGACTATGGCAATGAAAGTGGTGGATACTGCCTTGCGTGAAGACTTTGGCTTCGAGCACATCCTTTGGGTATACTCAGGTCGTCGTGGTGCTCACGCATGGGTGTGCGATCCGCGTGCTCGCAGTCTCCCCGATGATCGGCGAAGGGCCATTGCCGGCTATCTCGACGTTGTGAGAGGAGGGTCTCAAAGCGGGAAGCGTGTGAATATGAAGCGGCCGTTACATCCACATATGTCCCGTAGTCTTGAAATTCTCAAACCGTTCTTCGCCCAAACTACACTTGTCGACCAAGATACGTTCGCTAGCTCGGAACAAGCGGAGCGCCTTCTCTCATTGCTCCCGGACAAGACACTGAATGACGCACTGCGCAAGAAATGGGATTCGTCGCCCGACCGATCCAGTACGAACAAATGGGCAGACATCGACGCGCTTGCTAAGACTGGCAAGAGCAGCACTCTCAACCCGACCACTCTGAGAGACGCGAAACTGGATATCGTCCTGGAATATACATACCCGCGACTGGACGCTGAAGTCAGCAAGAAAATGATCCATTTGCTCAAGAGCCCTTTCGTCATCCATCCCGGTACAGGGCGTGTCTGTGTTCCCATTGACGCCAAAAAGGCGGACGAATTCGATCCTCTTTCCGTCCCAACAGTCACTCAATTACTGGCGGAAATTGATGCCTGGGATGCTGAACACTCCAGCAGCAATGCAGGCGCCGAAGCTGGTCAAGGTGAAAGCAGCACGCCTAGCGACTCCCAAGGAAGTCGCAAATTGCAAGATTATGAGAAGACGAGCCTCAAGCCATATATTGACTACTTCCGTTCATTTATCGCTTCTCTAAACAAAGAGGAACGCGTCGGCAAACGAGGAAATGAAGATCCGGTTGAGGTAAAATCAGAAAGCATGGAATTTTAAGGGCCTTTACTGTTTGCATTTGTTCTCTTTCATGGTTGGGTTCTTCATATTGGGATTTCCGGGTTTTTATTCTTAGCGGAAATATTGGTTTATGCTGGCGAAGTAAAGGCGTTTATACGTGTTGGTTGGGCTGTATATAAGCCACGCAAATTGAATCAAGGATCCGATGCCAAAACCATATTTTTTTGGTCAGGTAAACTCGGCGATAAGCTTGATGACAACTTGAATCAATGGTTTAAGGTTTTCAATTAGATGTAAACTACGTGCAACATATGATCCTGAATTCGTTTCTAATGATACACAAATGGGGGAATAGCGGATAAGTAGTCATGATCTCCCAATGGGTTTTGATACAATATACGCGAAGACCTAGTAAGGACTTCAGAGCGCTTTTTCGCCACGGAGATTTCGGTATTTAAGCGGCGACAAATTTCTTGACGTCTGCGACCAGTAGTGTTAGCTACACGAGCGAAGATCGTAAATGGCAATGATCAAACTTACTCTCGAGCCAGCGAACGTATTCCTTCTGCTCCTTGACCTGAATGTAGTCGGGAATCATGTTGGCGAGCTCGGCGTTGATGCCTCTCTCCTCGAGGTAGCGCTCCAGGAAGGTCTGCAGGTCCTCGTCAAGGTTCTCGAAAGGAGGACCAGCGTAGAGGCTCTGCCTGGCCCAGTCCTGCTCGGCGGTTTGGGCGTGGGCGAGGTCGGGCTTGGAGAAGTAAGACACCTCCTCGATCTGGAAGAGACCATCCTGGGCAACGGTCTGGATTAGGAGAGAACCGTTGCCGGGCTTTTCGATGGTGATGTTGACACGAGCAGGAAAACTGGGCTCCATATCACGGTCCAGATCGTCCAGTTCGCGGTCAGCGGGAGCAATGCGATCCTCGGGGTGCTGAGCAACAGCACCGGGGCACCGCGACCCTGGTTAGCGGGCTGGTGGCCCTGGAAGTCCATCTCATCGGCGAAAGCGCTGTCATCGAAATCCTCCTGTTCGCTCAGGTTCTGAAGGTCGGCGACGGTGAAGGTGAGTCGGATCCTGTCCGTAGATGGAAGTATTAGCGGAGGAGCCGAAGGTTCTGTTTGTGAGATACTTACTCCTCCTTGCCGAACTTCTTGGTCAACACAATTTCTTGTTCACCAGGAACATCCTTAACCTATGCAAAAATCCGTGAGTTCGTGTCGAAATCCATGATAGTTGTGGTCCGTATACTCACTTCCCAGGAGTTGTTCTGGAGAACATACTGGATGTTCTGGACCGAGGTCTCAAGATCCTCAAGGCCGGAGGCCTGCTCATGTTTCAATTCATCCTCAAGCTTAGCAACAAGTTCGATGTCACCTAAGATAAAGACATTGAATGTTAGCTTGATGTTTTGCTCAATGAAACCAGCTTTGTGAAGCCACCGGAACTCGCGCCCGATCAATAAATGAAGCTGGAAAGAGAAAATTTGATCTATGTTTCCCTCCATGGATAACTCGGAGGATAAGCTTTACAGAGAACTTTACCTTCGGCAGGAGATTGTCTGAAAACACTGGAGGTAGAGAAAGCAGCGTAGGAGGGTCTTGTAGCCTGCTTCAACGAAGCTTGCAGAAAGCCATTCTTGGGGACCGACAGGAAGGACGACCGGGAGGTGGTAGCGATGGACCGCGAGAGTGTGCGAGGCACGGAACGTGCGAATGTACGAAGAGAAAGCATCTTAAAGATTGATGAAAATGTGATGCGCAAAAATGGCAGATAATAAGGTAGTTATCAGAAGGTATGAAGTTGAGAGAGGAAGTTTTGGAGCTGGCGTGAGGCGAACCGATGATGTTAACCTTCCGACCCGCCCGCCAAGACTAGGAAGCTTCTGCCATTTCCGCTGATCCAACTACTTATCTACAGAGCACAGGATGAGTCTACTTATACAATGAAGAAGGAAAAAAAAGTACGTTCTTCGCTCCTAGTTACTTGTACTATATCTGTGCTTCGTCTGCATCAGATTTTGATCCCATGGGTGTCGGACGGGGTCCGGATTCGAGCAACCTGGGGCAAGATAGGGACTATGTCTACTTTACAAGTCCAGTCCGGCGGTATAGTATGATTACTTATGCAGAGCAGCGTAACTTGGTCAGGTTCTAAGCTGGAATCTCTGATAGAATATTGATGATGCACAACAAAGTGCCTGCAGCATGTACAAGTGGTTAATGTAAAACGTCATATGTAGGATCATCGCCGAAGATCATCTGACTCGTTATGTATAAAGAGAAGACCAAAGAGGAAACATAGAAGAAACCAGCCTCATGAAAGTCCCTTGGGTGGAAAAGCCGACGGCTGTTTTCCACCATCTTTGGTAATTCTGATGAATTTCATCATGCTGAGGCCGGACCAGTCACCGTTCCACGATGCGAGGCCTTTGATCACATCTTCTTGACTTAAATCAGGCATCCAAAACCCAGTCTTGAACTCTTTGTTCTCGACCTCTGTCCTTTGTAATAAGGCTTCTTCACGCTTGCTTGGGGGTCGGCCTTTCCTCCGCTCACTCTGTAATTGTTCGATCTCAGGGACGCTACGGTTAATATACCTAGCCAAGCAGACGTCAGCATGCGACTGCGCAAGAAAAAGTAATGGCATAGACATACCGCACGATCAAATCCTTCATATCATCTTCTGAGAACGGTTTGGATTCTTCCGCCACGGCTTCTTGGAAGTACGTGACGCGATCAACTAGAAAGAGGGTATTAGAATCAGCTCAGCAAGTCCGCAGAGGAATTTGAAGTATATACTGACTATAAGACTGTCTTCCACGGGCCATCAATGCTGAGACTCGGGCTACTCGATCGTCCCTTGCGTTGGCTCGGCGCAATCTCTTCGCATCTCTGCTGTTCTCATGGAGCGCATCAATCACACCGCGCTTCTTGGAAATATGTTTGTGTACTTTCGTGAAAGACTTCGGCATTGTGTCGATCCAGAAGCTTCTATATTTGCCAGAGATGGAAGGGTAGTCTATATGATTTACCATCGGCAAAGTCGAAACTTCCTTTTTTGATAATTTTCTGGTACGGACGGCAGAATCAACAGGCGGTGATGACGAAAGTAGAGACCGCCTCGCTCGACCCAATCAGAGCTGCTCTCTCGATATACCGCGTTCGCGCGTCGATGAGGAACAAGAAGGAACAAACATTCCAGCCTCGTTGTCAGGGCCCAGCATTGTGTCTCTGGTCTGTTGATCAGGGTGGCTGACTACAGCCGTTGATCGCTCTTTTATAGGAACGCGGTATCCCAGCAGCCCACGCACTCAGACTGTTTCGAGCCTTCAGCCTAACAACACCAGAGCTGATGCCCGTCTTGGCCGGTTAGGTGAACGGCAGGAGTGTCTTGCCTTTGCAAGAGTGCCCACCATGGGCATTAAAGGTTGGCTTTTCCTCTTCGCCATGATGAATGGCAGAGAAACTGATTTGTTATGCAGGACTCCATGGCCTTCTCAAATCAATTCAGAAGCCATGCCACGTGAAAAAGTTCAAAGGGCAAACCCTTGGGGTAGATGCGTATGGCTGGCTACACCGCGGTACTGTTGCCTGTGCTGTTGACCTCGTTCTCGACAGGCCTACGACGAAGTATGTGACCACAACCAAGACGCTCCGCGAGAGCATGGCTGATTTCTCCCCAGACATGTCGATTTCGTCCTCAATCGTGTCCGCATGCTCCTCTATTTCGGGGTAACCCCGTACCTTGTCTTCGATGGAGACAATCTCCCCAGTAAATCCGGTACCGAGTCCGAGCGACTTCAGAAGCGGCAGGCGAGTAAGGCTCTTGGATTGGAGCTTCAACGGAAGGGTCGTATGGCAGAAGCCTACCAGGAACTACAAAAGGCCGTGGATGTGACCCCTTATATGGCTCGCCAATTGATCGAGGAACTGAAGAAGATGGAAGTCCAATACGTCGTCGCCCCGTACGAGGCTGATGCACAGTTGGTATATCTTGAACGGCAGGGCATCATCAATGGGATTATATCTGAAGACTCGGATTTACTTGTCTTCGGCGCCAAGAGATTGCTGTCTAAACTCGACCAACATGGCGATTGCGTTGAGATTAACCGAGCAGACTTTACGGCCTGTCGCGAGGTTAGCTTAATAGGATGGACAGATGCTGACTTCCGACGAATGTGTATCCTCAGTGGCTGCGATTATCTTCCCAACATTCCCAGAATGGGTCTGAAGACAGCTTATCGGAGCATACGAAAGTACAAGAACGTTGAGAAAGCACTTCGTATGCTACAATTTGACGGTCAATTTCACGTTCCCGCGGATTACCTTGAAAATTTCAAGCAAGCCGAGCTCACGTTCCTATACCAGAGAGTTTTTTGTCCTAAGGCCGGCAAGCTCGTCCCTCTGACTCCGCCTGAAAAGGATGTGAACTTGGAGGAGCTGCCCTTTATTGGGCGCGATGTGGATGCGGAAGTCGCGCTCGGCGTTGCACTTGGCGACTTGGATCCAACGACGAAAGAGCAAATTGTCCTAAAGCCCCAAGCTCCTAGGAAGATGCCAAGCGGAATCACTCGGCGGCAGACTCTCGGCTCCGCGGCAGAGTTGAAGCCAAAGAAGCCCATCAGCGCATTCTTTACTCAAAAGCGGATGCCGTTGGCTGAACTGGACCCCAACAGTCTAACTCCGTCTCCGAGTCAGCAACGACTCCTGGAGCGTCATGCCAATAGTTCTTGGGACAGTAGTCCTGCACCATCGCAGCCAGGCCTTACGAGGTCGGCGTCTGCTCTGGATCCCTTCAACCGATTATCGAGTCCCTTGGTTAGAAGTGTAGAGCGTACCTCTTTCTTGGCTCGCGCGGCTAAAGCGTCGACTTTTCAGCCCGCCAAACGGCAACGTCTTTGCGCCGACACAGAGGAAGAAAGCTTACCGGAGCGTGCGGACTGCCGCAGTCGTTTTTTCGCGCCTTGCACCAACAGCTCTAGTCCAAGTGGCTCGAAGGCTGCTCGAACCAAACGCAAATCAACGTTGGAAGTTTTCTCTGATGAGCTTGCAGAGCAAATCATGACACACCTACCTGACCCCGATCACGGTTCCAGCGACTCCAAGGAAGTTGTGGATTCGCCCGGATCGTCTATGTCAGACGAGAAAAATGGCAAACCAGTGCTGTCAAATTACGTCTTCAAGCCCCAGGCTAAGGAGAGTAACTCTGGCTCATCTCGCAATCCAATGTTGTCAACCTCGTCTGGTCTGTCTCCCCGGCGTCGGCTCACTCCCCTGCAGCGCCTTGGTCAAACTGCTCTTGCTCGTTCACGATCTGTGAATGCCCTTCCCCAGGCAAAGGCGTTCGTCCCTCCCAGCCTGGTTGAACGATCAGCGACAACCTTTACTCAGGGCAGTGAAGACTTGATTATTCCCAACACTGACGATGAAGATGATGGCGATGATACGAGCAAGCCGCGGGAACCGGTTAATTTGGAAAAGTTCTTGTATGCCAGATAACAGAGAGGTACTCCGGTTGTTGGAGCAGATTCTGTTGGTTTGCAAGGGCGAGTGAACATTACCCAACGGAGTACAACGGCGTACTTGGGACGACTTGCATACCACTATTTTGCATTGATACTTTTGGTATACCCGTATCTGAATTGGGCGCTCTTTGTTGGGCTACAAGGTTTGGGAGAGGCTTGACATTGCAAGAGAAAAAACATGGTTAAACTGGAGTAATATACATACAGAACAGATCCGCCCTTGGCTTTTTTTTTTTTTTTTTTTATCATTGAGACATACAACGAACAATTCGATAGATTTTAATCTTAAATTGCCTGTCTATTGTGTGGCAGTGGACTTCTCGACACCTGAAAATCGCGAGGCTGGATCGATGATGTTACTGATAAGCCATGGCGCTAGTCTTATCAAGGCATAGCCCTGCGAGCGGGTCAATCTGGTCTGGATGGGCACTAGCGGGGCTGCCTGAAAGCGCAGGCGGTCGGGCATGGTTACCGGGGAACGGGCGGCGTAAACAAAAGGCGTTGGCCCAGCCTCCTGCATTGTATGGAGTCAAGTCTCCCAGCCACCAGGTACAGCACCGCATCATCACCATTTGTGTCATCGTCAAGACCCTGATGCTGTAACTGTCCCTCGTTGTGAAAAATTAGAAGCTGAGAAGGAGGTTTAGTCCGCAACTGTGGAATTGTCCAGCTACGCTCCCTTCCCTCTCTTTCCCCTCCATACTTCTTCCTAACTATACCGTCTCTCATACTTGCCTGCTTTTGGCAACATACCTATCTTCGCCAAATCTGATATTCCAGACTGCTTTGGGTTGAGATTCTGACCATCTTGAATGAATAATCAGGTGTCATTCTTTGAAAGAAGCCACATTCTTTGAAAAGCTCCGTCAAGTTCGTCAACTATATCGCATTGAACGATTCGAGTGACCCATCCGAGCTTCGATCCACAACATCCACATTCCATACCACGTTGTCACAGCATTGTCAACTCAGCTGAACGTCTTATCTTATCTCAGTGATCAGATCCTCTACAAGGCAGCACGTGGTACTGACTGTACTCGAAGTCAACCGGCCTGCCACCAAGTTCGACTCGCTCAGAAACGTGTTGTGCCGCCGGCCTCGCCGTATAGTGACCAGCAGCGGCCGCTATAGACACTCCTTCTCGGGAGTCCGAGAAGTGAGTTACTCAGCGTGAAGGAAAGGCGCACGGGAGATCCGAATCTGCTCCCGCAATGGCTGTCAGAATTGGCGCCGGGCTTGCCCGTATGTTGTGCCCTTCCCGGTTGTTTAGTATCCCAGCATACTGACTATGCATCAGGGTTTATTCCGATGATTGGTTATCATCATGTGCTCATGATCATCATTGCTGTGGCGATCATTCTTCTCTGTGAGTTCTCCGTCTGCCACATGTCGTGCGGAATGTCGCTAACTTGTCCTAGCCTTACTACTGGCCGGATGTTCATCATCGTCACCGCAAATACCAGATATCTTCCTGATATCTTTATACTATGAGCGTTATAGTCCAGTCTTCGACAAGGCGCAGGTGGACCCTGGCGTGGTAACAGCGACGGCAAATATTGTTGGTGGCGCCGAAATGGAGGTCCGCGTGGGATATTTTGGTATCTGCGTTCAACCGGAAGGCGGAGCCTACATCTGCAACTCAAACGCCACGGCATTGGCCGAGATTGTAACCGTCGACCAAGATCCATTGAATCTAATCTGGGTGGCATCGACATTCAAGGACGCAGTCGTGTTCCCTTATTTGCTGTAAGTCCTTCGAACCCCGTCTGTCCGTGCGGCATTTGCTGACTCGTCCAGTATCGTTGCGGTCATCCTGGCCTTTCTCTGCTTTATCCTCCTGGCCACATTCCCCGGCTGGCACGAAGAGATCGATTCCACCGGCTCAGAACGAGAGGTCAAGCCATTTCCCTCGCGCCCCGTGTCCCAAACTGCCTTGGCGCTCATCTTCATCGCATCTGTCTTTGTGCTTGTATCGGTCCTATGGCAGCATACAGCATCAGTTGCTGCCACGACAATAGCGCAGGACATGGGCAATGGGAGCGTCAAGTCAGGAGTTGGAACGTCAGCCATGGTGCTTGGCTGGTTCGGCTTCGTCCTGTTAGTGGTCGTAACGATAGGTCTCTTGGTGATGATCTTGAGCATCAAACTGCTAAAGCAGTTGACGGATGAAGAATAAGCGCCACAATCCGCAGCACTCTTGCATTTTTGATGTTTTTACGACGCATGTTCTATGTTTAATTGATCGTCATGTTTACACGAAAGGCACACGAATAATAACGACAACTGGGACTGGGAAACGTGGTATGGAAAGGAACTACAAGATTCATAAAATGGACGTCCTGTTACGTCTACAGGACGAATTAGGCTGTCTTCCACAGGCACTTGGAAAGTACATTCAGCCTTTGTTAGATGACTTGTGTGACGGATTTTTTTTTGATTTCTTCTCATGTATAAAAGATGAACCCCCTTTGTTTTTGCCACTTTCTTGACTTGTGCGGTATTTGAATCATCACTCGACATGGATGGGAAATGGACATAACAGGGTGATGACTGCGTTTCTAGTTGTGAGATCTGTGTGCTTGCATGTCAATGTTTTGACAATGATTCAACAATTACCATATGAATCAAGATGATAGATGAATTCATGCTACCAAGCGATACATATATTTGCATGTCTTGCGGATCATGTAAACAAATGGCATGGGACATCACACCCCCGCTGCCATGTACTAACTGATCTGATCCTAGATACACTATATGAATAATTGGCCAAGGTCGCTTAGCATCCACCAGGCCATTGCTCCCATTTGCAGCCCAGCAGAGCCAATAAGTTATCGCGGAATGGGGTCTCCAAGACCAAAGTTGCCTGTAGCTCAGATTGTATTCCGTATGGAGAAGGATGATATGATAGTAAGGGTGTATCAACAATGAGATGTTATATATGAGTTCCATTTATACTTAATCCTCCAAGTCTTCGTTAAAGTCCAAGTAGGAATGACAGGGCCTTGTCATAGCTCCCAGCAGGGTGTTGATAATGCAGGCATCCACTTCAGATGGATTGTAGATTTTGCAACTCTGCTGATCTAGTTCTGGTGCACCGTTCGTGCCATAATGTATATGAGTATATGATGGGAACCCTGTTATGGGCATAAATGCTATGATGTCGTCGTCCGGCCATTTACAAGCGTTGTCGACAACGACCCCGTCAATGTATTAGATCGGTTGATTTCTCTGCGTTGACTTTGGGTAGAGTCAATTCCCATTGGAATGTGTTAACCGGTAACCGATCCAATGGATCCAAGTCCAATTACTTGACAACGGGTCAAAGTTAACGGAAGTAATACGTGATCGGGTAACCCAAGAATTCACACTGCGCCAGATCCTGGAAAGGAGCTTGCACACTAGGATAGTCGAGGAGTTGCAACGGTCCCTCGGAGTGAGTTACCGGCTCCCATCGATCAAAATTGTTGACGGCGTCCAGTGTTTGCTTATACCCGCGCGCCTGGAGGTACTCCGGCGCAGGGTTCGGTTGGCCGGATCGAACAAACTCGGCAAAGTAGGCAGACACGAGCTGCATGGAAAAGAGATCAAGGGGTTCGCGCAGGGTGGTGAGCGTTCCGAAGACCCAGGGCAGATCTGCGCCGTGAAGACGGAAGTAGGGCAGCTCCGGGTCGCCATTGGGGAACTCTGGCGTTGCAGGAGGGCCGCCGAGAGTGTTAGGGTCGTAGCCACCGGTTGTCCTCTGCATCTGGTAGAAGTATGAAGGCTGGAACACCCCAGAGGTAACACCAGCAAATACAGTGGCCTGATCGATACAACGGAATTGCAAGTCTGTCGCTACCCGTTGGGACACGTTAAAAGAGTCCAGCGTTACGTTACCCGTATCGTGGTATGGGAATAGACCCGAGTCGATGACAGATTGGGCATATTTCTCACTGATACCTAGGGCTGCTTGGATGCCTTCAAGCTCGGAACTAACAGGAGTTTTGGGGTACGTGCTGAACGAAGCGCCGTCGTCTGCAACAATGCCGAACATGACCGGCACGTTGGAAGTGGTGACCTCTTTCCGAAGTAGATCGAGCTCCTTTGTTGTCACATAATGGCCGTCTTGAACGACGTAACGCGCAACAGTCTGCAATCCAACCAGGGTCGACGCAGGAACACGCCTAAGGCAAGAGATCTTATGTTCAAGACTGCCGCTGTTGCAGCCTGCTTCAGAGAAGATTTGCGGACCCGCGAGCTTATACGACTCGTCGATTGAGAGATATGAACTGTATGTCGTTGCGTAGTCGCTCTCCAGCCCTAGCCCAGCACCGCCGCCCAGGTTCGACATGGCAATGGCGCCTTGGAATTTTCCTGAAGCAGGAGGAGACCCTAGGAGCACTCTAACCGAGCCGGCGCCGGCCGATTCACCGATGATGGTGATCTTCTTTGGATCACCTCCGAATTGCGCGATATTCTTAATAGTCCACTGTGACCGTTAGTCGTGGGGGTATCTATAGGAAAAAGAGGGAATAGTACCTCAAGGGCGAGAATCTGGTCTGCGATTCCATAGTTCCCGGTGATATCAGTCCCAGGAATAGCCAGAAATCCCAGTGTCGACAGCCGATAGTTGAATGTGACAACCACGAGGTCCTCGCGTGATGCCAGATTCCCACCATCTGTAAGAGGATCCGCGCCTGTTCCTCCAGTAAAGCCACCGCCATGAATCCAGAACATGACAGGCTTCAGGCCGTCTCGCGATCCCTTCTTGGGTATGTAAGGCGTTTGGATGTTCAGGTACAGACAGTCTTCACTGCCGCCGCTGCCCTGAGCACATGCAGAACCGTAGTTGGTCGCGCGGATGGTCTTTCCTCTGTGCGAATAGAGCGTTGCGTGCTGGAAGCGCCGAGGAGGGTCGGCATATGGAATACCTAAGAAGCGAAACGACTTTTGATCGCGGAAACCGATATACGAGTTGCCTTCGGACATTACTCGCAGCTGCTTCGGACGACTGTCTGTGTCCTCAATCACGGAATCGTTGCCTGTCTGGGTGCACAAAACGGGAAGCCTTGCATTTCGCCGCGGAAAGTTGGAGACAGTAAAATCATCCGAGTCTTTGGGAACGGAAAGCACGCCTTCACGAATATAAAAGTGTGCGTCCGAATTTGTTTTTCCTGTGTGTGCAAGCCATGAAAAGAGATGCTTGAAATCCTCTTTGTGGTCTCGAAGGCTTGTCTGGGAGATCAGTGTCTCTCCGAATTCCTGACATGCATCACGCACATCTTGCTGGTGCATTGGGTCAAGTAGGATCGCACCGATGTGGTTTGAGGCGTCCGATGCATTCAAATTGTTCTGATAGAGGAGCGTGAGAGAAGTCATCTCGTTGGCCACAGAAACATGCTGCGCAACGAGTCCGACCACAGTAGGGACAATACTCCCAAGGATGAAGGAACGCATCATCATTGTTATCATGTTGATTGATGATTTCTCATGCCATCGTCTTGCATTGAAACAATAGGAAAGGCGTCTTATCGACAGTTCCTGCTCGGGAAAAGTATTGTTCGACAGTGTTCGACAGTAAAGTTACACCTCACAACTGACCCCTTATCAGAAGTCCTCTCCGCAAGAGCTATGGGGCCGCTCTGTGTATTTGAGTCCCCGCAGAATCTGAATAGATTGCAATGGGAACTAGGGGGATCCCTCACAAACCCGTGGAGTCACCTGGAGACGGCAATCAGCCGGTAGGAAAAGGGACTTCGGTCCGGAAGCATGCTGATTTGGCCATCTAGGGCTAAAATCGACGAAAATAAGCCCCCCAGGGCGAAGGGCCTGTATTAAAGCCAAGCGCATTGAATAATTAAATCGTATTTGCCTCCTAGCCATCGTGGGAGTCCAACTTTAGCCGAGACTCAATCTCGACCCTCGAAAGGGAGTCACCAGACATTCCGATTCTGCAGTGCAGCCGACTAACGGAGAATCGACCAGTTCGAGTACGGCGTCAGTGCGACCTGAGATTTTAGCCAAAGTTTGGGGCTACCCTCGTTCCTTAACGAGATGAACTCATTTCTCCTAGATTGGGTCTGTTTAACAGCCAAGAAGGGTCTAATTAGCCACATGGCGCTAATATAGCGGAACCCGCAAGAGGGGGAAATGCAACGAGTTGAGGGTGGACAGGCAGGAAAGGTCTAGATTCCAGGGACCGAATGTGCGCGAGAATGTTTCTTGCCTGGAGAAGGTCTGATCATCTGAGGAATGTGTTGTAAAGGATAGATAGATCCTCAGGGAGGACAGAGAGTAGTAGTCTGGATAGACATGGAGACGATAGTGGAGCTTCGATCCCCTTTCGATCCTTCTTAAATGACTCGGAGGTTTAGCTTTTTTAGACAGGCACTAGATAGATATCTATGAAGTTGTCCATCTAGAAAGAAAAGAAAAGAACGCCACTGTTCAGGCAAAAGTATCCGATGATCCGATGGACTGATGCACGGTTGTTTCTGCAGTCTGCCTCCTGCAGCGGTTTTCGGTTGCATATTCCATTCTGAATGGCTCCCCCTGGCAAGCTAAACCGACAGACAGAAACAGGGGACACAGTAGGATGTAACAGGTAGACGGAGACACGTTCCATATATTTCAGGACTACGCCCTGTATCACTTTCAAATACCTAGTTGCTAATTGTAAGAGAATACGAGAAATGCCACGGCTGGTGATCTGCAACATAACGTCCGGTGGATTCATTTCGACCCAGAAGCCAGATACTAAACTTCCCAAGGAATGTCAAAGGGCGAGTACAAAGGCCGCCATGCTGGATCAATCAATTGAAAGGCATCATTTCACACCCCAGATAAGACTCCGACGCCGAGATCGACCACAGGAACAATGGATATTATCAAAGACAAATAAGATGCAGCAATTCCCATGGAAATAAACCCTAATCGCCAGCTCAGTATTAGTAGTTCATGACAGGTCCAGCGCCGCCCCCGGTCCAGGCTTGTCTTCGTAACCGGCATCATATCCAGCGTGGTCATCCAAGGATCGATAGCCAGCAGGACCGCCATCGCGCCCACGCCCGCCTCGACCACGCCCGCCTCCTCGACTTGAGTGGCCCTTACCACGGGGAGCTCCTCCCCGGCCGCGACCACCGCGGTGCGAGCCACCACGACGTGGTCCATCATCATGATGGCGGCTGTTCCCTCCATAACGGGAATTATAGTATGGCTGTGGCCTCGTCTGGGATAGCGGCTCATCATTCTGACTGGATTGCGGATACAGGATATCCTGATCACGTTCTTGCTGATGGCGTCTCTTGCGGTTCTTGTTCAAGAACTGACTCTCCCATTCGCCCTCATGGGGATTCTCTTCTTCCACACGCAAAACAACTTTCTCACCAACAACAGTTTCAAAAGTCAGAGCTTTCTCAGCTGGTACAGGATGCCAGTTCTGAATCTTGCCTGCATCAATAGGACGAGCGCCTTTGCGCACAGCTAGAACTATCACGGGTAGTGGATTCTCTGTGTAGTACTTCTCCGTCGCGGGAACAGGGGCCACTCGAGCAGCCCACACCTTGTTCTCAAAGACGGCAGTCCCAGTGACCTGCCAGGTGAGCTTCTTGCCAATGCCGCCGACCTTGTTCAGAATAGATCGAGGGGCAGGGCGCGGGGTAATGAGGATACTGTTAGCCATATACTTCACATCATTGGATTCAGCAAGCCCAGAAGGCAGAAGCGGGGTCAGTAGTTGGCTGATCAACCGATTCGAGTCTGCGTTAGATATAAGATATCCAGTGTAGAAAATGGTGCGCTTGATGCGCAGACGACCATATGGCGACCGTGTCGCATTCGATGTAGCTTCGCGGATTGACTTATTGTGGGAGTTGATCATACGCTGTACCTCGGCAGTTTCAACTACAGGGGAGAGGAAGGTGCATCCTTCCGCGACCTGAATCACCTCCGCATTGATCGGCTTCCGCGGTGCTGGCACAACCTGCAGCGACCTGTTCAAATCCTCGAAGAAGTCTCGGAAGCCCTTGACACTAAGCAACGAATGAGTGATCTCTCAGGCACCGGCGTCTGACAAGAGGCTTACTGTTTCACTCGATCTTCATAGACCCGAATCTCGTCGGCCTGTTCATAAGTGAGAACGAGGTCTTGAAGGAAGGTCTGCTTGAACTCCATGGTGGTTGAGAAGCGTTCGCTGTTGGGTCCCACTTCAGGCTTGAGACAGATGAGGTCAAACTCCAGCTTTCTGCTGTCCACCATGCGTCGAATAAGGTCCGCGAAGCCATTCTCACTTCGGCCCGTCAGAAGTACTGTGAGGGCGTCCTTTTGCTCCATACTCAGCTTGACCAGCCGTACCTGCGGCCAGTCAGCGAACCATACCAAACCATCCTAGACATTTCAAGTCACACAATCTGTTCATTCCACCAGCCATCCCAAGCTCGCGGCTCCTCCTTTTCCATGCCTTCTCCTGTAGCTGCGAGCAATGCCGGGTCGTGCCACCATCCTCCATTGGTAAAACTTTCGAGGCTTTGTAGAAATCCGATCGTCGGGCCGTTCCAAAGTTGCGGATTCGGCAAGGGACTCAGGAATACTGCATAATATGAGCTTCGAAATACAGAAGCAACTGCGAAAGGGAGCTCTCACAGGTGTTGTCGAAGTCGTACACATGAATAGCTCTTACCTGCGATACCGCTGTTGTATGGAGAGTTAGTAATGAAGCTCAAGATATTTAGTCCAGGCGAAAACAGATCTCCTACCTGGTAAATCTCTGTTGATGATGGACCAGCGCTTCAACCCTGTTATGGTACGTGAGATAAGTTGATTGCCATTCGCATGGTTCAAGAAGCCATTTCCATTGGCTTTCCCTCGTGCCATACTTGCGGCAGAGCTAAGAGGAGCAAAGTAATTTTCAGCGATGGCAGATTTGGCAGACCTCATCATTTTTCCACCATGGTTCCAGCGTTGCGAGTTGCGTTGGTGAATCTCAAGGAAGTCGACTCGCCGCAAGTTTTGGTTTTTCCCGCCACAACGTGACCGCCGCCCGCAGTAATAGTATCAACCGAGCGGCTTTCTCTCTTCGCCGATGACATTCATTTCACCAAAACTGCCACAGATCGATTCCCTTAAGTTGGAAATTAGTCTAATGTCTGATGTCTAGAGATGTCGACGTGCGACAGGAGATCCTGCAGAAGACGCTCCAAGAAGTAGCGCAAGAGGACAATGGTGACGATGTGGCTAACCCATGCGTCATCTGCCTGGAAGCAATCACAGAACCAGCTGTCACGGTGCCTTGCGCACATGCGAATTTCGACTTTTTATGTATTGTGAGCTGGCTGGAACAGCGCCGCAACTGTCCGTTATGTATGCCTCCCTATCTCTGCAATCGACCCTCGCTTTCGGTTCACTTTATACTGACATTCGTAGGCAAGAGTGATGTTCACATTGTCAAGTACGAGCTTGAGAACCCTCAAGGACCGAAGTTTTACAAACTACCTCCCGTTCCTCCATCCGCTGCCAATGCGCCTGTCTCGATACCTGCTCATCGCAGAGGGCGATTACCCCGTGGTCCTCGCCACCGACGACGCCCCGCAGAAAGCCCACGACCTCAGGAGCCGGACGATCCCATTATAAGGCGGCAATATGTCTACCGTCATCAGCTTTACTCTCTCAGAGTCGGCTCGAACCGACTCTCTCAGTACCGCGAACTATCGCCGGAATCGTTCAATCGTGACGAAGAGCTGGTCTCTCGGGCACGGAAATGGATACGGCGTGAGCTCAGGGTGTTTACTTTCTTGAATCCGGAAGAAGAGGCTGAACCAGGCCCTAGTCGGGTGGCTCGGCCTGGACAGCAGCGCCTTGGGAGCCGACGGGGGAATAATGCCGAGTTCTTACTCGAGTATGTTATTGCGATTCTCCGCACTGTTGATATCAAGGGCAGTGCGGGGCAGGCTGAAGAGCTCTTGCGCGATTTCCTAGGGAGAGACAATGCGCGCTTGTTCTTGCATGAGTTGCAGGCCTGGTTGCGGAGTCCTTACACGTCTCTGGAGGATTGGGATCGCCACGTTCAGTACGAGGATACTACTCCTGGTGGTCCTTTGGCACGCCCAGCTGGGGGAGACTCTGGGGTCTCTGATCGGACAGCGACGCCGGTCTACCGAGGCGCACAACGCTCATTCCGCGGGAGAGTATCAAAACCTCACCGGCCCCGGGGATACCAATCCCCAGGTAGATCGAGAGATGCCTTGGCGCAAGCGAGACGGCTACAATATGCGCGGGACAGATATATTCCTGACTAATACGTGGAAGGCCGGGAGATCACTTGTGGTTACGGAATAATGAGGCATGTCAGATAGAATAACGCTGTAAAATATAGACTAATGCATATATGGCCAAGTGGTATCTTCAATGCTGTATGTGTTGTAGTCATTCCTCGTGAGTACAGTGGATGCAGACCTTGCGTGGCCGATTCCGCCCCCGCCTATCTCCTGCGAAAGCGTCCAGCGCCCCGGCCTTTACTGTTCTTGTTTCGAATCTTCAAAGAGCGGTAGTTTGCATGCGCCTCTGGGTTCACCTTGCGCGCACGAACCCTTTTGGTCTCCTCTTCTTCAACCACCGGCCTGGTGGCTTTCGCCGGGCGTTCTGCTGGCTGTGGCTGGACAACCCCGATAGCTTCCTTCATCTTCTCCGAGAAGCTCTTGCTCTTCGTGACAGGTTTGATATCCTCCCCGTAGTCAGGATCGGAATCAAGGTCTGGCTCCGACATGGTGTGAAGCGAGACTTGATCATCTTCATCGTCAAAGTTCTCATCTTGACTTTCACCAAAGGCTGCGTCGAGCGTCCTCGGCTGCTGTGTCTCGGCGACTGCTGCAGGCTCTGCGGCATTGTCATCAGCAGCATGGTGTTCGCTTTCATCGTCCGACGTCGAGCCCTGCGGCTTTGAGGCCGGCTTCGAGATGACAGGTTTCATGCGCACCCTACGCGTTGTACGCTTCTGCCCCTTCTTCTTCCAGGGCCGTCCGATGTTTTCAGCGGGCGCCTGGCTATCGGCGACTTCGACGTTCAGTGCTGCCTGTTCCGCCTCAATCTCGCGGAGGACGTCCAGTTCGTCTTCCATCCGTTCCTCTTCCATGTCGCGTAGTCCTTGCACTAGCGCCGAGAGTCCCTTTCCAACAAATTGGGGCGGTTTGCGCACGGCGATCGGACTCAGGCCGTTGGGATTGGTAGAGCGAGAGGCGGCGTATCGTGCTGAGTTTGACCGTCGCAGGAACGACGGCGTCCCGGACCCGGTCACGTCGTTGGCGGTGCCCTCGGGATTGGTCTGGGAGTCCTGATTCCTTTCGCTAATATGGTTGTAATCCTCAACCATTGCGGAATAGCGGAGCGTGGTCGGGGTCGCGAATAGCGCTGACAACATCCACTTCTTCCCGGACGATGCGGGAGTGCGTCCGGCTCTGGGGCTCTCATCTTCTCCGTCTTCGTCTTCTTCCATGATTGTGTCCATAGTCTTTCGTTTCGACGGGGTCTGGACATTTGCGGTACGTACGCTTGCCACGCGATCTGCTGAGGGCGTTGCTGTGCTTCCGCCGGATTCTGATAAGAGGTCGAAAAGACCTAGAGCCTTTCCGTCGCGTTGAGGGGTAGGGCCGATGGCTGTTTTTAGCGGTGTACGGTGCGTTGATGGACTGAAGAGTCTGCGCAATGCCGTAGGTGAGATATAGGGATCGATCTGGGAAGGATGCGAATTTGAGACTCGATTCTTAGAAGGCGTCTCGAAAGCACCTTTGGCGGTTTTTTGTGGCGTAGATGCATTCTGAGCAGTATCCGGGCCATCCTTCGATGTGTGTTTGCGTTTCTTAGGTCGTTCTTCTAACTGGACAGATTTTGGGTCGTCTGAGTTTCCTGAGGACGATTCGAGTGCTTTCAGTCGAGAGTACTCTTTGTATTTGGCAGCTGTTTATGGTGCAGTGTCAGTGTTCTCCGCGTAAGAGTATGACTCCAGTTAATTGAAGGTGAAAATACCGATCTCAGGAACCTTCTTGATATCATTCCGCTCTGCTTTCCTCCCACCGTTTTGCGCTGCAAAGGCCCTCTCCCACTCTTTCAGTTCGGCGCGCAAATTGGCGGATTGGGTCACGATCTCAGAGATGGCGACACTCGCCATTTTTCATGTCCGGCCTCAATTGATCATCAGATCTTATCGCAGTGACAGTTTCCTGGAACGGATATCAGTGGTTCAGGCATATCTTCTGCTGAGCGGGCAAGTCGACCGGCCCTTGACGCGGTCGCGAATCAATTAACGCGGGTTTGACAGCGCGGGTGACGTAGACGTAGCGCGTCACTACCACTGAACAGTCACATGACAGCCTCAACGGGAAAGACGTAGGGCATAGGGCATAGGGCAGTTTTCGAGGGTTATCCTCGTGTGTTTTCTTTGATGCAATTGAGGTAAATCAGAACTTGGGAAAGGTTTGCTTTATTTGATTGTGCCTTTGTGTGGCTGCATACCTGGTGCAGACTGAGATGTGAATTAGCAAATAATGAAGCAGAGTTAGCTGTATTGAAAGGTGCTGGCCACAGCGCAGTAAGCCTACTCGAATCACCTTGCATTTCGCAGAGACAATGAACTACATGCGACGTGAGTTTATATGGTGCCAAAAATGCACCGTGACTACTAGTAAGACAGGCGATTGGGCATCTCCAGACCGAGAACATATTCTGGCCCGAAGCTGGTCTTTGAGGCAGCAACTTTCGGGGATAACGCCAGCTCGGGATTTTCGGTCTTATGCAGCTCGGAGTTGACGCATTGGAAAGTATTTATAATAGGAGTGGTAGTCAGATAACCCTTGACCATTGTCGCCTGTGTTCTTCAGATTTATTTGACGGCCATCAGATAAACTCCTCTCTATTTTGTTGATCATAATCATCTACGGAGTAGCCCAGTCGCGATCGCAGATCCCGACCACGATGTTACGAGCACTCTTGTCATTTGGTCAGCGCAACACAGAGTATATCTTTCCAACCGTTGATCCAACAAAGGATGGACCAGACTGCAAGCAAGATTGCGTCGATTGCACGGTCGAATTCCCGTCCAAGGTGAAAATCGAGAGCCTGACGCCGCTCTATGGACACATCAAACGATTTGATACACACGTGCTGGTGGCTACGGGAAAGTCAGACTGGGTTGAAAGAGTGACGCAAGAAAAGGGCAGCTTGATGGAAGCATTGGACTCTGTCAAGCCGCGACAAGGTGTACGTCTCTCGCCAGGGCTTTAGGTATCGTCTTCTGACAGATCCAGCGAATGATGATATCTGCGTCAAATCTCCGCTCGCCAGAGGACCTAGAGACCGAGAAGGACAACAAGGGAAATACAGTTCTGATTCTACCGTCATTCACGTTTGTGGACTGCGTGAAGACCGAGGATGTGCGAGAGCTGGTTGACCGCTACATCGACACACCGCAGGACGCTGCAACCTCACAGTCGGATTCTGCACTTATGTCACGACCGTGCGAGTATGATTACGTCGTGCTCTTGTGCTCGCATAAGAGGCGAGACGCCCGTTGTGGAATCACAGCGCCGTTGATCAAGAAAGAGCTTGAAAGACATCTGCGTCCTCTTGACCTATATCGCGATGCACATGACGAGCGCCCCGGGGGCGTCGGGATATTCTTCGTCTCACATGTCGGTGGTCATAAATTCGCGGCTAATGTTATGATTTATCGCAAGAAGGAGCAGCAGATGATCTGGCTGGCGCGGGTCCGGCCGGAACATTGCGAGGGTATTGTGAAATACACCCTTTTGCAGGGCAAAGTGGTACATCCGGAGAGTCAGCTTAGGGGAGGGTTTGATCGACTTCGAGAATTGACGAGTTGGTGATTAGATAATGGTAGAGTGATTAAGAAACCTTAGCCTTACTAATTTAAATGAGAATTGGAATAACAGACGAGGAGATAACCAGGATGTCTTTCACGTCAGCCACGGCTGACAGCGCTGAGGCGCCGAGCGATCCTTCAGCTTCGGCGTTCCTACGCACCTCAACACGGATGGCCCGGGGGACTAGGGCTGGCGGAAAAGGCTTGCTGTCAGGCTTGCAATCTGACTCGCTGGTAGATCGTAGCCTTGTTGTCAAAATTCGGCAGACTACGGAGTACGCCTTGCTGACACTAAGCTTAGGAATCATCCCTCTTTGAATATGATGCCCTTAGGCAACGAGATTACTGGAGTGAGTATAGTGACACAGGCAGGGCTATAGACGGGCTGAAATAAGGTAGGTCCATGGTATGGTATGATTGCCGTAAAGAACAACGCGAGACAGTAGCGCTCCGTGGTTGATTTATGTGGATTTCCGGCGTTATTTATTTGTCGATGTTTGAAAAGAGACGCACCCCCCTTATCTAAGGTAGGTAGACTAAGACTCTAGACCACCAGTGAGACCAGTGATAGAGTCGAAGTTGAGCGGATCAAGCAAGACGGCTGAGGACGATCTGGTGCCTGAGAGAGACCCTTAGGCCTCACTTCCCTCCTAATACGACAACAAGTGAGACCTTTGCGGAGGGGATTGCCCGATTCGGGTAAGAAGCCCGGTGGGCCACACACGTAAGCTGCTGAACCGTTTCCGCTTGTTCCCTATGAAAAGCCCCGAGCCTGCGCCCGCTTACTGGTAAGTTTCGAGAAAGGGAAAAAAAAGAATGACAAAGGAGAATGAAGCATCGTTGGAAGTCGTCGGTTCCAACATAATAATGACGATAATGTATTATCGATCATGACAGAAATTCAGCAGAAAATGGGGCCTCCAGACCCGGAGCAGCCCCGACCACCAGAGCAACGCGTGCGCAAGAGGCGCAGACGGACTATGGCCTGCACGCAATGTCGCAGCAGAAAGCTCCGGTGCGATCGTGAATATCCCACATGCGGCCGATGTCTGAAGAGCAAGACCCCTACCAAATGCACCTATGAGGATGGCTTTCTGTGGCAGCAACCCAATACAGTTGCATCGCCCGTCTTCTCCGACCGAGGTTCCACAGTACTGGCTCAGATGCCCCGAGTCGATCGGGCGCCCGCTCTCACTACCCCGGACTCGGGGATAAGCAGTCTGCCGCCTCGGTCACAACCACCACCACTGCCATCTACACCGCATGGCCGTCATGGAGAAGAGAAACGGAGCTTTCTCGAGACTGTTCTCGGGGCCCCCAAGGCGGGTGTCAACCAGGAACCGTATGTGAACACCGAAGTGCTTCAGCGGCCCCGGCATCCTCCTGAGAATCGGCACGAGGCACAGCCACAGCCATTGGAAGATGACGATGAGCTTGCATCTCCTTCGCAGCAGCTAGATATCCTGCCGCGTATAATGATGCGAGGTAAGGAGACCAAAACTCGGTTCAATGGGTCGGGCATACTTGCCAACTTGATCGCGCAGGTAAGTTCCTGCCAGATGCCGTTTGAGTTTCTTGCTCGTTAATGCTGTGGCAGTTCCCAGACATCAGGTCATTTGCGGAGGAGGTGCGACTGTCGAGTCCGAACCTTACACAGCTGCGCTTCGACCTGGAAAGGGTAAAGCGGGGTCTGTGGAAAAGAAAGCCGTTGAATGAGTCGTTCCCAGTGCCCGACACAAAGTCGCTCATCGACATGCTGCCCACCCGTCGAACAGTTGATGAACTAGTAGTCTTGTATCTGACCTGTATCGAGTCCACGCATCGCATCCTTCACGTTCCGTCCTTTCTCAAGGAGCTGGACGAGTTCTGGGCGCAGAAGGACAATCCCAATTTGGTATCAACTGGCTTTGTCGTGCAACTCCTCCTAGTTCTTGCCTGCGCTTGGAATCTAGCAGATTTTGATACTCTCCAGCTGAAGAACGAAGCTAGCCTCAAGTGCTATACTCCGGTCGAGTGGGTTCTACACGTTGAAAAGTGGCTGGATAACGCACATATCAAACGGCCAGAGATTACGGCTCTCCGAATACAGATCCTCCTGATCATTGCCCAAAATAGTTTCGGGATGAAACGGAGCCATGCCTGGCTTGCTACGGGAACGCTGGTCAAACAGGCCATGATAGCTGGATATCACCGCGATCCTAGCCGGTACACCAAGATCTCCGTCTTTAATAAGGAAATGCGCAGACGGATCTGGACGACCATTGTCGAACTCGACCTTCAGGTTGCCCTTGAACGGGGAATGCCCCCCTCGGTTCAAGAATCGGACTATGATACAGCTCCGGCCTCGAACATCAACGACAATGAAATTCAGGAGACCAGTACAGAGCTTCCCGGAGAGAGGCCGCTCCATGAAATTACCGATTCGTCCTTCCAAGCAGTTCTCACGCAATCACTCCCATTGCGCCTCAAAGCGTGCGCTCTGATGCATTCTCCTCGGATCAGCTGCCGCTACGAGGAGATTCAACGTCTGGACTGGGAGCTCGGGAGATATCTTCAGAAGATCCCGGCTTGGCCGACTGCAGAGAACGACGACTTTCAGAGCAAGAACAAAGTCACTCTACTTAAATCTCTTCTGGAGACAAAAGTCGCTCACAGTCTCTTGTCTGTTCATACGCCTTTCGCAATCGAAGCCCCACGAGAGCCACTCTTTGCACCCTCAGCCCGGTCACGCCTAGAGGTTGCCACCCTCATCCTTTCCAACCAAAAGCGCCTTCATGAAACGTCGAAACAATTGTCTCTCTGTAATTTTGGGGAGTGGACCATGCAGGCATTCTGTACAATATGTCAGATATTGCACGCGGGGAGTAGCGCCCACGGTGAGTGACCCGTTGTTTGCGAATTTCAAGAGATCGTATCAGGCGTCATTTCTTAACATTTACTCGTAGCATCTTCTCCTACATTCCTCACTCACACACTACCGGGGCTTCCTGAATCCCTCGTCTCGTTGCTCGAGATGGTCTTAGCTTCTGTTGAGACGCGGCTTCTTCTTGTGGTCAAGGGCGCAAAGGAGTACTTCTTCATGTCGACGCTCCTGGCGTTGGTCAAGGCGAAATTGTGGCCGGCACAGGCGAATGTCTATAAACAAGAGGTTATCGACCGCGTGATCTATTTTGCGCAAACTCTCTTTTCACGGCATGCTAATTGCGCGCACTTGGGCGATCGAGGGCAGGGCTGCTTCGGAACAGATCAGGTTAATGCTGGCTGCCTTATTACTTGCATTCGTCCACTCCGCTGACACACCCTTCTCTGACAGGTCCCTAGTTTGACACCTGGCCCTGGTATGGCGCCTCCTCTTGCCGCAGACCCGAACGGCGCTCTTCAATCACCAGGCTTCGGTATCGTGGTGAGTACTTGAACCTTATCCAATTCACTCGCATCGTCTGATGGCGTGGAATTTAGCCTTATGGAGAGATAGACCCCTTCCTGGAGGTCTTTGACTGGGCGGACTTGACGGGGATCACTCTGGGAGAATGACGTCAAGTTGATATGGGCTGGAACCGATAACGATCCGTGATGTATTATTGTTAATTTTCTATGTATACGATATACGAGCGTTTGTTGGCCGGATATGATAGCGTTCTCCGCCATAGTGGGTGTGGTGATGTGGTCCACCCTTGGCCTACGAAGGTCTGATCTCACCCGGGTTGATCCCTATCGGGATATCCTCTTCCCTGTACATATTGTAGCATGATATAACATGATCGTCGATAAAGGAAGTGATGTTCTCATAGCTTCAGAAGCATGATCAAGGCAGTGAAGACACTGACATGAGCTTAGCAACCAGCTTGCTGGTCCCGGGCCCCGGCGCCTGCACATCCACTGATCTACAAGGGCTCCACATGTACAGTAATGTAGGTAATCAATCTGACGTATTTATTTTCAGGTCCTGAATAGAGACATTCGATATTCTCACGTACTCAAAAGTAGCATAGAATAGGAGAATATTGGTTGACTATGGCTATGTATTTGAATGCTTAGGTGCCATGCTTGTAAGGCACCTCCCAATCGGATGCTCCGTACGGAGTAACATCATAGAGTTTAAGTGCCTTACTTTCAGGGCCCATTCTCACAATGACATTGGCTCCCGCCCCTGACGCTGAAGTGGAGAATCTGCTTCCAGCTCAACAGGGAAAAATGGCACCATCATCCACGGGGGGTAATGCTGTGATCCAGTTGGGCATCAGCCTACCAGTAAGTAATACTGTATCTTAACAAGCTTCTGTTTTAATCTGAAACATGCACTAAACTGTTTACCCCTCGACTAGTGTGGAACACTGCTGTCTTAGCATGATGTATGATTGTTCTTCTGAACTTAGCTGCAAGGCTAGTCGAGACACTATCATCACCAACTCTCTAGGCATCCATTTCATGCCTTGTGCAATCAGACCGTTGACGCTTCCATCTCATCACTGTCTTGGCGTCTGTGACATGGTATCATTCCGTTAACTCGATCATGATGAGCTTTGTGTCTTGACTGCTTATATTTTCAAGAGACCGTTAGTGGTCAATTCCCTTAAATTTGTCACGTCCTTATCACGACAAAAGAGAGAAAGTGACGCCGCAATGTTTCGAATACAGCTCCTGCTACATGCATCCTTACTCTTCCACCAAGCAGTAGTCGGATCGCCATCCTTATCGTCCAAAGAACAATCAACCCTCTTCTCCAATACTGACAAGTACCCCCTCCCCAACCAGGGCAATGTCATTACCCACGACCCCAACATCATCGAATACAACGACAGTTTCTACCTCTTCATGGGAGGCGTCCACATCCCCATCAGCAAGGCCTCGAGTCTCGACGGGCCCTGGACAAGGGTCGGAACAGTCCTAGATGGACCCAGCATCGTCGAGAAACAGAACCGGACTCGACCCTGGGCGCCGACGACGGTCCAGCACAACGGCTCATTCTACTGCTACTACACCATCAGTAGCCGGGGCAGCCGCAACAGCTCCATCGGCGTCGCGACGACCGATTCCCTCGACAGTGGGAAATGGACGGACCACGGAGCGCTGATCAACACGGGGTCCGGGAGCCTGTCGCACATCTACCCCTACAACGAGTCGAACGCCATCGATGCATCGTTTATCGTCGACAATGCGACGGGGAAGCCGTATTTGAACTACGGCAGTTTCTGGCACGGGATTTTCCAGGTTCCCCTGGCTGGGGATCTGCTCTCGGTTGAGGATGCGGAGCACCCGCGCGCGATCAATCTTGCGTATGAGCCGTCGGAGAAGTCCAAGCCAATAGAAGGGTCGTGGTTGAGTTTCCGGGAGCCGTATTATTATCTTTGGGCTAGTCACGGGAAGTGCTGTCGGTTTGGGGACGGTCAAAATGCTAAGGATTTCCCTGCAATGGGTCAAGAGTTGGTTGCGTCTGTGCGGCTTTTTGTGTCAGGCTGGCTGATTTGGATAGGTATGAGATTCGTGTGGGGAGGTCGGCTAGTGTGAATGGACCTTTTCGGGATAAAGATGGCAAGAACCTCACTGATGGCGGTGGGACTGTTGTCTACGCCTCGAACCATGGTGCTGTTTATGCGCCTGGGGGAATTGGTGTGTTGCCTGCGAACGAGAAGCGCCCTGAGATTCTGTATTATCACTACTGTGAGTCACTTCCTTGCTCTGTGTGTGATGTACTGACTCGGCAGTGAATACATCGATGGGCTTCAAAGATGATGTGAGTAGGATCACAACCAAGGAATGGCAGTACTGACATGCTCAGGACGCACACTTGGGCTGGAGTTACCTTGAGTACAAGGACGGATGGCCAGTAGCAAAGTATGTGCACTGCCCTTCAAGGGGAAGGCATCAACTGACCCTTGCAGAGCCGTAGAGAACAGCGGAATGGGTAGCCGTCCAAACTATATTCTCAGTATATCTGCTCTGATTGGTACGCGTTCTGCCGAATGACGCAGACTCTGAGCTGACAGATACAGTGGCATATGTTCTGATGTGACGATCTACACATGATTGGCGTATCGCATCTTCCTGGATATAGACGAACGGTCCGACTGTACAACGCTTAAAGCTTATAGATACCCTTTCGCTACTTGATAAATGATGACATACATTGCTCATGTGTTAACTACACCTCATAGATCAGATCCCGCTCAAGGATCCCAACCACCGTCGACATTCAGAACCAAACCACTCGTATACGACGAGGCATCACTCAGCAGAAACAGCACAGACTGCGCGACTTCATCCGCCGTGCCAATGCGCGGGATAATCGTGGGCATAGCATTCAGCGTACCCTGAATATCACGAGCCTTGTCAAGCAACGGCGTCTGGATTACCCCCTGCAGACAATCAGGCAACATCCCAGAAGACAATCAGACAATCAAACTTACGGAGCAATCGCATTAACCCTAATAGCCGGGCCAACCTCCTTCGCCACACTCTTCGTCAACCCCACAACCCCATGCTTCGTCGTCGAATACGCCGCATGCAGCGCAAATCCCCTCAGCCCCTGAATACTCGTCGCATTGACAATACTCCCCTCCCCCGCCGTCGCCGCAATACTCCTCACCTCCGCCCGCAGACAATACATCAACCCCGTGAGATTCACCCTAAGCAGAAAATCCCACTCCTCGTCATCCTGCTCCACGAGCTTCCCCACCCCATGTTTCCGCCCAATCGTCCCCGCCATGTTCGCCGCGCCGTCCAGCCGCCCGAACTTCTGCACCGTGGCCTCGATCCACGCATCCACGGACGTGGAGGACCCCACGTCCACGACTGTTGTCAGGACCGTCTCGCTGTCGGAGCCGAGTTTCGCGAATGCGCTGGTTAGAGCGTTGGCGTCGATGTCGGCGAGGGAGAGGCGCGCGCCGCGGGCGTGCAGTTGCTGCGCGACGGCTAGGCCGATCCCTGCGACGCCGGTGACGGCGTAGACTTTGTTTTTGACGGAGTCCATGCTTGTATACGCGGGTTACTTGGTTATAGATTATAGATGTGGGTGTTGGAAGTGTAGAAGTGAGGGGCTACGTTGGTTGTTCGCAGTCTTGAGAGGGGTAATCGGAGTATGTTCGGGACAATATGAGGGGAATGGAGTTAGCATTTTAGCCATTTATCCGGCGGAGTATGGTAGATGCATCATGCGGATCATTGGAAAAATATAGATAGGTGCCTGTCTGATTGGCAGGCGGTTTAATTGGAGAAATCCTTCTATGGAGTAAGGAAATGGGACTAGAATCTTTGGTAGTGGTGCATGCTGCATGACTGTATCTATATCCATAGCACTCCGCATTAAGTTGAATTACCTCCCCTCGTCACCTCCTGCTGAATTCAAACTGGAAATAATCTTATTCAAGCTGCGAATGTTGCATCACAGTAATATGGACTTCCTTCAACAACGAATGGAATCACCCCCTTAACATAGGACTCTACCTTCTTGGGCCCGGGTTCTGAAATGTTCCAAATTGGGGAGTTCCCTGATCGGTCCCGTGGGCCATCCGGGCTCTCTCAGGTTGCTCGAGAGATTCGGGGCTGCCAGTGCCATGCACAGCTGGAGTGGGCTCCTTGGCCCAATCCCCGAGCCTAGTAGTTAGCGACGACCGAGCGATAAACTCGCGGCCGACCTGCATGGAGAATAAGCTGTCCATCGACCATCATCATACGAAAGAAGACCGCAATGTCCTCTTGATCCCAACCTGGCACCAGTGTGACAACCAGTACTTCAGAAGGATAATGGCAGGCTGAATCTGATGAATCCGTACCGGTGGGTCCGATCAATTGCGAGCTGGTCACTTCCGGAAAATTGGAGATACTGTTGTGTGGTCTCACGACGCTGCAGAAGATCGTAAAGCTGGTAGACGGTCGAGGTGAAATGGCCATGACTCATACCCAGTGTACTTCAAGCAGAGTATGCCATCTGGATGCAAAAGACCAGGCATGGTTGACAGTGAATGTCTGAAGTTCAGATGAAGTAATGTGAATAGTCCTCCTGGGAAAGGTGCCCTGTAGGCTGGGTGGTTACACCTGGCAAGACCATCGTGGCAGGTATCTTAGGAAGGTGGTAGGGGCATTTGGAAGCTAGGCCTCTACTCACCAGAAGGATTCTCAGATTGCCCGGATCTATGTCCTGGTGCTTCCATAACAGGAATTCCCTCGGTATGAGGTATTTACGTGCGATGCAGCTAATGTAAAGGCATCATTAGACCCATACTCGACATCAGCTGGAGAGTTATTGAGGTACACTTACGGACTGTCCTCTAACAAAAGACCGGCCTGCTTATGAGTTATGACCATTGCGGTGTCCATGAATCGTCCAATGCGTGTTGATAGTCGACCTTGCAACAGATGCTACCAGGATGGATGACTTTGAGGTGCGATCACCCATATCGAGCGGAAGCAATTGCAGTTTTCAAGGGCAGTTTTGCCAGAGAGACTTGGGGACGAATTGCCGGGGTCCGTTGCATCATGAACATCATGAATAAGAGCGAGCGCATGCTCTCATAGGATACAAAGCAGTCGGAAAATATGCGATGCCATAGATAAATGTGTTTTTAGATCTTTTTGAGTTTCTTTGATCTAGCTTCAATTATGTTCAAATCCCTGGAGCCAAGGGTGGTCGTAGTGCTGACCAAGATACCATGACCAACCGCTGACCATGATCCGATCAGTCACTTGCGACGCTTCTTCTGCCCGCCAGATTTCGCTGATTGACTTCTAAGTGGACGTTTATTCCCCTTGCCTCCTTCAGACGTGGCGCTTGGTTCAGGTGATCCTGCCGCAGCTGTCCTCTCCTGGGCGATCTGAGTCTCGTGGCTTGCCCTGTCAGACGTCTCAGAGACTGATGTGAGGCCGACTGGGTCGCCGAGAAGCCAACCTTGGAAAAGCTCAAACGGAGCCTCACTGTTCGTTTTGAAGCTGTACATACGACTGACTCCTAGTGTGAGTTTTCCGCCCTCCAGATACGCCTCCATGATCCTCCCGTGCTGTGGAGTCATGAAGGATAGAAGTAGAACCTGCTCCAAGTTAGTCTTATGTGTAATTCAATCAAAGAGAGAGGTGTGGCAAGCTACTGACCGGGATTGTCTTGTACTCCCTGAATTCAGGCTGAGAGTACCGCACTTGCATCGCCAGAAGGATATAAGCCAACTCATGGGTGAGGATGCCGTCGCCAGCTTCTTCCTCGCTGTAATGCTCAACAACCATCGTCACATGCGGTAACCGCTGATCATCGACCTCGAAGAGTGCGGACAATGGGTGTGTTGACCGGCGTCCTAACGGTCTATAGCCCAAGTAGATCTCGGAAAGAGTAGGACTCTCGTCCATGCTATGTAGTAGACAGGTTCCATGTAAGATCCTGCATTTCAAAGCGTGTGAGACTTCCACTTACTTGACGTAGCTCCATTCTCTAGCTCGTATCAACACTGATTGTCCTTTTGGCATGTCGACTCGTAGAGCATGCCAGATATGATGGTTTAAGATCATCCCGATTTGCCGCACACGGGACTGAGGGTGAGCCGCTAAGCGCTCTTTGAGGGTTGCGTCAGGACCGGACTTGGAAGCCACTTCGGCGTCATACTCCTTAAGGAACAGTAGGTGTGGATTCCGCTGCTCGACAAGCTGTCTGTGATCAGGCTCCATAGGATGCTTGGCAAACCAATCTCTGGATATGGCCTGAAAAAAAGTGAGGGCGTTGGGCGGAGGCCGAAGGCTCTTCCAGCTCGATAGAAACAACGTTGACGCCTATCTGCTGACACTGCGAAATGGTCAAAACCGCTTCATTGCGTCTGGAAAGTCGGTCGAGGATTCCCGCCACCGCGCGTTTCCTAGTCTCTGGGGTGGAGGGCATTGTGCTCTACATGAAGCTTGAGTGACAAGACAGGAGGAAGTTAGATGAAGAGGATGTGTTTGATTTCCAGACAAAGATGGAGCAGATGATCGCATGAAGTAAAGGTTAGGTTGCCTTTCCTCGTAATTCACTACTCCACTAAGGTACCAAGGTTCAAAGGCAGGCCCGTTGGCCGTTGCTAAGGGACGTCATATCCGCCTCAGACTTAGGTAGCTGTAGGGCCAGGGCTCAGGGCAAGGGCTGGTGGATCTTTTACATCACCCTCACCTCCTCCCTTTCCTCTACACATTGATTCTTCTCATGACATATATGGGAGCCGCTGTAGAGCATTCCACTCTGCATCCTAGCCTTTATGTATGGTTTAGTGCAGAGAGAATGATGAGCATCAGAAGATACCCTGATACCCTGATACCCTGTTCTTGAGAATTGGATGTAGAAAGACCGTCTTAGGGGACTAGTAACCAGCTTCTGATCTGGACTGGTGAAGCTAAGATGAGCTTGTTTTGTATATAGCCTTCAGTTTGCGGTACACAAAAGATCTGTTCTGCTATTATGTCTCGGATCCCTTAGTGGGTGTTGCTCAGGTTATCTGGCCGCCTGTTGCGCGGTGAAGGATGATTGATAATGCGAGCTTTTCAATTCCATGAGACTCTACGAATCGTGTGATGGGGCAGCTGAGTTCGCGGAATGTGATATCCTGTTTGGAAGCTCTTCAGCCTACAGAATCCAGCCTATGACAATCCAAATCATCTCACTCAATCCTCACCGGGGTGCGCGCGCGAGGGGGACGAGGGAGGGAGGGGCGGTGGATCGAGTTGAGGAATGATGACACGGGGAAAGTGAGGTTAAGATGGTGGGCAAGGAATTAGAAGCGCTAAAGTGATCAGCTCACTTCAGACTCATCTCACTAACATTACTTAATCAAAAAGAATCTGACTCGCTGTGTACTCCTCCGCTACCGCCTTTCATGCTCCTCGGTAAATACACTGCTTGCTATCTGATGATCCCTGATTGTATTGCAGCTTCTCAAGCAAGAAAAACTGATAACCCAGCGCAAACTAGACGGTTCTAAACTTGTCATGATGGCCGGATGACTTCTGGGCTTCCCGAGTTTCTTTTACGCCATGTCTAAACTATCTAAATAAATCTTCAGTTCGAAGGACTGTATGTGGATTGCAAAACTTCGCTGCTTTCTAGATACACAAATCAAGACCATTCTAGAACAGAAAAGGACAGCATATAAATAAATCCTCAGGTACCCAATCCAGCAGTGTACCAAAAGCGTCGCAGTTTCCTTTGCTCCTACTACCCATTATCGTCGATTGCCTCAACTTTCCACTGTCGACCGGAGTTGCCGAAGCTCACTCAACCCCTGAAAGGGTAGCCGGAAGGAGTTGCGCTGGGAGTAGGAGTCGAGCTGGGAGTAGGCGTAGGTGTGATGCTTGGGAAGCCTGGGAAGCCGCCAGTAGGGGTGCCTCCGTTACCCCCAGGAGGGAAGGAAGGAGAGCCAGTCGGCTTTGGCCATCCGTGATGGCCACCACTGGGCTTCGGCCATGGCCACGGCCATCCGGGGAAGTTGCCGGATGGGTTGTCGCGACGGCGATGAGCTTCCTCGCGCTTTTCGTAGTCTCCGCTGCCACCCAGTCCGGGGAAGCCGGGGAAACCGCTGGAACCGGATCCAGTGGGCAGGCCGGATGGGATAGGGAATGGGAACCCAGTTGGTATGCCGGACGGAATAGGGAACGGAAAACCAGTTGGAAAGCCGCTAGGTAGACCTGAAGGAATAGGGAATGGAAAACCGCCGGACCCAGAGCCAGAGCTACCAGAGCCACCAGCTGGGGAAGGGAATGGCAGGTCGGCCTCCTTGGCAACAGGTGCGGGCAAGGCGAGGGCACAGCCCAAAAAGCCCAATGTTGCTGCAATGGAGAGCTTCATTTCGATGTATAAAAGTGAAGGACTTCGAAGATAGAATGAAAGTAGAAGTTGTCTTCAAATGAACGTCAAGCTTGCGATAGACAAAGCGAGCTTGGAGTCGAAGAAATCAAGGGAGACAAGGCGTCTTCTTATAGATGAGAACTTCCAGCACAAACCATTAAAGGAATTGATCAACAACTGGATGAAAAAGTCTATCCATCCGTTTTCGAGTCAGGACAAGAAACAGGCTGGTCAGGGCTTCGGATGTAGGGTCCATGCCCGTTGCGAGACGGGATTCCCGGTCTGCTGTGGTGCTCCCTGTGGAGCCACCATTGATGGAAACAACAAGAACGGAGGTCAGCGACAAAGCCGCACGGCAATGTGCTGGTCCAGGTATCACCTCATATGTCATCATCACTCGGTAGATAGGTACCATTAACCCTGAATGGGCGGTTCGATGATACATATTGTGAAACGCGGGCTGTTGCAGATGACGGATATGGCTGAGACCCTGGTGAGTCGACCAGTTGCCAGAAGAGTCGAGACTCGAGGCTCAAGATCGTCCTTGGCCTCAAAATTCAGGATGATCAGCCTGTACACCATGACGAATATATCTCGCAAACCATTGATGATCTGGTCGGCACAATCATCCACTGGGTTCCAAAAACGATGAAGCTCCAGTAATCCACGCAAGAGGGTCAACGTGATGACCTTGCAAGTCGCTGTCCTTGTACGTGATGCCTCATCCCTGCTATTAGGTATGCCCATTTATCAGATGTGACGAATATCGTTTGAAATCCATGGATTCAAGGCCCACAGGGGGTTCCGACGCCCAATCACATCACTTCTGAGCGACTTTCTCCTGATCGGCAGGACGTCTGGACTCTGGGGTGACGGAACGGCAATAAACTCCATTCTTCCAGGTCAGCCACAGTCGAGCCAGCTCGTCAGAATCAGGTCCTCTTCGGATCGTGTCCGTAGGATTGATCGGTTATTCGACATCCGTGTTCGCGGCACTGGTGTGACAAGTCCAAGACGGCAAAGGATCGCCAGTTGGCGACGAATGCAAAATTTCAGTCCGTGCCGCGCAAAAGAAATTCAGGTGCGAAAGATGCAGTAGTGAGTGTGATAGCCATAATTCGTGGTGATTAAGATGCCGTTCCCTGTTCCAGAGTGCCCTTTTCCACCTCAGATTGATGGGAGGGCGATGATCACAGACGCCGGATATGGTATCTGGCCCGAGCGATGAGACAAATCTAGGCATTGCGTTCCAGACCCGAGACCATCAATAGTTTGAGAAGTAGAGCACCCAGACGAACTTGGACCCAGGTTAAAACATTGTCAGCTCTGATGGAATGCGTTGAATTGCATTACTGTGGATGATTGTTGTGGATACTTTGCTGCTCAAATTGAGGACAAACAGAAGAATTGACCATTTTGGGTCTGCAATTTTGATGCCTGAGGCAGTATCCCCTCAAAACTGTCCTGCTGGGTTTGTTGGACAGAATCACATATATTGAGTGCGATGTCCTGGATAATTTGAGCAGTAGACTAACCGAGATTGATTTCTATTCTAATCATCATATCAATGCACGGTCTTACAGCTAAGACGTCCGAACTGGGGTCGACCTCGCACTGCAAGTGGTTAAAACTGATGAAGCCATCCATCTTCCAAGAGTTGCCGTGCTGACGGCCTATCCCGAGGATCAAGCTTCATTGCTCTTAGTACCTTGTCCTCCTGGTAAATTTCTTGGGATGTGGTGAGATGAAAAGGTCGCAGTGTCTCGGGAGGGCTGTTCTGCATGACCCAAACAAGGACAGCCAGTCGTTGCTGGTCGGCAAATTCTTCGTATGATTCTGAAAACGGCCCGAAGCATCTATGAGACTTCATGAGAATTCTGAGGTCGTCCTCATCATGGTCTGCAGGAACGTCCGGCTTGAAGATGTAAAAGCCATCCCCCATAGAAAGACTGATAAGCTGTATGGTAGATGGCGTTAATGCTCGAGTCTAGACTTCGACTGAGGATTAACTTGCCATCGCACCAAAAGACCAAATGTCTGTTGCAGGGCCCATTGCATTTGAAGGTGTGCCACTAGGGTCACCATGTTGTGCGTGAAGAGAGTCCATGTGCACTGAGCTTCCAAAATCTGCTAATTGGACATCTCTGTAAAACGGACACTGCCGTGGTCATAGTTGATTAACACATTGCTGGGCTTGATATCTACAACCCCTGTCAACAAATGTCGCATAGCAGAAACTTGGGATAATGGAGCATACCAGTATGTACAAATCCCTCATCATGCACTTCCTCACGATTCTCCATTTTCAGAGAAAGTACCTTGTTTTACATTCCCTCCGGTAGCTTGGTCATCTGGATGCATTGGTTGCCAAGCACTCTACTAGCAGCTTGCTGGAGAGCAGGAATGTTGAATTTGACGGATCGTCTTTGCAATTGGAGTTGTTCATTGTATAGCCAGGCGGCCGGACGTGTAGCGAAAGAAGGGGTTGGTTGTTTCTGCCTGTGAGAGATTCGTAGAGAGTCTCCGATCTTGGATGGAAGTTATAACTGAGCTGAAATGTCTACTGAAAAGCTTATAGGCTTTCTGTTGCACTTGCATTGTGATGTTTTGAAAGATGAAGAGAGTGGTGATGAGTCGAGGTTAGACCATTAGATATAAAGAAAGCTGAGCACATGATACAGGGAGGTATACTCGACTGTGAATACAAATATCTTCATTAGACTCATTTAGTCTCTAGATAACTCTTGCATGAGGCCTACAATCTGGTCTCTCAAGATAAAGAGCTTGATGACTTCCCTAACCTCTGACTGTCAGGTCATATAAACATGAAAGCAGATGCTATCCTCCTATGTACTACGGCTAATAAGCATAAAAATTGATCGCTTCCGAGTCCATAGCCCGGATGCGCCGGTTCGCCCGCATGAGGATCCACCGCAGCAGCCAGGCAGTCGCAATCACACCCGCCGAGAACCCAATGCTGCAATACATGGCCTTGGAGAAGCGCGGCGCATCCGAATCCGGCCACAGATAGGGCGTGTACACGCTCGCCAGATTCCCCAATGTGTTGGTGATGGCAATCGCCACGGCCTTCTTCTCGTCGGTTTGTCCCAGCGTCGCTGCCGTCCAGGCGAGGTTGATGTTGTTGACGCCGTATGTGGCACCCACGAACAGGATCATGGCGAAGTAGCGGGCTGCGATGTTGAGGGTGCTGCAGGCTACGGCGAAGCCGATGATCGCTAGCAGCTTGGAGAGGGTGATGTGCCAGGTGCGTTCGTTGAAGTGGCCCGAGGACCAGGAGACGATTACGGAGGCGAATGTGGCGACCAGGTAAGGGGGCAGGTGAGGACGAGGGTGATGGTGGAGTTGAACCCGAGGGTTTTGACGACGGTTGGCATAAAGTTCTTGAAGCCGTTGGCGGACAGATGGAGATTGCACTGGAGGGCAAAGAGCCAGGTGCGGTAGTCGGTGCATGCTTCGCGGAGACCCTTCCATGTGCTCGTGCGGTTCTCTTTCTGCGTGGTGTCGCGGGCGATCCGGTCGTATGCCATCTGGCGCTCTTCTGGGCTCAGCCACCGGGTCTTCAGCGGCGAGTCGGGAAGCAGGAAGAACGCGGCAATGGCCACGGCGAACGTGGCCACGCCTTGGATGAGAAACAACCATCTCCAGCCGGCCAGGCCGTGGACGCCGTCTAGTCCGGCAAAGACGCCCGCGGCGATGAGTCCGGAGAATGAACTTGCCAGCATATTTCCTGTGTATAGGACGGCCATGCGGGTGGTGGCTTCTTTGCGGTTATAGAACAGACTGATCATGAAGAGCGCCCCCGGGTAGAACGGGGCCTCGACGATCCCAAGCAAGAGCCGACAAACGAGCATGCTGTGGTAGTCTTTGACAAGGCAGGTGAGTGTAGAGATAATTGCCCACCCGATCATGAACCCGGCCATGTACCACGATGGCCGGACACGGTTGAGGAGCATGTTGGACGGGACCTGGCCTAAGAGGTAACTGGACTCGTCAACATTCGTCTCTTTCTTGAGAAAGGTAATGCCCACCCGACAAAGAGAATGCTGACACAGGTATTGTACTGCGTTCCGTGCAGATGCAGGTCTTTGGACAGGTTGTTGAGCTTGCCATTGACCATGGCGTTTCGGTCGAGGAAGTTGAGAAAGTACATCAGCCACAGAATGGGCTGCTTCTGTCAGCAAGATCATGCCAGTATACTGATGCGTAAACCGACCATCATGTATAGATCAATCTTTTTCACGAGAGCAATCTCTCTGGGATCGGTTTTGGCGGCGGAGCCAAACTTATCATACTGAGGAGTCGGCTTCAACACCTCGTCACAGTGGTCGATGTGCTCGACCTGCCCTTCGGCTTTGGTACTCATGGTGGTAGTGATTGAGTGCTGTCAATATCTGACGATATGCCCCATAATGAAGTGGGCACGGCATCTACTGATCGCTTTTATATCTTCGTTCAAGCAGGTCTTAGCTCCCCGCTGATCTGGGGGGTATGCATATCCCCACGGGGCATCCAGAGCAGGCACATGGCCCATAACATGCATATCCGGAGCCAAGAGAGGAACAATGAAATGCGGGGAAGCCAAGGACTTACACGAGCGCTGTCAAGCTTGTACACATTGATATCAAGGAGATCCAAAGTGCTTAATTGGTTATCCGAGGAGATATCCGTGTGCATCCATATCCGTCGGAAAAGATACAGCAATCGTCGTAGCTCGAGGAATATAGGCTTATTCGGAGAAATTATTACTACCTTATTGTTAGGATATTTGATTGGAGCAATCCTGCCAACCATATGTCAGTAGGCTAAAGGTGTATGGGACTGTCCATCAATCGCAGAGCCAGTTACTGTAGATGTATGTTTAATGGCAAGAACTGTGAATCATCGGCTAAAAGTATCTACCTTGACTGGATATACATAATCTATTAAGGTCTACTATTTACAGTTACTTTGCCTGCATCTTCTGCTGTCTAGCCCACTCCAACGCACTCTGCCTGGCTGATTCCTCGCCCACCTCCCCAAAGATATCGACTCCCAGTCTAGCCGGGAAATTCATCCGCTGGTGGCGGTCCAACGCCTGGATTCTCTCAAAGACATGCTCGGGTAAGACGAACACTATCTGATCAGCACCTTTAATCCCAGTCCAGGATAGATGACTTACCCTCGAGATTACTTTTAATCCTCTCCGCGGTCACCGACTTTGGCACGACCGACGTCCCGCGTTGAATGGCCCAGCTGATCAACACCTGCGCGGGTGTTTTGCCTAGCTCTTTGGCAACCTGGATAACGGTTGGATCATCGACAGCCCTGGCACGGTTAGCAGTGACTATATTGTCAGTATAGGATACTCACCGAGGAATATTGTAGATGTTGTTCCCTAGGGGCGAGTAAGCGGTTATCACAATTCCCTACTCTGTCAGTAATGTATACATCCATGCTTGCAAGATACGAGACACACCTGTTGCTTGGACCACTCGAGCAAATCCCTCTGCTGGAGGTAGGGATGTGCTTCGATCTGGTTGACGGCCGGGTGGATCCGAGCCCTGTGCACTGCAATCAGCTCCTTCATCTCGACAAAAACAAAAACAAGATCAGGAACATACGTAGTCATCAACTCCTCAATCCTCTGCCGAGTAAAATTGCTCACTCCAATGGACCGCACTTTCCCCTTCTCCACGAGCTTCTCCATCGCAGCCCAGGTATCCTTGATCGGAACGTCAATGACATCGACCAGCCCGGTTTCCGCGTCCACAGGCTGAATCGTCGTCGTCGAGTACCGAAATGAAACGGGCCAATGGATCAGATAGAGATCTAAATAGTCAACCTGAAGATCGCGGAGGGATTGATCGAGCGCCTCCTCCACGTGTTCGGGTTCGTGATGTGTGTTCCATAATTTACTGGTGATCTTTGCAACAGTCAGCGCAGTCAAGGCTAACTGTGATGGAGGAGGCACGTACGAAGATCTCTTCTCGGGGAACACCAGATAGTTTAATTCCCTCTCCGACCTCCTTCTCATTGCCGTAGACTGCAGCAGCGTCGATGTGGCGGTACCCGGCTTTTAAAGCTGTGCAGACGGCCTCTTTGACCTCGTTGGGCTTGGACTGCCATGTTCCGAGGCCGATGGCTGGAATGCTGTGGCCTGTTTTTAGGGGATAGGATGCAGGTAGAGCCATTTTGCTTTTCGACGACTCATCAAGTTGTATCTTTTAGATGGTTGTGAGGGGATTATATAGTAGGCCAATATCCGATGGAGCTGGTACTTTTCCGGGAGCGAAATCCGAAGGCATTTCCGGCGGGGTGGATAGGACTATTGTATAGATAACTGACTTAAGGTAATAAATAATATTTACATGAGAAATTCAAATAATTAAATTAAATAATCAACATTAGGTGCAATAACAACACGTTGCTACATTATCATTTCCTACAAGCTGGAAATGGACGCCTTTGACTCAGTGGTCTTGGTATTCAACAAGTACCGTCATCCCATTCTCTTATATCTCAGAGTGAGCTACTTCTTAAGACGACCGACTTCTGTAAGATCAGACATGCTTGACTCCCCTATGACAGGACTCACTGTCCCCTCACAGGCTGACAGTTCTATGCAAGAATCAGTCATGCCATTTCACAAGCAGATCACGTAATACTCACCGACTCATCCGCAATGAATGGGTTTGGTACACGGCGCACCACTGAAATTCTCACGGATGTCCCCTTTTTCAAGGCAAGTGTCCGAGGGTATTTGAGGACTGGGTGTGGCCAGTGCCATATCAGTGAGAGAGGCAAGAAGGTAAATGAGCTTCATTCTGCTGTGCTATGTTAGCATCTCCGTGACATATAGACTTGATTGCACTAGAGAATGGGATAGACGAGCTCGTTGCTCTGAGCAGCAGTGGTAACACAACATGCATAGACAATGCATATAGATCAGTCATCTATCCATGAGAGATTTGCTGTCGGGGGAAACCATCAATATAACCTCTTCAGGTAGCGTTATCAATACACAGGTCATAGAATGCAGCCAATTAGGGCATGACAATCTTTCAATCATTGCACCTAAGATCACACAACCTGATTGGCTCTTTCCTGCCCATCTAATCTGATTCTACCTCAATCTCCATGTGATATTGTTCTATAAACCATTGCTACGTTGGTATACAGATACAGAACAAATATCTTCCCCTATGTATCTATTCTTTTGCCTTGAGGAACAACGCAAATGGAGACGGAGCGTGTGAAGGCTAACAGCGATGTACCTTGGTTTCTGATGGCCAACCCTGATGTGGAAGAGCCGGAGTGCCTCTGCTGTAATTTGTTTTATGGATGCTATAAGCCTGATAACAGGTTGCCGGAGATTGATCCTGCTTTGCCTAAGGCTGTTGGGTGATTCCTGTACCCAACAATAAGAGGTATTTGCTTTGTTATAGACATGCTGGAGACAATGCTCTTGGCTATACAGTTGAAAGATGAAATGAACTAGCTACACACGTTCAGCAACGCCACGGTAGGATCATGGTCACTTGCTTGGTCGTCGTACGAAACCCAAGTGTTGACGTGCAGATGGTGCATCTCGGCTCCCTTTGCCAGCGCAGGGCTCACAAACATGTGGTCCAGCTGTTGGCAGTTCATATCGTACAGATACGTGTACCGCTCTGTAATTGGAATGCCAGCGACCTCGTCAAGATCCTCCAGCCCGGATTCAGCCAGGAAGGTCTCTATCGGCTGTGCAAAGGTGAATTCGTTAAAGTCGCCGGAAACAATGATCTTGGCGCTGGAGTCTTCGGCCAGGATGGACGATGTGAATTCCTTTTTGTCATTAGTAGCGTTCAAAAGCAGAACGAAAGGACAACGTACAGCAACGAGCTTGGCCTGCGCTTCTCGCGTGGTAACCCCCCGTTGACCGGCGGCCGGGCGTCGCCCTCGATCGACGATCCACCGCCCTTACTGGTGAAGTGCACATTCACCGTGAAGAACTTGTTCTTGCCGTCGAGTGTTTCCCAGGCTGCGGCTAGTGGCTTGCGGCTGTCGTCCCAGGCGCCGTTGGACGGGTCGATCAGGCCGGGGTTATACTTGAGTTCGGCGCCGGGGAGGACCTCGTTGGCGTCGGTGTTGGAGCCTGGGTTGGCGTTGCGCAGGCGGATCACGGAGGCATCGTACAGGTAGGCGACGCGAATATTTCCGCCTGGCTGGCCGCCGTCCTCCTTGTTGACCGGGGCGATATCGACAAAAGAGTACTCGATGCCGCCTTGGTTCGCGATGGACTGCACGAGAGTCGAGAGCGTCTTGTTGGCGGATACCACTGGCAATAGCATTAGTTAGCTGATAGTCACAGTCAGCCAGAGAGGATTAGGAAAACATACCGCCGTCATCAGTCGGCCCGTCATCATCCTGGATTTCCTGCAGAAAGACCAGTGTCGGACTCTTCAGGTGCTGCGCAATGTGCTGCGCGATCTTGGGCAGCGTCGTCGAGTTGGGGGCGAGGTTGTTGACATTGTATGAGCCAAATGTCACACCGCAGCATGTTCCAGTCGACTCCAGATCCGTAGCAGCAGCAGCCGTCGTGTTCGACCCGGTAACAGTCAACGCAGTCAGCGGAAGCAGCGTATAGTACCCGTAAGCCGTGGTGATAACACCCGTGATATCTCCAATCAAATCCCCCAGCTTGGTATCGGTAGGGTTCTTACTGCCATCCAGCGGCGACCCAACAATGACAGCCTCGGGGTTCGAATCTACACTCATCAGCCCCTCATCCAGCTTCGTAGCATAAAAATTTCTGAAGAGAAAACAAACCGTTATCCCGCATGGTCAACCCACCCCTCTCATTCTCCCCACTCACCTTCCAATCACCAAGCACCCACGTATCCCCATACGAATTCGGCTTCGCAATCGCCTTCACATTCGACACCCTCACCAATTCCCCACTCAAACTCTCCCAAAAGTCCATCCCGTACTTCCCCGGCCTTAGCACTGGATTCGCCTTGCTGACTGTGCTCACATTGTTCGGCACAGCAAGCACATCCCCGCCGTCCAGCGCGGAGAACTGCTCCGTAGGCGGGGCCCGGCCGCCCTTGCCCACCACCACGGGCACGACGGCATTGCCGCTCGAGACGACGCTGATGGCAGATGGCGAGGTGAGTTCCGTGAGATACACGTATGACACCGAGGAGCGGTACTCGGAGACCTTGCCGGTGAGGGTGATGATGTCGCCGACAGAGACATTGGAGACGGCGGTGCTGCCGTAGACGTAGATGGATTCCGAGGTGGCGTCGTCGTTGTCTGGGGTTGTTGACCGTAAATAAAAGCCTGCAGAGCCTTTGGCTGTTACCAGGCCTTGGATGTTGGAGACGGTTTTGCCGGCGTAGGGTGAGAGGTATTTGTTTCCGTTGATTTGGCTGATGGTGAGGGCGGAGGTAGAGGAAACGAGCGCAGAGACGCAGAGGAAGAGAGAGGCTTTTATCTTCATTTTTCCGACTTTACTAGAGTGGGTGCCTCCTTTTGGAAAGATTGTGGAGGATTGAGATTTGAGATTTGAGACTGGCGCATGTTTTATTTATACTCGGAATCGTGAGGGGGTCAATTGCCTCGGCGGACTCCGGGGCGATTGACTTGGATACAGAAATTAAACTCGACTATCTTCAGGAGATAAGTTAGATTAATTCCCAGAGCAATCTACATATCCTGGTCCCTTGCACCAGTAACAGTCGCTGATAAGCCCCCGTTGTAGAGCCAAGCTGCAGCCAAGCACGCTAATGAGGCGAATACAAATTAGCCAGTCTACGGCATACTCATAATGTTGGAGAATCGGGGTACTGACAGGAATTATGACTTGCTATATAGAGGTACCTCGCTAAGTAAATACATCCGTTGCGTATCGCTCCTTTGTCTTTCGATTATCCAAGAATTGCTCGGCCGCAGCATCCTCGTCGTCCTCTGCAGGGACCTCCTCGCCACGTTCCCGCGCCTCCTGGCGCAATTGGCGTCTCCTCTCAAGGTAAATGGTCTTGCAGGCCTGGCGCACCCCGTTCCCCACGCCCGTGCTGCCACACACATAGATCCGAGCGCCCTGGTCAAACAGACTGACCAATTCTTCACGGTCCTCGAGCATCAAATCCTGCACATGACGGCCCTTTGATCCGTCCTCGGGTCGGCTATAAGCCCACCTTACGTCCACAGCGCCCAGTTGAGCCCACTCGGCAAGCTCAGCCGCGTGAATGTCATCCTTGCCTTTAGTCCGGCAGCCCACGTACAGTATCGCTTTGGCCGGCTGTTCAACCTCGGGAAGCTGGCCATCAGCTCCAACCGAGCTGCGTCTGCCCCGGATCTTCTCGGCGCGGTCCATGATGAACCCGCGGAAGGGCGCAAGTCCGCTTCCTGCGCACGCCAAAATCATGGGAGTCTTCAGATCCATCGGCGGCTTGAAGCCGGAATGAGAGGGCCGCACGGCGATATGGGCTCGCTCGCCGGGCTTCAGCTCGGACAAATAGTTCGAGGCGACTCCCATGTACTGCTCGGCTTCCGCTCGCTCGGCGGGCGGCAATGATTCCGCGGCCAGAGACGGCGCGTTGAGCACAGAGAACGTAATGGAGCATTCGGACGGATCCGCCAGGGGAGAAGAGGAGATGGAGTATTGACGCACCCGCATGGGTGGGAGCATGGCCAAGAAATCACCAACGGGCAGCTTGATCGAAGGGTACCGGATCAGCAAATCCAAGGGCTCATCCGTTTCTTGACGATTTCCTCGGTGAATCGAGTGGGGCTGGACGCGAGATAGCGTAGTTCCGCCTGCACGTCGGCGTCGGTGACGGCAGCATCTGCCAGTGCCGTCAGGTCGCGCTTAGAGGCCGGCTGAGAGAGCTCCACATAGGTGGAGAGAAGTTCGAAAGCCGAGATGGGCGTATCAAGGGGAATCGTGGTGGAGCCTTTGGGGCCTGGCTCGGTTTACGGATTGTGAGCATAGCATCCCAGGGCAGATCGAAACGTCGAATGGCCCGGCGGACGACACTGTTCGGGTTCACGGGCAGCACAGCCAAGTAATCTCCACATCGGTAGCTCATATCGGAAGGGAGTTTGAATCGAATCATTCTCTTGGCCGGGAAGTCGGGTGCTGAAAGCAACTGGTTGTCGACCACGAATCCTTCCTGAAGCTGAAGACCAAGGGTCGAGGCGCGCACTCCCGTGCTGACTTCTACCTGCAGACTGGACGACGATTTAGGCTCGTCCGACTTTCCACCTCCAAACTTGGATGTGATTGCGGGCCAGAAAGCGGACTCGCCCCATGAGTCAAAGTCGGTGAACATGTCCGAGTTGGCGGCATCGGCCAGTCCGATATCACACAGCCGGTTTCCTCCATGCTGGGCGACAAGCTGGTTGACCGCTTTGGGGATGCGGTGGAAGGTGGCCTGCCAATCGTCTGCTAAAACTTAGCAACTGTATAGTTCATGTCATAGCCATGGTATGGCAGGCATAAGACTGAGAGGGGAAGATAACTCACGATGACCACAGCCAAACACGGCATAATTAACACCCTCGAGCTCATTTTCCTTCACGGCGCTGAGCCATTCGAAAAAGTGAGCAGCGTTATCGGGCGGTTGACCTTCGTAGGATGCCGTGATGAACACGACCGGTTCGTCTTTCGGAACATTCTGCATGGCGGAATCCAGGGACTGGACGTCAGCAGCAAATCCATATCCTACGGCATCGTCGGCCAATCTGCGCGCAAATGCCTCGCACGTTCCTGTGTTGCTTCCAAAGAAGATGTGCATCGGCTTGAGCTGACCAGGCGGAGGAGCGGCTTTCTTGCGATCCCTGCTCGCCGCTCCCGAGCTCTCTGGCGGCGCACTGTCCGCGGTGCCGCTCAGGGCGATGCCGAGTTTGGTAGCATCCAGTCCATGCCTCAGAGTTGCTCTCATATGGAAGTCCTTTGGTTTGACGGTGAGCGTCTGCTTTATGTGAAGATCGTAGCTGGGATCGTCCATCTGAAAGTTGAAGTTCTGCAGCAGGATGGCCACTACCAGCAAGGCTTCCTGCCAGGCGAAAGGCCGGCCGATGCAGGCCCGCATCCCGTTGCCGAACGGCTTCCAGGCGTTCTTGGGAAGCTTTTCAAAGTTCTCGTCCAGCATTCGCTCCGGCTTGAACTCTTCCGCATCGGGGCCATAAACCTGGGGGTCGCGGTGCAGCTTGTCCAGGATGATCACAATGGGCTCATCCTTGTTCAATACATACTTGCCACCTCCCAGTGTTACGGGATCCTCCTTGTTTTTCTCTGGGTGTGCATGTACAGCAATCAAAGGGGCTGTAGACCTCAGACGCAGCGTCTCCCGCATCACAGCGTTGAGATACGGCAACTTGGACATATCCTCCACAGTGATCTTCCGCCGTCCAATGACAGCGTCCACCTCTTCTTGCGCTTTCTTGTATGCATGGGGGGTTTTCAACAAGTAGTAGAAGAGGAAGGAGAGCAGGCCGGACGTCGTTTCGTGACCTTGTATCATCAGCTGAGTGTGTTAAGAAGTAAACTGGTAGAGGACATACCAGCAATCAGGAACGTGATCATATTGTCAATGATGGACTCATCGGTCAAGCCCTTGCCAGTCTTGGGATCACGCCCCAAGATCAGCGCATTCAAAAGATCCTTCTTATCCTCAGGGTTCGTCCTTCGCGCTTCGACCAATTCCTTCGCTAGGTTCCGTAGAAACGTGATGTCGTTCCAATATTTCGAGTTCTCACTCGTGGGCAGATTGTTGAGCAGCGCGGGTCGACGAGCCCGGTCGCCGGATCCCTGCAACAGGCCCACCATGGCCTCGACAAAAGGATGCATCTCTTCGTGGTAAAAAGAATTGAAACGGGTTCCCATCGCGCAAAGGGCGATGGTGTCCAAGGTTAATCGGGTGAAATCATCGGTCACCATAATCGGAACGGTCGGTCCTTGTCGCGCCCATTTCATGACGAGCTGCGTCGCGATATCGTACATTTCTTGACTGCCATGTCAGAGAAGCGCAAAGTCACGGTCGATCAGGCACCATACCGTCAAACATGCCTCGGATGGACAGAGGTCCAAAGGCCGGCACGAGCACACGATGGGCAATCGCCCAGTTTTCCTCCCCGGGGAAGTTGGCCGTGAACAAGCCATCATGAATGCCGTTTCGAATCTGATTCAACCCCGCTGTAACGACCTTGGTGAATCGCTCTTCGTTGCAGACTTCATCGACGAGTTCGTGGGTGCTGACGAATACTCTGGACCAGCCAAACGTTGTCAGTCGATAGATAGGGCCTTGTAAATGGTTAGCTGGAGAAAAAACCGGGAAGATTAAGCCAGGACAACGTACCATATTGATCGGCCATCAGATTAATACTTCTCAGAGGCACCTCTTGCTCGATATCATAAATATTTCCCAGTAGAGGCACTCCTCTGGGCCCTGGAATGGGGACCGTCATCGACTCGCTCATGGTGCGTGAGGTATCACAAAAACTTCGGAATCATGGGAGTAAACTGAAACTTCACTGATAGTCTCAGTTTGATGAAATTCCTATAGATACAAGCAGGTGGAAAATGGATAAAAGTCAAGACATGGTGGCGCAAAGAGGGGTTTGAAGGAATTTAAATCCCCTCTCAACTGCGTGCATTGCAGGCGATCGACGACCGCACGTGAGATCTAAATGCATCAGAGTTTTGGATTAAATCGCCAAAACAAGCTCCCTATGCCTGAGAACAAAAGAAGTGCCGAGGATGATCTGCACCGTTTGGATGTGATTATATCATAGATACTTGTGTCAGGAGTAAGTGGGTCCAGTTATGACCACAAAGACCGCACAAGCAGTATAATTCTCAGCATTGAGTACTATGAGTAGACTCTCATCGCCCAAGTGATCCTCGGCTTGCCGTCAAAAAGACCGGAGAGTCGGTGGTAAATCAACCGCTGTGAGCCTGAGAGAAAATAATGGATACGATACGAGTCCACAGATCGGATGGAAACCCATATTAGGCAAAAGGTACAGCGGGACCAGGGAATTAAAGAGGCTCAAAAGACCAACCAAGACTGATGGTCTTTCACCGACCGACGGAGACGCCGTCAGGCTATTTTTAATGAGGTCATATGATTGGCTCGTTTAGGAGCCTAGGTAGGGACTCTGTAGCACTATTATCATATTTCTTGATTTAGATTATTTGGCAAAAATTCCGTCCAAATGCCATCAACCGGTCTCGTGGCGCAATGGTAGCGCGTTAGTTTCCGGTACTAAAGGCTGTGCGTTCGAATCGCACCGGGATCGTTTCTTTTTGATTTCTTTTTTTGATACCCATCTTTATTTTAGACAATATCCATTGACCAAGCACATATTGGTGGATGGTTGTAGGCCATTTACTTTTTCTGTATCGAGCTATCAACTACATACACACTACTTTACATCTGCAGCGCATCTAACACTCCCATTCCCGAAAAACATGACATCTGCTCCTCAGGTAGACCTAATATGGAATCTGCCGGTGGTACCACTCCATCAGGAACTCAACCTGCTCCCTCTTGGCAATGGGCACATTAGTGAATGCATTGCCCAGTTCCATGACCACCTGGGTGCCATTAGGGCTGTTAGGGCTCCAGTGCGGCAACGTCCCATTGCCGGTGTAAGAGCCGCCCTTGTTAGGATTCAACGTCTTTGCAAAATTGGCCCAGTAGGCGGACATCTTCTCCTGGATCTCGTAGTCCGCTGCGGTGAAAGGGTACTGATCGGCATTGGCGTATAGAGCATTCAGGGCATACATGATCTCCGACTGGTGGAAGGCCCCTAGATTCTGGCCGGGCGGGGCGTGAGTCCAGTAGTAGGTGTAGACAGGGGCGGAGGCGGCCTTGTACCACTCGGTGGCGTAGGCCCACGAACCGACAAGGGAGGCGTCGCGGGCCGCAGAATTCCAGGACATGTCGGCGGTGCTTTGGTTGCCGTTGTCCGGGTACAGCTTGATGTACCGGTTGTAGAGGTCGCCGTATTTGAGCGAGGTGTAGTTCTCGTATTCCTCCACGGTGTAGTCGGTGAAGGGGGATGCGCCAGACTCGTCCTTTGTGTTGCCTGTGATCACGGGAACATCGTTGGCGGGTCCGTTGAGGAGCGTCTCGATGTACTTGGAGGGGAGGACATAGTTGTCGAGGACTGGCTTGAAGATCAGGGGGTAGCCAGCAGACAGTGCAGTGACCCACGAGATCCAAGTGCTGTTGACACGGTCCTGCGAGCCTACCAGCAGCTCCTCCATGGACAATGTCCGCAATTCCGCGATGCTAGAGACATTATGGGCGGCGATGTAGTCGGCACTGTGGATAAGAGCCGTGGACATGTTGACATACGAAGTGGCGAGACCAGCCAGCAGCGGGTCATACGGGTATCGGATGCCAGACTGAGCGATGCCACCATGGAAGTATCCTTTGAACAGTGGGCTGTTCACAGCATGGTACACCTGGGAAGAGCCAAAGGACTGACCGGCCACTACCACCCGGTCAGGGTCACCACCAAAGTTTGCGATGTTCTTCTTCACCCATTTCAGCACCTCAAGTTGATCAAGCACACCATAGTTCCCGGACGTATTGTGACCAGTGACTGCCAGACCCTCTGCATTCAGATCTGGATGGGCCAGGTACCCGAACACATCATCTCTGCGGTTGAAGGTAATGAGGATGACATCTTTCAAGGCCATGCCGCCGCCATACCACCAGGCCGTATCGCTGGTCTCATCCGAGCCCTGGTTCCAGACCATGACAGGCAGCTTAGCATCTGCGGAGCCAGCATTGGTCCATATATTCAGACTCAGGCAATCCTCGCTGATGTAGCTGGACGCGTCGGTGGGACAACGAGGGCCAAACTGGGTGGCCCTCAAAGTTTCATTCCACGGTTCGCGTGGCTGCGGCGGCTTCCAGCGGTTTTGATACCCAGTATCCGCGGCAAAGGGGATGCCTAAGAAAGCCGTCACGTTGGACTCCGAGACGCCAAAGAATTTCTCAAGCGTAGACTCGTTGAAGTACTTGAAGCCTTGGACCGGGCCATAGTTGGTCTGAATGATTTGGTCCCAGAGCTGGGCTTGGGCGACTGCAACGCCCAGGGCCATTGTTGCGAGGCCCCTGAAAGCGAACGGGGCCATGATATCCTTAGAAGAAACAATTGCTGCTCAAGAGTAGGAGAGATGTTGAAGACCAATGCAAGAGAGAGAAGTTCTGACGGGAACTTCTTCGATATAAATACACCTGCTGTTAGCATAGTATGCCACATCTGAAGACTCCGCTCCGAAGCATCCAATGAGCCACGCGGCCTAGAGTGCATGATGAATGTGTGAAGAAAGGCATCTTCGTCCGAGACTCCACACGTAATTGATCATGGAGAGAACCTCTTGATGCATGGATAGCGGCATCAGATAGATCAATGTTACAGCCTGACCAAACAAAGCGATGTTCGACTACGTAATCCCCAATCGTCATCTTGTCGATCAGTAGGCCTCTCGGCTGGGGACTTATCAGGAATCGTAATGTCATAGTACCCGAGGCATACTACAGCATGTCATGCAGGTACCTACTCCGCAGAGCACCAAGCAATACAGACTTCATGCGTTTCGGGGACCCTGACGACAACAGAGAGCCCATTATTCAAGCCACGCGTTCCATCCGATGCCGAGGTAGGAGGGATAACAATAGTCTACGTGGATAGCGAGACTTGCAATCATCCTCAGCAGTCGCACGATATACCCGACGAGTAGTTAAAGACCGGGTGCACTAAATCTCGGTGGATATTGCTCAATCAGGGAATCTCGTACGGCGGGCCTCCATCTAGTAGTCTCGAGCGAGCGTTCTCTGGCGATCAACTGTCAAGACTAAAGTAGGATGCATTTCAAGTACTGCATGTTGGTCAACTAGGAGTCAGTTAGACAATGATTTCGAAGCGAAGGTTGAGCATGGTTGGCGTCCAGGCTGGGCTGGACTAGACAAAGGGCCCGCAAAGTGTCAATCACATTTGTTTGCCTCCGAGACTTTTGGCAGAAATAAGTATAAGGATAAAGGGCTCTTCGCGAGGGAGTCGGGGGACTGATGGGGTGGATAACACTCGGGAATTAGAGAGGTAAAGTTGTTTGCTTGTACCACTAAAGGAGTACACTGAGAGATCCTGGTAGAGATGGGGGCAACAACGCTGCAACAGTGCCTGTATGAGAGATGAGAGATGATCTTGTGTCCGACTAATAGAATCTGGTCTCGTGGCGCAATGGTAGCGCATTAGTTTCCGGTACTAAAGGTTGTGCGTTCGAGTCGCACCGGGATCGCATCCTTTTTTTTTTGGTTTTTCCTCCTTCAGTTTCTTTCTCTAACCTCTAACCAGGGTGAATGTGTTTTTTATTGCCCGATCGGCAAGTCTGAATGAGCTATGCCGTAGGTGTATTAGACTCAAGCTTCTAAGCAAATGAAGCTGAATTCCTTCTGTTCCGACTGCCGAGCGGGTTCGTATTCGGCATCTTATCCGGGTGAGTCAGTTGCATCCAAAATGGCTGGGGTATATATATATTGACGGCTGCTAGTGCCGACTGGATTAAAGGGTTGCGATATATGCAGTAGAGGTAACACGGGGACATGCGGACTTTGGTTCTCTCGCAGCGACGACTGTCAACAATAGCGTCAAGTGTCAGAAGTCGATATAGAAGCCTGCAAAGCCTACATACACCTGCATACAACATGGCTCTGGCACAATCTGAAAGACAGCCCGTCCCAGACAGGACATCGTTCACAGCAATGGACAGCGTGGAGTATATCTGGAAGCATCTCGGGCTCCCCCTCGAGTCACTGGACGCTCTGGACCTAAAAGGTAGCGGACCGGGTCTCCCCTCGTCCTTCAAAATAGCCGACCTCGCGCAAGCATCCATCGGGCTCTCCGCCCTCCTCGCGGCGCAGATATACGCCCTCCGCACTGCCTCCCCAGTCCCCGCGGTGAGCGTGTCCCGCCAGCACGCCGTCATCGAATTCAAGTCCGAGAGACTGTATACTCTCGCCGGCCAACCCGCCCAAAACCTCTGGGGCCCCTCAGCGGCCTCCACAAAACCTCCGACGGCCACGTCCGCGTCCACGACGGCTTCCCCAACCACAGCAACGGCGCAAAGACTTTGCTCAGGTGCCCACCATCCAGCGACCGCCCCACCGTCAGCGCCGCCATCGCCCCCTGGCGCTCCGTCGACCTCGAAACCGCCGCCTTCGACGCCAGCTGCGTCATCTCCGCCTTGAGATCCTACGCCCAGTGGGACGTCACCCCGCAGGCCCGCGCCGTCGCCAACTTCCCATCCTCCTCCGCCGCATCGGCGATGCTCCACAAGGCCTACCGCAGTCCATGCGCAGCGCACCCCCAGACAAATGCCTCCGCGGCCTGCGCGTGCTCGAACTCTCCCGCGTCATTGCGACCCCACTCTCCGGCAAGACCCTGGCCGCCCACGGCGCAGACGTCCTCTGGGTAACCTCCCCAACCTCCCAGACCTGCCACCCATTGACCGGGAATTCGGCCGCGGGAAACGCACCATCCAGATCGATCTCGACTCAGCAGAAGGGGAAGCAGAGCTATGGCGGCTCCTTGACGACGCGCACGTCTTCGTGCAGGGCTACCGGCCGGGAAGTCTCGCTGCAAGGGGATTCTCACCGGAAACACTGGGGGCGCGCGCTGCGGCGCGGGGCAGGGGAATCATCTGCGCGAATCTGTCCGCTTATGGTCCCGATGGTCCCTGGCGGGGCCGCCGCGGCTTCGATTCGCTGGTTCAGACGTGTTCCGGGATGAACGTGTCGGAGGCGGAGCACTACGGGGCTGGAGAGCCGGGGCGGGCAGCGCCGTGCCAGGTGCTGGATCATGCGGCGGGGTATTTCCTAGCAGCGGGGATTGAAGCGGCGGTGTATCGGCAGGCTGTTGAGGGGGTTCGTGGGTGGTGGATGTGTCGTTGGCGGGGTGATGAAGTATCTGCGCTCGCTGGGGCAGTATGAGGGGAGGACGGGGTTCGAGGGGCCCGGGATTATACGTGTCTGGCGGATGTGCCCGAGCAGTACCTGCAGACGAGGCAGACGGGGTTTGGGGAGATGACGTTTGTGAGGCATTCTGCTGCGGTGGAGGGGGTGGAGGTGGGGTGGGATGTTATGCCTAAGCCTTTGGGGTCGGATGAGAAGAGGTGGTTGTAATCATGTACCCAGTCCCCATGGCTATTTACTCTGGCTCTAAGTCCAGAGACGCTATCCATGATATCATGTTGTTGTTGCTTAGTTCATGGTCTATGGGTCTATGACCAGGTCTGCAGGATGACACAGTCAATGAATGCTGGATTGAGCGAAGCAATAAATTCAAAATACATGCACATTGGTATATACGAATACAAAGCTAGGACAAAGCCCGAGACGATCAAATGACAAGAAGAGTTAGCGGTTTGACACGAGAATATGGACATTAGATGAGGAAATGAGTAGCTGAAAGACATCTACTACCAAAACGACGCCCCAACCCCGAGTGCCATGGATACCACCGCGCGGTTTGACCAGCAAGCAGCACGGGATAAAACAGCAGGTCTCTGAAACACCGGCGATAAAAGAGCATTAAGGTGGAGGACATCCACCTGCTTAGGGAACCGAAGACCAGATAGTTTGCAACGCAGGGCTAATTGACCGGCTGGTATCCCTTGTGTTTCCACTCGCTCTGCTTCCAATCATTCTGGAAAGTGCTCATTTCGGTGCGTTCATTGGCCCACTTGGCATCCTCGAGTGCGTGTTCGAGACGGCCCTTCTTGCGCTGCGCGATGAAGAAGAAGATGAACCCGCCGAGCATGGCGGCCCCAACGCATCCGGCCCGATGTATACACCGGCCTTGGCACCTGCCGGGAGTTCGGCCCACTTCTCGGACAAGGATTTCGGTGGGTTTTGGATGGCATTGGCGACGGTGGAGTTGCCCCTGTTTATCTATTAGTATTCGCCGTGTCAGAGCAAGTGCAAAAACTTACGTGATGACATCGATGCTCTGCCAGGATCCAGAGTGATCGGTGTAGTTGTACTCCTTGCCGGTGTGGAAATCATGCACCCGGACGCTCTGGAGGACCATGGTAAAAGGGGCTTTCGAGTAGTCCACCATACCACCGGCCCATTCGATGGTGCCCTGCGCATTCCCCTTGATACCGGCAGGCCAGATGCCATAACGCAGGTTGCAAGGAGTCTGCGGGTAATACTGGCCGGCCCCCTGGGAGTCTTCGTATGTCAAGGTCCGGACGAGATTGCCGTCAATCCACCACTCCAGCTTCTCTTTACTCCAGTAAGTGGTGTAGTTGTGGAATTCCGTGTCGGCATTGGGGACATAGTGATAGCCGCCGCGGTCGAAGGTCTCATTGTTACCCTTGCCGAAATAGTTGGACTGGACCTCGCTGGTGTTGTAACCCACCCATTCCCAGTCAATCTCATCCAGGTCGTTCGACTGCAGCACGATACTGCTGATAATACCGGCGCCCTTGGCCATCTTGACGTGGGACTCGACAATACCGAAGAAGATGTAAAAGTTTGACTGCATCGTGGGCGCTTGGTTTTCTCCTGTGATGGTAAATTGGGTTCCTTCGTCGGTGTGCGACAGGGCTCCATTGGTGATGTTCCAGATGGTATCGTCGAGAGTCTTGTTGAAAGTGAATGTAGTGTTCATACCCAGGGCTTGATCGGGCGGACAGGTCGTCTCCAGAGGGTTGCACGATGTCCATGTCTGAGCGGTCACCGAACAGATGCTGACCACGAAGAGGGCCACAAGGTAAAGGAACGACATGATGAGGTCCTTAGAGAGGATCTCTCTCTCTCTAGATTGGGTCGGTGATGATCAAAGTATGTAGATCCTATGTAAAGTGAAAGGCAGCCAAACAGGCCCGAACGTATATGCTTCAGCTGAAGCCTCGACGAGACTTGGGGGATTTATGTGGATGTCCGAGGACAGTAAAGAGCGACAGAATCCGGATGAAGGAATGGACGTGCGATCGAGTCGCACGAGGAGTCTTCAGCCCAACCCGCAAGTAGAAGAATACTTACTATACGGGGTAGAGCAAAAAGGAAGAGAAACGACAGGATCCGGAGGGGAAATCTGAGACGAACAGAGGAGAGAAAGACCGGAGACGGGCATGACCAGAAGACTAGTCGGTTAGTATATTAAAAACGGATGGGACTAATTTTATTAGCATCAGCCACTTTTCTCCTGCCCCAAAGTCCGGCAAACTTGGCGAGTCTCATCTGCACTATCATTTCTGCAGACTCGGACTGCAGACTGCAGCCGGCACTGTAGCTATCCAATGTGGTGCTATGAAAAATAGTGCTGAAGCTGGTTTCAGGGGTAAAACATGACCCCAATTGACCAACAGCTGCTCTTGGACAGTGGGGCCGAATGAAGAGATCTAGTCCGTTTTGAGGCAAGTAACCATATGCTGCTAGCCTATTTCGGTAAGCTGCTTTCTGCGTTGTCCGCAGATTGTTCCTGAGCCTTGCCGAATGCGGCATGATCTAGTACGCATTGGGGTTTTCTCTCATCGCCGGAGTAATGATTGGCTGATACTGCGACTGCTGGAGATAAGAGCAGGCTACTGTAAACCCTGCCAAGCAGGTCAAAATCAGTAGGGGTGTTAGTTATTTACCTAGGTAAGGACCTAACTGTATGGTGTTTGTGGGTGTACGAGTAACACTTTAATAACCCTTCAAAAACACTGGTAACTGCCCAGAATATTAATGAGGATGCCTAGAGATTTCGGTTCAGGATAAATTGATGATTGATCTCATAGTCTGTGGACTGTCCCATTCCTGGTGATGCGAGTCGAGTCTGTGCCTGGCTCCACGCTCGAGTCATATTCCTAGAAATCCTACCTAAATTAGATAGTTTTATATGTAAATTGTGTAATGTGACGATGGTGGCTATCACAAATCCAATGGATATATTTAGAAGGGATCCATTCTGTCAATAGTTCAGGAGATGTTCAGCATAGATCTCATGTCCCATATGCAATCAAATAGGAGTTCTTTTCTTAAGAGCCACGGTCCGCTTAATGCCTTGAATTGAATGCCGTAAAGAACTATGGGCCAATCTATATCAAACAAACGACCTTAGTATATATATTGCATTTTATACAGTATGACAGAGAGTCCACCATAAGACGCTTGTACTACAACACATCAATTTCATTTAATATCAATCCCCAACTCCAATCCAGTAATCCATATCATATCCATCTTCTCATCATCTCGTGACAAGATCATGCCTCGTTATCATTAGACATACAATCATACCAGATCGCCGCAAACAGGTGCCCAAACACCTGTTATACTCCTAATTCAGATATACCTTGGCCGGCCGCCGAACGTCCTCCCGATATCTCCGCGAACGGCTCGGCTTATCGACATATTCCACATAAGACGGACTACTCCGGCTTCGACGATGCGTCGAGCGCACCTCCGTCCCTCCTCCCCCGCTGTATCCATAATCGGGTTCCCCACCGCCCCAAGCGCCGGGCAATGAGCAGACCCGGAAGAGCCAGATAAGCAGCAGGGTGCCGACGATGGAGCCGATGACAATTCCTGCAATGCCACCGCCTGAGATGCTATCGGGGCAATTGCAGCTCTCGGATGAGGTGGTGGTGGACTGCCGGGCTTGGAGGATGTTGGACAGGACAGGTGCCTAATGTCGAGGGGTCAGCGAGGCTGCATCCATGGTTCCGTCACTCGGGCCGTTGCGGAGTGATCCAGGGAGGAGGAGGCAAACAACTTACCATGTCGGGAAATTTGATATTTGATATTTGATATCAAATATGGGAGGCGAGAATGATCCACTCGATGATTTTCCTCTATATGCGTCGGGATGGCGCCGTATAGTCCAGGATGCCGAGGCCGAGGATCTTGAAGCGAGTGAGCTGAGATTAATTCTCAACTCAAAGAAACGAGAGACAGACACCTCAAGGAAAGGAAGAGTAGAATGACCACTGAATGAACTGAATATAAGATGGGATGGGATGGATGGTACCACATCGTTCAAATATCCGACTGTCCCGCGCTGACGTCAATCGCACGTCTTCCTGGACAAGCGGGAAAAAGATGCGATCTCCATCTTCCATGTACCTTTTAGCCCGCACCGGATCTTGAAACTGGGAAATCCGCCCGGCTACGGCTACCAGTGAGCGTGAGCATTGGTCAATTGGCCTGGAATTGGCGCGGAAGACTGGCTTTTTGTCTTACCCTCCTCACAGGCAAGAGGGCTCTCGGCTCTCCTGTCGATTCTGCTATCACTCGCAGTCGCAGGGAATATTGCCAAATGGTCTGTTGTGTCTGTTGTGCATTGCATTCAACTACTGCCAGAGGCTTTACGTCTTGATCGCGTACGTGCTTTGATCTTTGATTTCCCTCTCTTCAATGCCGAGACTCGACTTTCGATGCATGTGATGACTCCCCTCGAAGGATCGGACACTAAAACCATCCACAGCGCCAGTGACGCAATCCATCACACAATACGATCTAGCGACAGACTCAACAGGCTGTCTTTACTCTTATTATCTAATCAAGCAAATAACCCCTCTGCTGCGGTGTATTCCCTTTTACTATTACAGATACACGATTATGATTGGACAATTGTGACCACATCTAGAAGCGAACATAACGAAGCCCTGTAAAAGGCTTCGCTGATACTCCCTGTCCCCCTCGAAAAGATGACCACAGAGCAGATTAAGGCTCAAAGCAGCTGTTATTATCACTTCCCTATGAGTGGTAGTCTAATGACAGGTAAAGAGTGTGGACCCATCTGGCTCTATGAAAGGTCAGGCGAGGTCATGTGAGCGAGCCCTAAGGAGACCACTCGGCACGCAATTGCACGGCAGCTTACAACTGCACATGTCCCGGCGACGGTGGCACGCTACCCGTCTCCCAGTGCTTTATCTCAGAGCCTAATTCAAACTCAATAGTCCCGCCCTGGACCATGAGTTCCTCGTGCTCGAACCAGTTCTTTGTCCACTCTTTCCCATTGATCTTGACGCTTTGCACATAATAGCCCTGGTCTAACCCCGTCGCTTTAATCCTCAGTGTCTGGTTCCCGTTGACTGTCATGTTCAGGTCAGGGAACCAAGGCGACGAGATCAGGTAGACCGGTTGGGTGACCACTGGGTAGATGCCAAGCATCTGCCACACGAGCCAGGAGTTCATGGCTCCTGCGTCGCTGTTTCCTGGGACTCCATAGGGAGCGTCCTTGAAGCTGCAAGGCAATATGGTCAGCTGCTGGCGAGTAGATTGAACAATGCGATTCGGCTTACTATTGCAGTCCCAGGCTACGGGACATCTGGACGCTCTTCGCTTGTTTGTTGATATAGTTGTAGAGATACGGTGTTGCGAAATCGGGCTCATTCCTGCTTCACGTCAGCTGTTTTGTACGGTTGATCAATGGTAGCACATACCCAATATTCATCAGAGTCGTTATGCCGGCCCCGTTTGCACCAAGATTCTGAACTGACAGATTGGGTTTGAACTACACAACATCAGCACAACCCTCAAGCAATCTATTGAACCGTGCCTACCATAGTGTCTAGCCGGGCCTCAAAAGTGGCTGGACCGCCCATAAAGTCGATCAAAGTCTCCATGTCATGCGGAATCACGAAGGAGTACTCTGAAGCCCATGATCAGTACGGACCTCAGGACGGATACTGCGCTTGCACTTACCCCATGGTACGCCCTCATAACTATACGAATGCCACTCGCACTCATAACAATACATTGGGTCATATCCGCTATTGTTGAACGTGCCGTTCGAGAACTTCGGGGCTAGAAAGCCAGTGAAGTTCAAGCTCTCCACTTTGGGATTCCACAGCTTTTGCCAACCGGCTGACCTGTTCAGATATTTTTCGCGTTCACCAGGCATCTCCCCGCTGGCTACCTGGCTCAAGGCAAAATCATTGAGACTGTACTCGACCGTCCGCGAGATGCAGCGTGTGTTCCGATCCTGAGAGACATAGCCCAGCTCAAGCCAGTCTCCCAAAGCCCCTCGGCCCTCCTTGGTGCTCGCAGATAGATCCTTAGGATCAAAGGTATTGTACGGGATGGCTTCAGCGTCCGTCTTCATCGCTGCGTACCCGTCTGTCCAGTTGATTGCGCCGCGCAATCCTTTGACGTACGCGTCGGCGAGGACATTGTCCGCGTTAGAGCCCCCTTGGACCAGTCCGTTATAGTTGCCCGAGCGTCCATCAGGTAGGAAGCCTTGATGTCTGTACTCATGCTTAACTCAGAAATACAGTCTCTTCAAGGCGGTCTTACCTCCATATGTCAATGAGACCTCGGATCATGGATTCATAATAGGTAGGCTGGAAGATATGATAGAAGCTCACGGTGCAGCGGAAGATGTCCCCTGAAACAAGTAAGTACATAATCATCAGGGAGCGGAGCTTCCATGGGTACTGACACATAGTATAAAAGTCATCCCATAACGGCTCCTCCGACTGCCAGAGCGGATTCTCCCCAGTCCGGTTAGAGGGCATCAGATGCATGAAATACAGGGAACTGTAGAGCAGCCGCACGTCGGTCATGTTTGCAGTACTGTCAAGTGGCACCTGGATCTTGCCGAGGACCTCCTTATTCCATTGGTCAACTGCGTCTTGGACGGTGTCATTGAGTCTCCACGAGGGAATCTCGGACCTGATATACGACCGAGCCCTGTCGGCCGATATCAACGAGATACCAATTCGGGAGGTGACCTCTGGTTTTGCCTTCTCGTCCCAGCTGAAAAGAGCGCCAACACGCTCATTCATGGGTCCCGATGTTGCCTTATCCGATATGTTACCGTATATTGGCTCTCCTATCTCACCAACGAAAGTCTGGTATCGTGGTATGGGCTCTGTATTTGCTCCAGTGAAGGTCCGAGCCATTGTAGGCTTTTCGGAAAATTCTCCGTAAAAATAGGCTGTGAAGGGAGCTCCATTGTTCCATCCTCCCATGTAAGTCCCATAACCGCTGTAAGCCCTACCGTTGTCTTCGATTTTGATCTCTCCGCCAACATAGTATTGGCCATTTGTGGCCCCAGGCTTAGCGGGCAAATAGTGAGAGACATCCACGAGCACATGCTTCTCGCCCTGAGGAAACGAGTAGTGAACAATACCGGCGTGACTGGAAGCAGACAGCTCCACCTGAACACCGTTCTGCAGCTGGGTTTTGTAATAGCCTACGCTGGCCGTATCCTGACCGACTCTGGACTGACTGTACGTGAGATTATCCAGGATATTCACAGGAGGCGCCACGCTGGTCAGAGGCATCTGCGGAATGAGCCCATATTTCGGAGAACCTCCTGTCCCGCTTTCATGCATCATGGCTGGACATGTCAGTAGAGAATGACCACCGGATTTCGAGCAAATCACATACTGATCGCGGTCACATTGCCGTCAGGCGTCCATCCGCCGTTCAGCACCGCGATGCTCCAGTTTGCGGCCGTCGTGTCTATTCCCATTTTGACCATTCCAAAGGGTCGCGCACCGCCAACGAAGATGTCGCCTCCTCCGTAGCCTTTGCCCGGAAAAGGGCCTTCTGACCCCATCAGAGCATTTACATACCGAGTGTAATCGACAGAAGACGACGCAGAAGCCGTCGCTGCCAAAGCCAAAAGCCAGTGAAACGGTTGACTGAGAAGAAGTCGCATGATTTGAAACAGATTTCCAATTGCACTATGTCGTAGACCTATTCTATGAGGATTCCCTTGTCAATGACACAAGGATCCAATCTAACAACGTTCAAAAAGTCAAAGGAGAGAGCCTCCATATATAGCCCTGGGCGCCGCATATCCTTCGGCGAAACAGGAATGTAAACCAGAGGCCTAGAGGGGGTTGACCGAGAATAACGCCGCATCAATTGGGGAAACAAAGCATCGGTCTTTCATCATCAACCTGCGGGGTAAGGCATGATCAACCAAACCATATCCCAAAATCGACAACATGAGGCTTAAGTTGGTTGTTCTCCCGAATATACTCCGGGAGACGGGTAGTGGTGTACTGGGCGGAGAAACTATACGTTTCTGGGTGATTCTTCCGATCGACCGCCGCACAGCAGAACAGACCTCCCAAAAAACCCACCAAAAAAAGGTCATCCCGCTATAGCGATCACGATAAACCCGCCTTCATTGCCGCCGTCTGTGCCAGCTGAACCTCCTCATCTCCTCCTCTCCATACCTACACACGACGACTCAACAAAATGGGTGTCACTTTTGACAAGTGTGATACGCGGCCGGCGCATATCGAGGCCATCCTCAACGGCCTGGACAGATACAACCCCGAGACCACCACAGTATTCCAAGACTATGTTGTCCAGCAATGCGAAGAGCGCACATTCGACTGCTATGCCAACCTGGCTCTGCTGAAGCTGTGAGTCTATCTCCTCTTGCTCTCAAACACCGCGCTTGCCCTGGATTCCTCATCGCGGGGGTTGCTCAGATCGCATGGGACGAATGATGAACAACCTTGTTTTTCTTCATAATCACGTTTCCTATTACCTGACATCCCCCTGGGATGAATGTCGAGGAAAAAAAGCAACATGTTCTGAAAACAAAGCTGTCCCATTCAGCTAGCTTTTATTGCCTGACTTGGCCCATATACTTCCCGATGCTGACAAGATGTCAACAGCTACCAATTCAACCCTCACCTCCTCCAGCCCGAAACCGTCACCAACATCCTCGCCAAGGCCCTCACCGTCTTCCCCTCGCCCGCCTTCTCCCTCTGCCTTGCCCTTCTCCCCGCCCACACGCAGCCCTTCCCCACCGCCGACACCGACGCCTCCCAGACCTCCGACTTCGTCGAATCCGTCCAGAAGCTCGCCCGCCTGTCCACCCTCCTCGAGTCCGCCCAGTACGCCCAGTTCTGGTCGACCCTGAACTCCGATGACCTGTACGCGGACCTGGTCGCCGACGTCGCCGGCTTCGAGGAGCTCGTGCGCATCCGTATCGCCATCGAGGTGGGCAAGGCCTTCCGGGAGATCAACGCCGAGGTGCTGGAGCAGTGGCTCGACCTGCGCAGCCGCGACGCCCTCGAGAAGTTCGTCACTGAGGTCTGCAGCTGGGAGGTGGACAAGGCTGGTCCCAACGGCACTGTTATCATGGTGCCCACGAACAAGGAGAACGAGGCACGCAGCGAAGTCAAGAGCGAGCGCGTGGGTGTGGAGATGTTCGGCCGTGTGATCAGACGGGGTTTCGAGCAGGCCGCATGAAGTGGGGTTCTAATGGTCTAAAAATGGGGATTTTCCTTAATTCTTTCTCTTGCTCCTTTTTCTCTCATCCTATTTTAGAGGTCTGATGTTGGCATGGATCTCTTCTACTTGTGCTAAGACAACCCAATGATGATGAAGGTAGAACCAGCATGGGAGGTTCCGGAAAAATATCTTGGGACCCGGCGCATTTGGCGTTCTGAGATTTCGGTCTCTGTGTGTAAAGAGAAACAAAGTATCTTGATTTATAGATCCATAACCAGCTGGAAATAGCCTTTTCTAAACCAAAAAAAGGAAAAGATTCTATATATAATTGATCTAGGCCTTGACCAGAAGACTTTTACCCGACATCTCCTCGGGCTGTTCGATGCCCATGGCGGCGAGGACGGTGGGTGCAACGTCTCCGAGGACACCCTCCTCCTTCTTGAGGCTCCAGCCCTCGGGGGCGTTGGCAAGGACCAAGGGAACCTTGTTGGTTGTGTGGGAGGTCTTGGGAGTGCCCTTCTCGTTGAGCATCTCCTCCGCGTTACTTGGGAAGCAGATATGTTAGCATGGAAGATAAAAGTCAAAAGACGGAAACGACCTCAACCTACCCGTGATCGGCGGTGATGAACAGAACGTATCCGTGCTTCTTGCAGGCCTCGTATATTTCACCAATGGCCTTGTCGGTGGCAGCGACACCCTTGATGGCGGCCTCGTACACACCGGTGTGACCGACCATGTCGGGAGGAGCGAAGTTGTTCATGATGAACTCGAATTTTCCCTCGGCGATGCGCTCGGCCATCTTCTTGCCGACGGCTTCGGCGCTCATCTCGGGTTCATGGTCGTAGGTAGGGACCTTGGGCGAGGGGATCATATCGCGCACCTCGCCAGGGAACTGCTTCTCGATACCTCCGTTGAAGAAGAAAGTGACGTGCGCGTACTTTTCGGTCTCGGCGACGTGGCACTGCTGGATGTCCTTCTTGCTGAGCCACTCGGCTAGCACGTTGCCCATGTGCTGAGGGGGGAAGGCAACGGGGAAGGTGTAGTCGGTCTTGTACTGGGTCATGGTGGTGATGTGGATGTTCTTGGGGTAAGGGAAGTCGGGCTTGGGAGAGCGGTCATAGTCGCCCAGCAGCTGGGTAATCTCGCGGACACGGTCCGAACGGTAGTTGAAGAAGAAGAGGGTGTCGTCGTCTGGAAGACACGGTCAGTTTTCGAAACGAGCTGTTGTTCGATTTTCGCCTAAGAAACATACCCTGCACGCGCCTTTCCTTGCCGCCAACAATGATTGGCTTGAGGAACTCGTCGTTCTCACCCTTCTCATAGCGCTCCTTGATAGTCTTCACGGGGTCAGAGCTCTCTTCGCCCTCACCGCAGACAATACCCTTCATGGCAACTTCGACTCTGTCCCAACGCTTGTCGCGGTCCATAGCGTAGTAGCGGCCAACCACCGTGGCGATCTCACCGATGCCGATCTCCTTGGTGTGATCAAGCAAGTCCTGCATGTACTTGGTAGCGCTCTTGGGGTCGGTATCACGGCCGTCACCGAAGAAGTGAATGAAGACCTGAGGGATCTCCATCTCCTTGGCGACCTTCAACAGACCGGCCAGGTGAGTGATGTTGGAGTGAACACCGCCATCGGAGACCAGACCCAGCAGGTGCAGACGACCATTGCCCTCCTTGGCGCGAGTAAAGGACTTGACAATGTTGTCGACCTTCTTCAATTCACCCTTCTTGAGGGTCTGATCAATGCGAACGCTGTCCTGCCAGACGACACGGCCAGCGCCGATGTTCAGATGGCCAACCTCACTGTTGCCCATCAAACCCTCTGGCAGACCGACGGCCAGCGACGAGGCATCCAGCTCGGTATATCCTTGAGCCGTCTTCGAGTTCTCTTCGGCAAAGCCGGACATGTAGGGTGTCTCCGCGGCAGCGATCGCATCTCCGTCCTTGGGAGAGTCGGGGCCAGGGATACCCCAGCCGTCGATGACGACTATTCAACATTAGCGACCGACTTGATGTAGCACACTATCGTGGAGAGCCTACTCAGAACGACTTTTTGGTCAACCTTGGTCATTGTGAACCTAGTCTGAGAGTTGGTTGATTGACAATTTAACGACCAATTTTGATGGGGTGGAAATGAGTGAGGATAATTCGATGTAACTCACAAAAAGGAAGCGTTAATTTGACGTTAGGAGAATTGACTGGATGGAAGAAAGAGAAAGAAAGAGAGAGAGAAAAGAATTGGCTGGCCGGTGAAAAACAATTGCTGTCGCTATCAGGATGATAATTACTACTATGGAGGGGGAGGGGCTTCTTCCCGGTGACGCTTTTGGACTTTTCCTTCTCTTTCTCCGACGTCACGCTTCTCCCTTAGTTGACCTTCTCTCCCCGTGCGTTCTCGTCCGCCTTGGACTCGTTCCGACTCTTCCCTATAACTCCATTAATAATTATTACCCATCGGGCACAGGGATTTATCATATTGATAATCGAAACGTTTCCAAGTTGTATACCAGATCCCTTAGCCTGGATTTTGCGCAATGGCGTCCAGGTCACCAACCGCGGCCACTCCGCTGCGAAAACCGTCATCTGCGCCCGAGACCCCTATGGTAGGGGAGCCCACGAACACAGCACCACAACCAGTTCCTTTCCCTCCGCCGCAGACATTCGACATAATTCCTCCGTTGCACGGTCTTCTTCTGCGTCTTCTTTCGGCACAAACAGCTGGCGAAGGCGGTCCAAGAACTGTTGGTGAAGCAGGCGGAGAAGCGCCATCAGGGTCGTCGGGTCCGGGCCAAGGTGTTCAGCAGCCGACTTCGGCAACGGGGAGTGGACTGGCGCCATTGACTGCGAAAAATTTGCCGACAGAGGCAAGCTCGATCAAGATTCGCATACAAAAGGCACACGCGGTTGTTGGAAGTCTACCTGACATCGGTCGCTCGGTCGCTGAGCAGGAGAAGGAGATTGAGGAGCTCGAGAATCGTATCGCCAGGTTGAACGCGGTCCTTTCGGATTTTGGGAAAAGGGCAGACACAGGAGCTTGATGGCTTGCTCAACAGCATGAAGAGGAAACGGGTCTTGCAATAAACTTGTCGCCTTGCAAGGAGCAACTCCCATTGGGCTTGAGCTGCCGCGCGGCAGACTTCGAAGTACAATTGGCTGTTGGTCTCATTATGCCCGCTCGACAGATAGTACATGAAGACTTGACTTTGGCCAGAAGTCCACTGAGACAATATACAAGCTCTCCATAGTGTCGTCCCATGAGCTGCTGGGTCGACCTTGGCTCAAAGCTGTTGCTACAGACATGTTTCTTCGACGCTTTTCGCTCCCTCTCGATGGCTGGCTCTGAGGGGAGCACCTCACCTCACGAGGAAAAGAATATTAATATACCAGCAAGACAAAAGTCTTGCATTGGTCCTTGACAATTGATCGGTTTAGGACTACGGATTTGGCCCTCCTCGTGGGGCTCAATACAAACTCGGCCACCACGGTCCCCGTTTCACACCCTGCAGGCAAACAGCGGGCGCATGCTCCCTAGCCCGCAGAGACCTGCCTGATCGCCGCTAGCTTGGCACAGCATAGATAACTACTATCTATATCGCCCAGACTTGGTGACACTGCTGACCAGGGAGCTGATACTCCTAAGGACAGACTGCGGCTGGATTTCTTGAGTCGTCAGCAAATGCTGACGGCCGGTTGAGGTGCCGCGACCTAGAGGTCGACAGGCAATCCTCGCAATGCCGATACAGGCCTGAATACAAAACCACTTAAGACCTCTGTCTACTTAGAGCAACGAATACATTCTACTGCCTATATGGGCGACCGTCAATTGCTGGTTCCTCTCGGATCAGGTTAAGTGCCCTATCAATGCGACCAGACAACCTCAAGAGGAGCGAGATTCTCATGGATCCGATCGCCAGGGAACCACGGTTGGAAGCTCAAAACTTTGTCTGAGTCACCGGACTCTTTGGGTTCTTGGAAGTAATGGTCGGGCTACCTGGTAGTATTGAGGCAATTGATATTGATTTATTCGATTCAAGCTTATTTCCCAATCCGTAGAGGCAAATGTTTTATTAGATAGAGACCCTGTGAGTTTTGACAAGTGGCAAGCGTCCAGTTCATTGACATATTGAAATTATCTAAGCCTTGGGAGCCGTTTCTTCTCGACTTTGGAATACGAGAGTAGAGAGATACTAGTCTAATCACAATTAGTCAAAAATAGAGCAAGTTTGATGACTCCCAATCTGAAGAACAAATTTTCTCCGGTTTTTGCTAAGAAAGCGCCGGTGAGGACCCCAGTTGAACTTCATCAACCTCCGATGTCGTTCGGGCTCCGAACGTTGACAGCAGCACCAGAACTCCACTCATTGGCTTCCTGAGGCACCCATCCCGCCCACCGACTCCTCCCCCCACCATCACCGGATTTTCCTGTGCTCTTTTCTTCGCCTTCGCTCCCCCAACCTTTTTCCCTCCTCTCTTCCCTTCTCTCATCATCCCTATCTCACTTTACCCTCTTGTCCATCGTTTTCTTTCATTTGGACAATACCATCACTCACAATGGCCACCTACGCTTTGTCGCAGGCTCACCGCGAGGTGAATCATCCCACTTTGAGATTTGTCTTACGAGCTCACCATACTGACTCATTCGTTGTAGCAAATGGAGAAGTCTCTGGTCGACTCCGACCCTGAGATTGCTCAGATCATGGTATGTTCTACAGCATTTGTTCCTCTTTCGAATTGAGGTTGAAGATCAATAATACTGGGCTGTTTCGACTAATTCATGCTTCTCGCAACAGGAAAAAGAGATCAAGCGTCAGCGCGAGTCCATCCTCCTGATTGCCTCTGAGAACGTCACTTCCCGTGCCGTTTTCGATGCTCTCGGCTCTCCCATGAGCAACAAGTACTCCGAGGGTTACCCGGTGCTCGTTACTACGGTGGTAACCAGCACATTGATGCCATTGAGCTCACCTGCCAGGCTCGTGCCCTGAAGGCTTTCAACCTCGACCCCGAGAAGTGGGGCGTCAACGTTCAGTGCCTCAGTGGTAGCCCTGCCAACCTGCAGGTCTACCAGGCTCTCATGCGCCCCCATGAGCGTCTCATGGGTCTGGATCTTCCCCACGGAGGTCACCTGAGTCACGGTTACCAGACTCCTGCCAGAAAGTAGGTCTCCGTTGTTACCTTCTGTGGTCGAACAGTGTGTTAATTTTGCTCAGGATTTCCGCTGTTTCTACCTACTTTGAGACCTTCCCCTACCGTGTCAACATTGAGACCGGCATCATTGACTACGATACCCTCGAGGCCAACGCTGAGCTCTACCGTCCCAAGTGCTTGGTTGCTGGTACTTCTGCCTACTGCCGTCTCATTGACTACGCCCGTATGCGCAAGATTGCCGACAAGGTTGGCGCCTACCTGATTGTCGACATGGCCCACATCTCTGGTCTGATTGCCGCCGGTGTCATTCCTTCTCCCTTCGAGTACGCCGATGTGGTTACCACCACCACCCACAAGTCTCTCCGTGGTCCCCGTGGTGCCATGATCTTCTTCCGCAAGGGTGTGCGCAGCACTGACCCCAAGACCGGCAAAGACATCATGTATGATCTTGAGGGTCCTATCAACTTCTCCGTCTTCCCTGGTCACCAGGGTGGTCCCCACAATCACACCATCACTGCTCTGGCTGTTGCCCTCAAGCAGGTCGCCACCCCTGAGTTCCGTCAGTACCAGGAGCAGGTTATCAAGAATGCCAAGGCTCTTGAGGTTGAGTTCAAGGCTCTCGGCCACAAGCTCGTCTCTGACGGTACCGACAGCCACATGGTCCTGCTGGACCTCCGCCCCAAGGGTCTTGATGGTGCTCGTGTCGAGGCTGTCCTCGAGCAGATTAACATTGCCTGCAACAAGAACTCCATCCCTGGTGACAAGTCCGCTCTGACCCCCTGCGGTATCCGCATTGGTACTCCCGCTATGACTAGCCGTGGTATGAGCGAGGAGGACTTCAAGCGCGTCGCTCGCTACATCGACCAGGTCATCAACCTTTGCAAGAGCATCCAGGCTGACCTGCCCAAGGAGGCTAACAAGCTCAAGGACTTCAAGGCCAAGGTTGCCTCCGACTCTGTTCCCGAGATCCTCGCTCTCCGCAAGGAGGTCGCCGAGTGGGCCAGCACCTACCCCCTGCCTGTTTAAGCATCAGGGCAGAACAAATAATCTCACATGATACCAAAATATGCTTTTCTGGTTTTCTTCAGGCTTTTGACGAGTTCAACATCATTGCGTATAAAATTGGGTCGGCGGGAGTACGTTAAGGGGTTTTTACAGGTCTGCTTTTTCAACCTTACGCGGGTCATGGGATACGGTATACATGAGCATGAACAAAATATTCAACATTTCTTCAACAGGACGAAAGGTTCACTGTCTGGCCACAAGTTGGGCTTCAGCTACCATCAATCATCATCTTGACTAAGGTAGTCTATGAATGAACTTAAAAAGATTAATGATTTCAAGATCGTCACTTTCACAACCATCTAACTGTAGTAATCCACTGTCCTCATCTTCTCCACTTCAAGTGCTGCCGAGCTTCACTCAGCTTCTCATCTTCAGCGTCCATTTTCCAGCAGGGGGTGAGTGAATTAGAATCTACCTGATCATGTTTCAGTAATATGATTAGGGGAAGGATTGTTGTTCATGCTCTTTTCCACTACCATGGGCATACATTTATAAACTTCCTATATCTGCAGCGACAGGCGAAACCAAAAGAATATATCTGTAAATCTCTCAGAGCTCAGTCTTCTCCTGGCGCGTCGTTCCCTGTCCATCACTGCCCTTTTGATCCTCCCATGACTGCGAGATCAACGAAGCAACATTCTTACCCATCAGGACACTGGTCTCCATGGTCGAGATGAAGCTCTCAATGCCACCCGTGTACCAGAGATTTGGCGCAATCATTGTGTCCTCGAAGGTCACCCGCGGGTAGAGGAACGGGTACGGGTTCCAGATCTTCTCATGGTGCCAGCTTACATCATCCTTTGAAAGGTCGCCGATTGTCGAATTGGTGGAGTAACCTTTGTGCTCCAGACCCAGGATAGCGCCCACGAACGACGCGGTGAGACGCTCGGGCGAGAACACCTTGTATACGTATTGTTTCTCGTAGGTACCGTCGCTACGCGGAGCTTGCACAGTGCGGAGGGTACTGATGCTCCAGAAGCCGGCTGGGCCGACGCCTGCCTTGCTGGAGCCTAGGTCCACCCCGCGGGGAAGCGTCGTGAGAATGGTTTCGGGAGTGCGACTGCCAGAGGGGAGGTTGAAGAACTGTGGAGAAAGGAGATGTGGTGAGGAGAAGAGGGTCACATGGAGCTTGACGTAGGGGATTTCATCGGGGGCGTGCTCGAGGGGTGGTTCGATAGTGATGCCTGAATATTGTAATGGACCCGCGATAACCACCTCGTCGAACATGGAGCTTTCTTCGACTCCGGTAGCCTCGAACGCGACGGTCAATGTGCCGTCGGCATTCCGTTGAATGGATGTCACACTGTGATTGACTCTGACATCGGCCTCTGAGGACCTCAGCATGCCATCGAAAATCTGCCAATTGCCGCCCTCGATAGAGACCGCTCCGTCCGTAGCCATGCAAACCATCGCCTCCAGGCCGTGAATCAGAGGTAGGTTCTGCCCGTAGTTGACCCGCGTGCTGGCTTGGATCACGTCTCGCGAAAAGTCCGCGGATATGCCACCATTCTGAAGAAGAACATCTCCCGGAACTGACGTGGTATTTAGCAAGTCAACTGCAGCCGCAGCCGAAGTAAGCGATCTGAAAGGGAAATAAGGCGAGTCATAAAGTCGGAGAAACTTGTTGACTGTGCCTTTCATTAAGTTCTGAGTGCGAATGGGTGACAATCCATAGCGCCATATCAGTTTAGCAATGTTCCACCAGCTATAGGTGTCCTGTAGCACCAGCACAAATTGCTCGCCATCCCAGACGCCAATCGTATCGTCAGACTCTCTGGGGCGAGCGTGGTCGGCGCTTCGGACAGTAAGTCCCAATTCCCTGGAGGCATTCACTAGGTTATAGTTGACCGATACGAAGATGGAGGCACCCAGCTCTACTGGGTATCTCGGATCATCCAGCGCGTTAATGGTTGTAGAGCGGCCGCCGATATATGAATTCCGTTCATAGACCGTGATGTCAACTGGAACCTGAAGAGAATATGCAAACTTGCGCAAAGAGTACGCAGCGGATGACCCTGCAGCCCCGGCTCCTGAATCGATGTTAGTCTTCTATTGGTAATATCCAGATATCGAACTGCTCACCGATTATTGCAACCCGTTTTGGTCTGTCGCGAGGTGTACCTAGGGGTTGTTGTTCTGCATTGATGAGCGAGGCAAAACAAAGGACTATTGCAAGTGAGACAGTAAAAAAGCGTAGGAATGCATGTTGGATAGACTGCGATGAGGAATCCATAAGTGCATTAGATGTCTTCCAATGGTATAGTTGATGCTCGAGGGCACTAACATCAACCAAACTACTAGTACGTCACTGATGGAGTTCCGGTCGAGACAACCTCGATTCACTGTCTCAATCGGAACCACAACTCTCCATCAATAGATAATAGTATGAGATATACAAAATTGAGTCCCCTTGTTTGAACAGATGAATATGTCAGACGTTCCACAGGCAAGTGCTGTCGTTGGGGATGATGAGGCCTCAAGACAGCACAGGAGGACATATCGTCCTAGTCCATATCCGGACTAGTTTAATACCAGGGCTCGTATCGCTTATCGCGCCCGATCTTTTTATCTTTTTTTCGAAGGTAAAGAACTTTTGGAGGGGTCGATGAATGCTGAAACCATAGCGCTACGCTCTACTTATTGTTCATATGCAATATTTGGAATATAACCCAAATCTGATTTTTTGATCTGTCGATTCCCCAGACCTCGCGACAATGGATCCGTACGACAGCGATTCGTCGGGGTTCGATGATGAGGGAGATTACACTGAGTCCGGAGTGCTTCTAGGATATCCTTCCGAAGAAGTCATAGATGATACTATCAGTCATCTTGGAGGCTGGCCGGTATGTTGAGGGACTCGTCTATCAAAGGATGTGTCCATACTGATCTTCATGGCTAGACATGGCTTGACGATTCTACCCCGCCCCCAGGTGATTTCGCCAATTGCAAAGTTTGCAACAGCCCGATGATTCTCCTCCTTGAATTGCACGGTGACCTTCCCGATCATTTCCCTGATGATGAGAGACGGTTGTATATATTTGGATGTGCTAGAAAGGCGTGCAGCAAGAAGCCAGGCAGCATCAGAGCGTTGCGCGCAGTGAGGAAGCTCAAGGTCGAGCAGGCGCCACGGAAAACAGAAGAGAAGCCAAAGGAAGACAAACAACAGAAGGTCGAGGCTCCAAAGCAGGATCTGGGAGCGAGTCTATTTGGAACTACCTCCCTCACTGGCAGTGTCTCCGCGAACCCGAATCCCTTCTCCTCATCGAACACATCTTCAGCGCTTCCCAGCAACCCATTTGCGGCTCCTACTGCAGCACCGACGCCAGCTAAGGAAGCCTCAACTACAACACCATCAACTAACACTCTTTCTGAGACCTTCGCCGACAAGGTCAGAGTCTCCTCCCCACCCCCAGAAACCATGCCACCGGAAGCCGCTGGACCCGCTGCTCCTTGGCCTGAGAAGTCCGCCTTCCCAGCTCCGTATCCGCAGTTCTACCTGGACGCCGAATATGAGACTCTCTCTCGACCCTCCACCCCAACAATACCTGCGAATGTCACCATAGATAACACCGAAGAGGAGGAAACAGGCAAAGGGTCTTCTTCAGATCTCAAGGATGCCTTTGAGTCTGAGTTGGACAAGGCCTTTATCAGATTCTCAACGCGCTTAGCACATAACCCAGAGCAGGTCCTGCGCTATGAGTTCCGTGGATCTCCACTCCTCTATTCTTACACCGACGCTGTGGGCAAGCGGCTCCACGACCCGAAGCATGGCAGCTCTGGTTCGCGGGTGACGACTGTCGCAAGTGGCACGAGCCGGTTTCCACGCTGCGAATACTGCGGTAGCGAACGTGTCTTTGAGCTACAACTCGTACCGCACACCATTACTGTATTAGAAGAGGGCCGCGAGGGAGTCGGCTTAGGGCCCAAGGATGATGCTGGTATGGAATGGGGCACCATCATTCTTGGTGTCTGCAGTAAGGACTGTGGGCCCAAACAGGTCGGAGTAGTCGGATGGCGTGAGGAATGGGCTGGCGTACAATGGGAGGAGTTGACGAAATAGATTCACAAGCGATGATTTCATAGCCACAGGTAGTCTTGGAGAGCCTTTGGAAAGCAAATATATCCCAATAGCGTCTTGATGATATGGTGTTACAGACGACTCACTGACTAGGAGCGATCCGTTGCGCTATATACGTGCGGGTCGTTCTGACTGTTACGAGCCGAGCTATTACTCTGCAGGTCCTTTCGTCATGACTCTATGGACAAATTTAATGCATAGTCGTCCAGCATTGGCCAACATCAGATGCAACTTGTAGACTGCAGCACAACACAAAGGGGGTATATAGAAAGTTTCGCCGTCAGAACCCTCCAGTCAGGCTTCACACATATCAGATAGTGACGAATACGTAGAGAAATCGGCAACACAGCCCTCCACTGACCAGACCCGGTAGTTGACCGGATTCGCTTAGTCTCGACCATGACTCTCGTGATGGTCAAAGGAGCGCGAAATATGGCTTGTATCCCACAGACGAGGTGGTACCCCGCGACAAGGCATTCCCGAGAGCGGTATGGTCTGGCATCCTTGATATTAGAGCCAGTCTCCGAGGGAACCGGATTGAACCAGCATCTGATAGTTCTCAAGCGGAAGCGGCAGCTTGCTGCTGAAGCTGGGTTTGGAATTGAACAATCTGCCATGACAATAGACAGTCAGAACACGACTATGATAGCTTGCTGGGGGTGCTTCTCACCTCCGCGCGCTTCTTCTCGGCCTTTTCTTGAGCGTCCTTGATCTGTCCCTCAATTCTCTTGCTATCGCTGCCGTCAGCCTTGATCTTAAATCCGTGCTGGAAGTATATGATAAGGAAAACGCACATTTCCTTCTCAATAAACTCGAGTCGTCCGTTTACAGCCATGACGGCCTCGTTCTTGTCTTGCTTCAATAAGACGGGCCCCACGATCTTGTAGATTTTCGAGTCCTCATCCAATTTGTCGAATTCTCCCTGCACGCCCTTGTTCTCCTGCTGCTGCGACTCCAGCTTTTGGCGAGCATCGATGAAACCTTCGAGATCTGGAGATGATATCGGCAGCGCGTTAGAGCTTGCCATGATGCCATGGAGTCGATTGAAATCGTTTGGGTGCTGGACACCGGGATCACATACCAGTTTGTAGCTTCTGAAACTCATCAGAGAGAGCCTGAAACTGCTTCTGCGGGTCTGCCATAGTGTCTTCAGTATCCGCAGCTACTTCAGAAGTTTGGTTATGGCTTTGGCAATGCTGTCTCTTGAGCGTGAGGGGCGTTGGCGGGGACACAAAATGCTGGTAATTACCGTAATGACAGAACGGTAAACAACGACCGAACCAACTTAGGCCGTCCGCTTTCTCTCGTCGTCATACTGCTGTGAACAAGAACAAGCACTTACTGTCCCTTCTGTCGCATTAACACGATTCGCTTATGCGTTGAAAAACTACTGGTACTCGGCCTCCCTCAATCGTTTTAGCTGTTTCGCTGGTTACGCCGTTCACCTGGCAATCAAATCAACCAGGCAACTGTCCCTTCGTTGCTCCCCCGCCTTTCACTCTCCGATCGGCTCCCCGACGTCGACGCCGGTGTTGGAGAAACAAAGCAGTTTGAACTGCGTGCGATCATGACGAATAATACAGATTTCTTAGGCCGGGCGATCGATGCCGTGAAAAAGGCCATCGAGCTCGACAATGGGGGCGAGTACGAGAAGGCGTATCAGGGCTACTACTCCGCACTGGAGCTGTTCATGCTGGCCTTGAAGTGGGAGAAAAATCCCAGGTCCAAGGAGATGATTCGCGCAAAGACGGCAGAGTATATGGATCGAGCAGAGAAACTTAAAAACCACCTGGCTCAGAGTGAAGACAAAAAGAAACCGAGCGCTATTGGCGCCAACGGCAAGGTGGCGCAAGGAAGTGGGAAGGGCGGGTATGGCTTCGGAATTCCTGTCTTTGCAGCGATCTTGGTCGAATTGTTTGAGTATCATACTAACAGATGTGTTTCATCAGGAAGGAGGACGACGATAATGAAGATGCCGATGTGAAGAAGCTACGGTCGGCCCTTGCTGGCGCTATCTTGTCGGACAAACCGAACGTGAAATGGGAGGATGTTGCAGGTCTTGAAAGCGCCAAGGAGGCTTTAAAGGAGGCTGTTATCTTACCTATCAAGTTTCCGCACCTGTTCACTGGGAAACGGCAGCCTTGGAAGGGTATTCTGCTATACGGACCTCCGGGTACCGGAAAGTCATACCTGGCAAAAGCCGTTGCGACGGAAGCAAACAGCACGTTCTTCAGTGTCAGTAGCAGTGACTTGGTTTCTAAGTGGATGGGTGAGAGTGAAAGGTATAGATTTTCCCGGAGCGACGAGCATCGCACTCCATCGGTACGGGTTTCACTAACACATACTCTGCAGACTTGTTAAGCAGCTCTTCAACATGGCGCGCGAAAATAAACCAGCGATCATCTTCATTGACGAGGTAGATGCCCTTTGTGGACCTCGTGGCGAAGGCGAATCAGAGGCATCTCGTCGTATCAAGACGGAACTTCTTGTACAAATGGACGGCGTGGGCAAGGATTCGCGAGGAGTGCTGATCTTAGGCGCAACGAATATTCCTTGGCAACTAGATGCAGCGATTCGACGGAGATTCCAGCGGAGAGTACATATCAGTCTTCCCGATATCAACGCCCGGATGAAGATGTTCATGCTCGCCGTGGGCCAAACACCGTGCCAAATGACGCAGGCCGACTACCGGACCTTGGCCGAGATGAGCGAGGGCTATTCTGGTAGCGATATCAGCATCGCCGTCCAAGACGCACTAATGCAGCCCATCCGTAAAATCCAGACAGCGACACATTACAAGAAGGTAAGAGCCTTCGCCTTTCTTTCCTTATGACCTGGATCTCACTGACGAGCGGCAGGTTATGGTCGATGGCGCAGAGAAATTGACTCCCTGTTCGCCTGGCGATAGCGGTGCGATCGAGATGTCATGGGTGAACATTGAAGCTGATCAGCTCCTTGAGCCACCTCTTATGTTGAAGGACTTTATCAAAGCTGTTCGCAATTCAAGACCAACAGTCAGCCAGGAAGACCTCCAAAGGAACGCGGAATGGACCAATGAATTCGGCAGTGAGGGAGCTTGATCTTGACCCTTTCTTCGTTCTTCACGTCTGTTCCTGCAACGATACAACTGATAGAACCTTGCTGCATACTGCCTTCCTATCGGTACCTGATATACATATGCGTCTTTGTGTTTTTTTCCCCCGACGCATTGGGGAAAACGTCAAAGAGCCGGCTTCGGTCCTTGTTATTCCACATACAGCCATTACTATGCGTTATGTCTTCGCTATGTCCTTACCTTTTCTTCTTCATGTTGTCATCAGGAGCTCGGTGTTCAGAAGCGTTATCCGTTCGGCGAGGTGAGGCGAGGCGTTCTTTCTTCTCATCTCTTTTGTCTTTGTTCACACTTAAATGGCTTGGATATGGGTTGAACTTGTTCATATTCTCACGAAGAGCTTTGTCACAAACTTTATGCTGCAAACGAGCTGTCAAGGGTCAATAGGCAGATTCGAAATTTCAAATTCTTTCTAGTTGTGCATCATGTGGACTTGATTGGTTCTTTGGTAACCCGAGACGAGTAAAAAAAAAATGACATCTCTCATTGGAATATCCCGGTCATGAAAGCAACAATGCCCAAGTCATAACCTATGCCCAACTCCGCAGTATCCCCGGCTCTTAACCGACGATGAATCAAAAAGCTAAGAGTGTTCACAGCAATAAAGACTGAAACTAATACATCCATCAAACACCCTAGGAAAGAAGCTAAACAAGACCTTATGCGAATGGGGTATGCAAAGCACACAGGGGAATCTCTGCAACAGAATCAGACGAGAATGAGGGCTATATGGAGGAAACAGAGAACAATATAAGCAAGGAATGGAGAATATCAGAATCAAGTCATTGCAGCTTTGCCGGAGCTCTCCCTCCTCTTCTTCAACACTTCATTTTTGGCCCGCTTGAGGCCTTCGCCTAACTTCTTCGTCTTCGACCACTCGCGAGACTTTCTTTGCATGCGAACGGTGGCCAGAACCATGGAGACGGCAGTCTTCAGTTTTTGCCGTGGAGTCCGGAAATGGGTCCGGTCCCGAGGCTTGACTCCCATCTCATTGATCATTCTGAGGTCGGCCTCGTTACTAGTCGATAGTCAGTGGCTGTACGAGAGGGGGAAAATTACAAGACAGGTGCACATACCAAGCAACGCGGACTCGTTCTCCAAGCTCCATCAAGCCCTTGCTCCAAGCTAGGTCACGCCGGAACTTCTCCTCTCGCCTCAAACGAGCTCGAAGCCAGATGATCTCCTTGCCGAGGCCTAAGATCTCTTTGTCGTGTCTGTTCTTATTGTCGGCGTTGGACTCAATGCTCTTCACAATTTTGTCATAGCGTTCTCGAAGACCTTCCAGCTCCTTGGTGGCCGTCCCGGCTTTTCTGATACAGAAGGCGCGCTCCTCACGGACTCTGCGAAGCTGCGACTTCAAGTCGCTGAGGCGAGCATCCCTCTCAGACACTTGCAATGCCAGCGACTCGGCTTCAAGAGTGGAAGATTTGAGGAGTTCGTGCAGATCTCGCTGATCCTCCTCTCGCATAGCTGCTCGCTCGAGGTCACGGTTCTTAGCTCTCAATTCCTTCAAGGCCCGATGAGCCTCAGACAGCTGCTTCCGTAGACTTCGTGTTTCTTCATGTAATTTGTCGGAGGGCGACCCATGAGGCGAACTCGTTTCGTATTTATTCATCAACGCATCGTGGAGCTCCCTTTCCAGCTCAGAGATACGCTGCTTGCATTTGCGAACGGACGATTTCTGATCGGCTTCCCTTTGTAGCAGTACTCGTTCTCTCTTTCGCGCCTCGTCCAAATTATGACGGAGCATCGAAAGGTCTGCATTAGAAGTAGACTGCTCGTTATCTCCAAGGGGCTGCTGTTCAAGAAGCGACTCAAGCTCATGGATGCGCTTCTCCAGACGCTGTACTTTACCTTTAGCCAGCGTCAGTTCTCTGTCTCGCCCACCGGAGGCCACATGCAGCTTATCCTGAAGCTGATCAATTTCGGCCGACAATCTGTTCTCTTCCTGCGTGGCACGCTCAATTTCAGAGCTCAGTTGCTTTTCAAGAGATTCTTTCGCTTCCAGAAGTGAAGCCTTATCGTCACTTAATCTCTTTACCTCACCTTCAAGGCGCAGGGCGGATTTGCGAAGATCAATCTTCTCTCGGTCAAATCGGGTCGTATCGTTAACATGGTCTTTGACGTTATCGAGTTGATTCTGGAGTTCATCGCGTTCGGCCTCTAGCTCAGCTACTGAAGTGCGCAGGTCATGTAGTTCGACGTGAGCATTTGCCAGCTGATCACGAAGCTTCTGCTTCTCTGCCACCAACTTTTGCAACTGGCCATCTTCTGAAGACCCTTTCTGCAGCCGAGCTTTCGTGTATTCTTGCTCTTCTTCTAAGCTCGCTTGAAGAACAACTACCTCGTCTTCTAGAGCCTGAACTCTCTCTCTCGAGGCGACTTCCTCCCGTTTTGTGACTCTCAATTCTTCCTTGACAGATAGAAGCTCGTTTCTCAGCTCATCGATAACTTCCCGTTTCGATGCGATGTCGTCATTCAATTCCTTCACTTGGCGACTAAGAACCGCTTCTGCATTGAAATGCCGGGCCTTCTCACTATCGATGACCTCCTGCAGTTTCACTTCCTTGCCTGAAAGAGAGTGCTCAACTTGCTCGAGCTTCTCGATAGTACGCTTGTAGCCAGCCGCTTGGTCCTCGGCCCGGTCTTTCTGAAGTTGTAAAGTCCGCTTTGCGCTTTCCCACCTGTCCTGCTCAAGCGCAAACTGGCCTTCTTTGTCTTCAATCTCGTGCTGAAGAGACTCAATTTCTTCTTGCAACTGTTGGACCTCTTCTTTGTACTGTGCTCGTATGATGTGTCCGTTTTCCAATGAGCGCTGCTTTTCCTCGTCCAAAGCTCGCTGAAGTTCCCGAACTTGAGAGCGTTCCTGACTAAGCTCGCGCTGTAGACTACCAGACTCATCGGTCAGGGCTTGATGCCGGGTTTGTAAGAGATCTTTCTCTTCTGTTCGTCTTTGCAGTTCATCAAGTGTATCCTGCAACTGGGAGAACAGTTTGTCGCGTTCTTGTCGGGTGGAGTCTCGCTCGCGCTTTGCCGCTATAGCGTCATCTCTCAACTTTCTTTTCTCTTCATCCACATCCCGTTGGAAATTCCGATACTGATCCTCCAAGCGGCGTTCGTTTTGTGTCTTCAGGTTGAGCTGCTCCTTCAATGAATCATTCTCGCGCTGCAGATGACCAAGCTCGTCTTCCAATTTGGCCGTCCGTTCCTCTAGTTGGCGAGTGAGGCCTTTAGTGCTGAAAGACTTATTTGCCATCTCTTCATGAAGTTCCCGAAGGTCTTGGTCGGCCTTTTCCTTTTCCTGAACAGCTTTGTTCGCAGCATTTCGGGCTTCATCGGCGTCGGCCTTGGCCTGATCTAAACTTGCTTGCAAGTCCTGCAGGTGCTCCTTAGCGCGTCGAAGCTCTGTTTCAAGCTCAGATACTGAATCTCGGTCCTTGTTGTCTCTGTCCTTCAATTCTTCGATTTCCTCCTCACGTGCTTCAATGGTACGATCCTTCTCCCGAAGGGTCGCCTCCAAATCCTCAATTTCGTCGCGAAGTTTCTCAAGATTTTGTGATTGGCGTTCCTTGGCCTCTCTAAGCTCCTCTTGAAGCTCTCTTACGCGGTTATCTTTCCTTTCCATCTCTTCTCGCATCAAGTCCAACTCTTGCTGCACAGTCTCATCAATCTGTCTCCTTCGCATTTTTTCCTTCACTTCCTGAAATTGTAGACGGTAGGCTTCTAGGTCGCGTTCTGCCTGTTGAAGGCTTTTCTTGTACCGCGCAATGTCTCGTTGCATGGTCAGCTTCGTAACTTTGAGTTCCGTATTCTCCTTGAGAGCCGCTTGATTATACTCCGGACCTGCTTTCTGCAATTGCTCCTGCAGATAATGGATCTTCAGTTTCAGTCCGAAATTATCTTTATCCAGTTTATCGATTAACTAAGGCAAACGGTCTTTAGCAAAGTCCTCATTTCGGTCTATCTTGTCAATACGACATTGTTGACTCACCTTTTCCTGCTCCTTCAAGGTCATATTATTCTGTCCATCATTGAGGACATCCCCATCTCTTCGCAAAGAAGGGAGCGGGGTGCTCTGAACACTACTGCTCGCAACCTGCGGCAAAGGAGTCGGCTCTTCTGTGATGTCCTCCTCCTCATCAATTCCTGTCATCTCCATCGGCGGTAACCCCGGAGTATTGACATTACTCCGATAACTTGCTCTTAGGTATGCTGGTGTTTTGACGTCGCCGGCCCCGCGCGTCGTGGTCAGATTCCTCAACAGATTGTTCTTCGTAGCGCTCTGCATCAATGGAGTAAATTCGCCTTTGGCAGGCGCAACAGTAGGAAGGTGCTGTCGAGATTTCAACGCGCTTTTTATAGGCCTTGAACTCGTACCGGCACGCGGTGTGCTGAGCTTGAACCCGCCGGAACTGCGTCTTCGGTCACCAAGCGACTTGAGAATGTCCCCATCTTTCGAAGGCGACTGGAATGAGTTTTCGACCGAGTCGAGTGCAGATAGATTGTGTCGTCCCACGCTCCGATAGCCGTTTGTCAAGTAAGTCGCGTTTCCGTCGACCTCAGTTCGCGGCGTGTCGATATAAGGGTACGCCATTTTCGACGCGTTTGACGCGAAGATAGTCCGTGATCCGGATCCAGAATCAAATCAATTGTAGTGACTTCAATACGCAATCATCCTCGTGTCCTCGTCGTACATAAACAGCAATCAGCAGAACGATTGGGCGGAAAGATGTCCTGCTCATACGCATGTGTTTTGGGCGGTGAGCATCCAGCTTCTGGGCTTAGTTTGGGCAATGTTGATATCTAGCCTCATATAGTTTAGCGTGCTCTTCGCCACGGTCGGCCGAGCATTTCGCCGCGTGACTTTCGGTATGAAGTCATGACGGTAATTTATCATTTTCTCAGGCCGCAGTCAAGGAAAGCAACCCTTGACTTGATTTTCTCGAGCAAGCAAACTTTGTCTGGCGCGTCAGAGTTGCTCAGTTATCCAAGATGGCGCCCATGTCCCAAGAAGACCTAGAATGGTTCAAATCCACTTTTCGTCCCATCCCTAAGCCAGAACTCCCTGATGATGCAGTCGAATATTCCATTTACTATATCCCCTCCGACCCCGCCCCCGCCATCAACGATGAGACGACGGAGACAAGGTCACGATTAGTGGAGGTGCAACGGAGCGCAGCTGATTTGACGAAAGAATATTTGAAGGATTATATATGGCAGCGGGAAGGGTTCAAGTTGGAGATCACGAAGGAAGATGGTGAGCGCAATCTGCACAGTCGAAACATTTGCGCCGACTCTCGTGTGCTAACAGCTTGTCAATAGGTATCATGGCGCTACGAGGGCGCACCAATTACGGAGACTCTATCGAAGACGAATGGGTGATTGTCTATCTCCTGCGCGAATTGACCAAAAAGCACCAGGATATTTGGGTTAAGGTGGTCGACAGCGACGGCCAGTTTTTACTCGTCGAGGCGGCTGGCGCTCTGCCCTCCTGGCTTGAACCAGAAATAGCGGACAATAGGGTGAGTGGCATGCCTTGTGCAAAGGTGCTAATATTGTAACCGATGGCTGACGAACTGCACAGGTATGGATACACCAAGGAGAACTTGTCATCATCAAGCCGAAGCATGATAGAGCTCGGAGGGTCACTGAGAAGCTGTCGCTTGCAGACTCAAGAAGAATAATCGAAGAAGAGCCCAAGCGACTCTTGCGCTCTGCAATGATCCAAGAAGAAGCTTTCTATCGTTTACGGAACTATCCCAAACAGATCAGCGAGAACCTTCACTCAGCGCTCGTAACCATTCCGCGAAAGGTCGCATTTCTCCTCCACCAAAAGCCAGCCTATATTTCGGCAGCGGTAGAGGCTTTTTATCTACGAGATCCCATCGCGCTGCGACCGCTCAGATCCAAAGACGCTAGCACATTTATCTTCAAGCCGGAGGATTTTGTCACCGTCAGCGTACGGTTTACACGAGTCGGTTATGCACAGCTCAAGAGTCAAGATTTCCCGGCACCAAAGTCCTGGATTGGAAAGCTCCCTCCGAAAGACGACCGAATCGCATTCGACCGGGCGGAAGTAGGGATGAAACTTGCGTGTGGCTTTGAAATGCTCCTCACCGATCCTCAAAACCAAGACAAGGCCTCTGTGAGAGAAATGAAGCTCCTATTGGAGGATGTGGATTCTGGAGATGAGAAATTACCTACGGATGAAGAGATCTCTGGATGGGACAAGAGACAGGACGACGAAAAATGGCTGGACATCAGCTTTGAGGACCTGGACCGAGAGCTGAAGGGCAAGGACAAGGGCACGGCCGGCAACGGACAGGCCAAGGGCGCATTTGGGGATGCCAACGCTCAAGAGAATCTTCAACGCATCGTTGCTCAGTTCGAGAAATTCTTGAACGATGAATCTGCTGGATTCGAAGGCGCCGATTTCATTGATGATTTCGGCTCGGATTCCGACATTGACGATGACATTGATGATGAAGTGAGTGACGAAGGCGAAGATAAAGAGGCATCTTTCGACGAAGAAGAGTTCTCTCGGATGATGAAAGAAATGATGGGCTTGCCGCCCTCTGGGCCTGCCCTTCAGGGGGCGTCCAGGCAACCGTCGGCTCCACGTGGTAGAATTGAAGAGTTGGACTCCGAATCCGAAGACGACTTGGAAGAAATACAAAAACTCTCCGCCCAGATGGAAGCAGAGCTGAGAGGCACGGGCGTTCTCGACCTAAATCGTCCGAAGAAGTCCTCAACTGGAAAGCAGGCAATATCAAATGCATCACAAAAGGAGCCCGGTGATGAAACTGAACAGAGTGAGGAAATCGTCGAAGATGACGACGATATCGATATCAATCTTGCCAAAAACCTGCTGCAAAGTCTAGAGGGCCAAGCTGGCGCTCCAGGCCCAGCGGGAAACATGCTGTCAATGATGAATCTGCCAGTGCCTAAAGACGACCGGCCGCGGTGAAATCCGGAGCTATTTTATCTATAGTTGAGGCACTTTATCGGTTACTACGACCACCGCCATCACACAGCCGGCCATTGAATCATTGAGTCGCCGTACTCAACTGTACTGCAGAATCTGCACCGCGTGAATCGCCTGAGAACAAGCGGTCATTACTTCGTCGGACAGTAGCTATCCCCAAGTCCCCAAGTACCTCATGCACAGTGCGCTCCGCACCACTATCCGCAGTGACGTTGGCGCTCATATATCCTCCCCGGTCATCCCTGCAACTTGTGGCCCGGACAAGGCCAGTCCAAGGCTTCCTCTCGACTACTCAAATGTTCTATGGCAACTCGGCGCATTCTCCAGTCACCTCCACGGACGCTACTAATGTGGGTGTGAGTGGCGAGCGAGTATTTGGGATGAGAATTGTAAGCTTGGAGACTGTCCCAGGACACACTCCAAAAGGAATCGCCATCAGAGGGAAGGTATATTGTTATAGTATATAAATCATAGAGACCCTCGATACTTCCAAAACAAAAAATAGCCAAAAGGCGCCTTTACCAAGATCCTCATAAAACACATTCCTCATTATTTCGGTAAGTATCATCATAGCGAATGTCTGCCAGCGCAGACACACCGCATTCATGAGGTAGATCGTATCAATCGTAGATGAATCACCGAGCGGTCGGGCACAACAATTCTGCGCTCCCGTCCTTCAAGGACACGACCCATTCCCGCCATTCTTGCCATTCCGCGTAGCTGGCACTAGCCTTGAGACCCTGATATTTCACGACGCGAAAGTCCGAAACCTGCTCCCATGGCTTGCTGGAGCCAGAGTGGCCGCTGCTGCTGCTTCCTCTTAGGAGCCGCCGTGCAACACCTCCCGTGGTCACTCCGTCCCACCCAGCTTTCCGCATCAGGCTTTCCAGGGTTTCCTCTTTCGTCCAACCTTGCTCTACGGCCACATCGGGCAAATAAGTGGCGCCATAGCGCCGGCCGCGGTGAATGAAAGATATGCGGATACCATGCACACCAAGTATCCAATCCAGAGCATCAGTGCAGGGCTCAAAGGAACCGAGCAGAGTCAGGGAACATGATAATGATGGTAGAAGCGACAGTGGGATCGGAGCGAAACGAGAATCCTCGAACGCGCTGTGTTTCAGTGTTAGCCTCCTGAAACCGACATGGACTTCGTTCAAGCAAAGGATACGTACGAAGTAAGAGCATAGGTTCTGAGGCCTTCGGCGAGCTCCTGCGCGTCGAATGTACCAATACACCCACGAAGGGACTTGTGGCCGTTCTTCGACAGAGTATCCCATGTCACAAACAATGGATAACGTTGGTTTTTCAACCTTTGTTGCCGCATCTCTGCCATCTCAGGTTGCGTAGATTCTGAAACCGGGGTCGTGGCGGTAGTGGAGCTGGATAGAATCGAGCGAGATGAATTGCTGGACATGACTGATGGAGTAGTAGAGACGCTCGAGGAGTCTGAAGACAATTGGTTTTGAAGGCGACTGACACTGGGTAGCTTGATTGACTGCGGACGGCTACTCTTCGACTTCATTGAGCCGCGCTGCGTTGTGTCGAGTTCCTCGTTAGCATCATCGTCATCGTCATCCTCCTCCACTACGACCTCCCGTCCAAGGTCGGCACTATCCCTTTGAGAAACAGTGTTATTAATGTCCTGAAGAGACGCAAGCTTTTTGGACTGCTCGTATCGCTCCCACAGCTCCTCAACAGCTGCGAGATCGATGGGCTCATGGCGTTTATAAGAGGCAGCAAGGCACTCAAAGCAGTAGATGCAATGGGCTGGACTTGCCATCTTGTGATGTCCAAAGCAAAGTAAACTGCGTTCAACCCTCACGTCTGCAAAAGCAATCCACTGGCTGCAAGGATTGGTGACTGTCGGCCAGGATGCAAAAGAAGAACAGGAGATAGTTACCAGAAGTAAATGGCTCGGTCCACCAGGAAACTACCCACTTCTAGGTACCTTGGCGAACGCAGTCTCGATAATGTTTCACATGGGCTCAGCGTTCTTTGGTCAGAAGTGGGTATTAGAACTGCTATAGGTAGCAGCACTGAGGACACGGCCAGCAGGTAACTCAGCTGGCGATCGGCTGTGGGGAGAGTGAGTAGAGGGGGAGGTCAGCGAAGGAGGGGAAGAGGGCAAATGCCCCGATAAGATAACACGTGATATGCCCACCTTATCAGATGATTAGAATATCAGGTGATCTATACTATCCGATATTGGTTCTAGACATCCCATCATCTCCACTATCTACAACTTTTGCGATTCATGTGGATACGATGTTTGGGACCTAGTAAATCACTGTTCAGATTCGAGAATGTGCCACCGGCTGGGATCTTCCCCCTAATATATTGCCACAGCTCAGCCTTCTTGCAGGAATTTTGTCCAAAACACATAGTAAGAGCCTATCCTTTACAGGCTTACAAATAAACGGGCCCCACTACGCAAATATATTTCTGAGACCTGTTGATCATTTGGGAACAGTTTCCATGCTCTGCACACGGTCATGGAGTAAAAGCGAGGCAACCTAGAGAGGTATAATGTTTGGTATCCGACGAGACATGCGTATCAACAAAATGCAAAGTTCAAAACGTCGATGGTATTTTCCCACGTAGAGCCCGTAAAATCCGCAATCAGCACAGTGGCCGCCCACAGATTCTAGTACCAGCTGAACATGTCAAGAAGCTGTTTTCATTTCTTCGCGGACCTACTCCACAATCCAGCCACAGTTTCCTTGACCCTTCGCTCCTGCGCCCGAATCTGCTCCTCAGTTTGCCCACGCGCGTCGCCGCGGCTGTCAATCTCCATCCGTCCATCATGTTGCTCCTCGGTGACCTCGTTGCCATTGACATGCTCCGGCTTGGGATCAAGGCTCATGATACCATCCATCATGAGTCCTCCTCCCTCGCGGAGCTTGTTGATGGCGCGGACAGTATCGATGGCTTTGTGCAGCGTTCGACGAGCATTGAAGTTCTTCTTGACTGTCGGCAACAAGTCCTCGCCCGAGCCACCGTCATCATTGAGATCGTAGGGCGGGTTGATCCAGGGATGCTGAAGGGCTTCATGGGCAGTCATTCGGGCCTTGGGATCGACTGTCAGGCAACCCTTGATAAAGTCTCGGGCTGATTGGGAAACACCACGCCAGTACTCGAGAGGTGTGAAAGAATAGTCAGCTGCAAGGATGGCCTGCATCTCTTCCAGGTTGGAGTCACGATCGAAGGGAGTGTAGCCGCAGAGGAGGAAGTAAGTGATGACACCAATGGCCCAGATGTCCCTAAGTGCAGAGTCAGTCATAGAATTCAGACTGGGGATGATACATGAAGCAGACAAAAACATACACTGGTTTGCCATGTCCACTCTTCTTGAAGATCTCAGGAGCCATATAACCTGGCGTGCCGCATGTCGTGGTGAGGACATGGAACTGCTCCTCGTCCATGATCCTGGACAGGCCAAAGTCCGCAATCAACAGATCCGCATTGTCCTCCGGTGTCCGGAACAGCAGGTTCTCAGGTTTCAAATCACGATGCACAATGCCATGATCATGCAAATAAGCCACCGCGGAGAGGACCGCACGGATTAGGTCAGCCGCATCGGACTCGTAGTAGCTGCCTTTACGACAGATGCGGTCAAACAGCTCTCCACCCAGAGCAAGCTCTGTGACGAGGTATACTGCAACATCACAATTGTCAGTCTGACGACCTCCACCGAGCAGTAGGGGTAGCCATACGATTGTTCATGGTCTCGAAGTAATCAACCAGAGTAAGAATGTTCTGATGACCCATGGAGACTCTCTTCAGCACGGCAATCTCATTCCTAACCTGTCATTATACCACGCCACACATCAGCCCTCGCTCTCGATGTCCACGTTGACTGTAAGAGGCCGCATTTCAAGTTCAGAGGTAAATACCATGTGCTCACGCCCAGCCATTAACCGCTTATTGATCACTTTCGCTGCATAGTAGCGACCAGTATCGATGTGTACGCATTCCTTCACCACTGAGTAGGAGCCAGCTCCGAGTGTTTTCCCAGTCTTGTACCGGCAAGGCTGGACCTTGGGTCGTTGACCCGTCTGCGTTTGCGATGCCATCGAGCGTGAAACTGTACCGCGATCCGGATGACAGATGTAAGGAAATCAGTAGGACGGTTCGTCAGAAGCTCTCTTCGGCGCGAATCAAAGAGGACGGGGCGCTGATATTATATTGACTGGTCGATTGTGAAAGGTGTCAGAAGAGTAGACCGAGAACAAGCGAGAGGACCAGCCGAAAAGCAATCACTGCATGAACTCCCAGAAACCGATTCGCTAAGAAAAGAAGCTTCCAAAATGGACAGCCAAGATGGGATGTGGGTGTGGTTCTTGGTAAAAGCTGTATTATCGCAATCGGTGGGCTGTTTCGCACTCATAAAGGGAATTGCGGGGTTACAATACACGTATCACAAAGGGTAGGGCTTCTCGCGAGACCTGTAATAAAGTATCTGTAGCCTTTATTCGAATCAAGATAGGCGAAGGAGGCCTCTTTAGGAATTTGGGGTCCTTAGAATAAGCCAGAAGGCCTTGGGGAATGCAAGAGAGGCTCTGAAACTGATATCTGTAGGTTCAGCTGACAACGTGATTAACTTTCGGCACATCGGCGGTCCACTACGGCTTATGGAAGTGCGGATTGTACAATTCACAGAATTTATGCGGTGAATCTTCTTACTTCAGTCAATTGGTCTCACAATTTATGCAACTTCAAGCCCAGAGATACTCTGCCAGAGTGTTAACATATTATTGATCGCGAATTAGATCACTATTGCCTGAGGTGTAAGAACGCCTTTCCCAATGACCCCATCACGCCGCGCAATGCCGTGGTATAGCCAACACGGAGTATATAGTTTGAACAGTCAACAGGAAACATAAGGGACAGGGACAATAGGAGCCAAAGCATTACATTTGCTCAAGGACACCCTGCACGACACTTTCCAGGAGCTTCAAGCCATGAAATTTGGCTACGCTGCTCAAAACACGAAGCTTCTTCTCCACCTCTTTTCGGTCCATTGTTTCCACCCAGTGACCACTGCATGAGCAATGTTCCATGAAATCGCTGATCTTGAGACCCCCGCATTTGGAGCATTTGAGGTCCTGTGTCTGCCAACCGACAATCAAGCCCTGGACTTGGCCGATGAGGGCCTCTTCCTGTGCTAATCGATCGTACTCTGTTTGGCAGAAAGGGCACCGCCAGGGCTTGGGCGCTGCTTTGTTTGGGTCTGACCCAATTTCTGGGAGCACATCTTCGTCCCGGCACAGGTCCAGATCACGGATCAGACAGCAGGCGTTGCAGGAAAGCTCAGGAAGCTTCAGGCTTGCCCCTGGATTCTCGAACCGGCCTTCTTTGCTGAACTCACGTACTTCGAACATCGCTAAGAGTTCCCGACGCAGCAGCCGAGTCTCTAGAGTCGTCGTCTTCGACAGACTCAAAACCTGCATCAACAATTTGACGAGTTCAAGGACAGGGTTGCGCTTGTCGTTGTTGGGATCCACGAGGACTCCAGGAAGGACGGGGAAGACGTAGTCGGATGCCAGCTCCGGATGAAGCAGCTCATCCCGTTGACGCCGAACGAGGCCGGATATCTGCTTCTTGAGAGGCTTTGAGAATTTTTCCGCGAGGATTGACGTAATTTCGTCATTATCTTCGTTATGGTTCCCAATTGGAATCTGTGTAAGACGAGGTGTAGATGAATCATCAGAATCCGGCCGTTTGAGACCATGCATGAGTTCGATATACTCCACAACCCAATCGTGGAAAATCGTTTGCATGGGAACTGGTAGAAAGCGACTAAGTTGCCAATGCATCACAGTCTCGAGCTCCTGGTCCTCCGATCCGGTTACTTCTCGGCATCCCTTGCCACCATAATTGTATTCGTCGTACCAAACGAGATAATCCCAGTACTCTTTGATCTCAAGATCGATGAAATGGAATGAAGGGTTCGCGCGGATGGACTTCAGGACATATTGGCTATATGCATATGCGTTTCCCACCTCTGTCTTCGTAGTCTGGAGCAAAAGACGGGTAGGGCTCGCAAATATGACATTTGAACCGACACGCCTGAACTCAGCCATGAGCCGCTGAAATGACTTCCTGGACAGCATTCGCACATAATTGTGCAATGATCGATCATAGAGACATGAAACCGGGCTCTCAACCCATCGAATCAAATGCTGCACCATAATGTCGGCCATATTATTCCCTTCACAAGCCTCTGACCACCAATGCTTCACCATTTCTCGGAGCACGACAGCGCCAGCTGAAGCAAATGCCTTCTCCGAGTACAGAACGCCAGAGCCATTTGCGTCCGCTGAGGGTTCTGACGATGCCAGAAGAGTGTCTGCCCCCTCCATTTCATTGATGATCGAGGAGGTCAGAATGGTGTTGATTGAGAGGTTACGAACCTCCAATTCAATGCAGACAGTGTTATATGCGCTGGGCACGTTGACTGACGGCATCGAAACTCTCTCCAGGGGGCCTGTAACATCGTCTTTCTCGTAACCCGCGTGATCAGGTCTTGGACCATTAGACCACCAGAGGACAACATTGTTTTGTTGGAGTCGTCTTGCATATGAGATATCAATAAGATACCGAGGATCGTCATTCTCGAGATTGCAAAGAGGTATGTCACCGTATCTAGCTAGCATGGTCAAGTGTTGAATCCACGAAGCAAGATACAGGTAGTGCGTTACCAGTCGCTTAGCAATAAATGATTGCCAGCCCAAAGGTGGAAGGTCCATATCCGACACTTCGGGCTTAACTGGAAGAACAGGATACTCTTTCAAGATGGGAATATCATGGCACAGGCGGTGCCTTTGATGGGATTGTATGACCATGATGGCGGGCTGAGTTTCTTCGCCTTTGAGTTTCTTGATCAAGTCGCCAATCTCCAGATACGCCTTCCTCCTAGTCGTCACTTGGGTGGTCTTGAAATGGATCTTCTCCTGATATTCGAACGCGTTCTGGGACTGGTCTCCTCCCATGTTTTCCATTGTGCGCGCACGAAGCTCTGCGTATATCTTGTCAACGTTCGGCAGGCCTTGAACATCTCTCGTGCGATTGAGGATAACAATGTGTGCTTCGCTCTTTGTGGTCGAAAACAAAGCGAATATCTGCCTATCACCCGAGAGGATATGGTAGAGATAATGGTAAACCAAGGGTGAGTTCAGAAGATAAGGTTCATCAGGAGTTGTATGGCATAACGTCGAGAGATTGAACCCTCGATCCAATCCCTCACCAAGAACTCCTCGCTGTTCTTCATCAAAGGTGCATACACTGCCCAGCTTTAGAAGAGCGCGCACACTCAGAGGGATGTTCTTCTCGTAGACTCCTTCGATGCTGGGGTGTTGGAGGAGTGCGTCTATTTTGTCTGTTTCTCGCAGGTATGTGTCTTCGGACAACGTCAACTTGAATAGATGAACCGAAGGATGTCCGTTGGGCAAAGTGTGGTTGACCTTTTCCACCTCACAGTCTGGAACATCAACATCTGGTAGAGAGTCCCGTTTCAGATTGACGTAGATCTGTCTGGGAACCTTGACTGTAAGAGCATGGATTTTCCGGTCAATCAAGACGAAAACTCGAACAATGCCAGGTCTGCCTGTTTCACAGAGCTGAAGAACTTGCCACGTATTAATGTACAACAGCTCTGCTTGATTCCTGAAGAGATTGCTTAAAGAATCAGTTGCCACATTCACTCGTTCTCCGAAGAGCTGGCGACGGCGGGCTCGAGCTTGCTTCTGAATCTTCCATTTTTGCTTCTGGTATTTCAAGAATTCAACGTAGTCGTCGTTCAACGAAGGCATCTTTGCTGGAAGGCTGGCAAAAGGATCAAGCAAGGTCTTCGTCACACCCTCAGGGTGTTTCCTTTTTTGTGACGTCTTGCCGTTCGGTGACGACTTCAGTTTTTGCGTCGAGTTCGCAACAGCTTCCCCGATGTCGCCGTGATGCTGGACACGATGATCCAGGATGTTTGTTGAGATGTCGGATAGTGGGTTCTTTTCTGTCTTCCCAAACATATCCGTCATCTTTGTCTGCTTGAACTTGTCCTCCTTCATGTTAATCCGCCGTTGGAGCCAGTCAGGGTGGGCTACTCGAGGGACTGGATTGCGGACTTTCTGAAGAGCAGCGGGAATTGTGATCAGTTTCTGCACAACAGAGCCCAATCGCTCGAGGTAATAGTCCCAATCGATGACGCTTCGAGGATCCATATCTCCGGGATCGTCTTTCAACCATTTTCTCAAAAAGAATCGCTTGACAGGCTCTTCCGCTGAGAATATCGTCACTGGAATGGCTCGCTCTGTGACAGGTGCGTTTCTTGGCTTCGCAGAGATGATGTACTTGCAGTTGAGACCCTTGTCCTTCACCATCTGCTCTCCCAGGAATTCTGCTAACCTCCGTGCTGTCGTGATGGATGTTGACTTCTGATTCCGATATTCTTCCAGAGTCTTCGTCATGCTCCTATTTTCAGAAATGAGTTCAATAAGCTCCTCATCGGCCAATGTTGCGCCATGTTCATAGAGTACATCCAGCCATCTATCAGCGACTCGAGCAACAGCAGCATATGTTTCTTCCAGGGTGGATCCTTCCAAGAAGAAGCGGAAAATTTGAGTCTGGAATATCTTAATCAACTTCAGCTCTCCCCTTCGCTTGACTTCGAAGCCCTTCAATTCAGCCAAGGATCCATCATGGTTGAAAACAGCATAGCGCTTCTTCAAGTTCTTATCTTCTTCTTTCGACGTGGGGAGGATCATCGCTTTATAAGGGCCATCGACTTCAAAGAAGATAGAGTTGTCGCTATGCGTCTCGTATCGGAACGTCTTCGGGTCGACAAGTGTTTGGTACTGGTGATTGGTGTACTTTCCATGCACGAGGTGATTTAGCATGACGCAGGGATATGATATACCAAGCTTCTTGCCGTTCTTCAGAGTGAACGAGAAATCCTCCGGAAAACTTCCTGGTAGCATACACCAAATACCATCGGTGTCGAGTTCCAGTGGCCTGCCGATACGTTCAACGAGCTCTCTCGCCATTTGGATGATATGAGCACCAGTAAGACACGTCACACCGGCCATTTCCATCGAGTACCACCGAGATCCCTTTCTCATAACATAACCATAAAAACTGTTTAAGATGACTTTATGGGCAAGTTGTAATGAGTCAAACAGCACAATCATCTTCTTTGCTTCTTCAACCTCCGCAGCAGAAGCACCTGCTGCTTTGAGGGCTTCAGTCTTCCCTTTCCAGACTTTCTGCTTTCCTTTGAAAACATATCGTCGGTCACGAAAGCTGCGAACAGTGTCCACATAGAATGGATTTTCACGCTGGCAGATGATTGCCTCGCGCACAATGGTCTTGCTGTCGTGGATCTTGTGATAAATTTTTTTGCTATAATCTTGAAGGCGCTTCTTGATAATGGCAGCTTGTTCCTCGACGCTCATCTCGCCAAAGGACCTCATCGGGCTGTTCTTGGTTCTCCCAGGGAATCGCTCATTTGCAACAGCTTGTCTGATCATGTTGTACTCGTCACGCTTGGCTGGAAGGAAC